CTGTGTGCAGGCAGGTATCTACGCATCCCAGCCTGGTGGTGTTCTTGTTCAGATTGGCATGGGCAACCCCATCCAAACACTCCCTGTTGGCGCAGCTGCATTGCGTGAGGTCGATATTATCGGTACTTTCCGGTATGATGGGCATGCCTACCCGGCTGCTATTGCACTTTTAGCAAGTGGGAAGATGCAGACGACCGAGGAGAAGGTTGTTACGCACCGGGTTAAGCTTGAGGATGGCGCAAGGGCATTTGCACTTGCCGGGAAGGGAGTTGATGAAGCTGGAAAACCGGTTGTTAAGGTTATTATTGAGGGGCCAGGCGAAGCTGCCAAGGCTAGCCTGTAATTTGCCTCTTTACCCTTCTTGTTGTATAGGCGGCTTGTGATGAGATGATGATGTTGATGACTGAAAATACCCGTTGTGAGAGTAGATGAGGGATTGTGATTGAATATTGAGACTACATTGTGGAGTTAAGACACGTTAAAAAAAGGAAAAGAAAAGTCGTAACCAGGTCTCGAATCCCTAATATTGCGTCTTCAGAAATCATGTAACGCCTCGTAAACTATATGAGTGAAGACCAAAAAATACCTTACGCTCTGCACGCTCTCTACTTTTCATAGCCCTGCTCACTCTTGTTCTGAGGTTACGTAGCCTTTCATTTTATGTTTGAAAGGCGAGTATGTGATATGGGATCTTACATACAAATTTGATTTCGAAAGAAGGGTTAGAGGACCTTCAAGTCTTGGGGGCCATGATATGGCTCAATAATTTCATTTTGAGTGTTATTAACGGGTATATATAACAATTCTTATTTCAATCCTCCGGCCAGTAGAAGACTCTGACCTGTCATGTACCCTGTGGTCACGAGCATCGTAACGACATTAGCTGTCTCCTCCACAGTGCCAAGACGGCCTATTGGGATTCCCGCAGCCACTTCAGGGATCGCTGCGGCATTAGGGATCATCCCCGTCTCGCCAATCATAGCGGGAGCGACATCATTGACACTAATGTTGTGTTCAGCGAGGCGAGTAGATAGGTTCTTCATCATCCCAGTAAGGCCACCCTTGGATGCAGCATAATCTGAAAAAGGACAAACATTAGAACAAAGACTGTGTTTTGGCTTGTAGGAACTTGTAAAAACTCACGACATCCATTAATACCGCCCCCAGATGCAGCGATCGAGGACATGAACACAATCCGTCCCCATCGCTGACTCTTCATATGCTCAACAACGCCCTTCACAAGAATGAAAGATGCGCGCAGATTGATGTTAACCGTGTAATCAAACTCTTCCAGCGTGATATCCCACACGTTGGGGAATCGCTTGCCATATCCCGCATTTGAGATCAGAATGTCTGGCCGTTGACCGTGTTCAGCATCGATCTGTTGGAACATCGCCTCTATCTGATCTGCAGATCCAACGTCGACCTTGTGGATCGAAATGCGCAGTTTGTTCTCTGCATATTTGGACTGTAGATCTGCGACGATTTTGTTCATCGCATCTAGGTTGGTCGCATAGGTGAGCGCGAGGTGAACTCCACGTCCTGCAAGCTGTTCTGCGCAAGCTGCTCCGATACTGAGATAGATTCATGTTAGTATCAGCCACCGGACGTTGAATGGCTACCGTGCTAGACTTACCCTCCCGATGCGCCAGTGATAAGCGCCAATCGACCGCGGATATCGTTGAGCGAAGACATTATGCGTGAAATGAGATTTCAAGTGAGTTGAAATGGAGAATGTATCGCTATCCGCGAGCTAGACAGTAGTCTGGGGTAAGGAGGAGTACAGATTGGCCTCGGGTACCCCTCGGCGGAGTCGGGGGAATCTCCGAGAGGAGCTCCGCAGCCCCGCATCAATTGCCGTATCGCGAGCGGCGTTTGACCGCCACGCTACAGGAAAGAGAACTAGAACAGTAAATTGCTGCTCATGTCTCCGAGCCAAGTTGAGGGCTGCCATGTCTGTGATCGGTCCTGTCCAGACTGGTACGGATCAGGATTCTGGAAAGCATCCAGACCCAAAAGGCCACCGGATATTTGATCACCCGAAACGTAGTCGCCTACAGCCTCAAGATCCAGCCAGGAGAAATCGTTCGCAGGGCTGAAATCCATATAGGAAGGATCTGCGACTGGGTTTGACAATGCTTGCATAGCAAACTCGGTGCTTTGTGGGGTTTCGGCGGACGCTGTCATAGTTGATGGCTTGGCTTTCCAGAGAAGTTCCAGGAGACGGGAGTAGCGCGATCCAATGTCATCAGGGCCAGCACTTGCTTGCTTGAGAACTTCAGTGGTTCTTGCAACTAAGCCCTGGACTTTAGCTTCTTCGGAGGGAAGCATCATTCCAAATGAGCGAGCTTTATAGAGGAAAACTGCAGAATAGATTCCATACCTGAATCTCGTTAGTGAGTCTTTACTTTGAAGGGATTGGGCACTCACAGATAGAAGCGGAGGGGCATGAAATGTAAATGTCTTTCTGGATCCACCGAATCCACAAGAATAGTCAAGTAGGCCTTGGCCGCATCCACGGACTCGTAGATGAAACGTGAGTCCTGCATCGAGGCCACATTCTTAAAGGTAGATCTTAGCTGGTCCCGATGGGAGGCTCCATCGGTTTTTTTTGAAGCCAGGGACTGTGAGATTGCAGCTTGAAATGCAAAGGCAGTCGTATAAAGTCGTAGGTACTCATATGATAGTTGCAGTGTGGCCCGCATGGCCGGTGAACCTGTGAATGTAAGAATCATAGGAATGATACGAGACAGAAAGTAGAGGCAAACTCACAGTCCAAAGGTCCCCAAAGTGACTTCCACCTCAAAATAGCAAGACGAAAGTCATCGACATACTTGACGTAATCTCCCATTAACATCATCTGGTTGCTCGTGCGCATTCCAGAATATAAGACTTCATGGACATTACCATACAGCTGTGTAAGATCTAGCATAGCCTGGAAGATTTTTGAATAATCTTCCTCCCCCTCGCTGACTGGCTGCAGCGAAGGAAAATCTTGACTCACAAGACCGGTCATTGGGCCCGGACCTCGCGACCAAAATGCTCGTCCAATGCGCACTGATATCAAACGATCCGAGACATAGCAACTGGCCCATGCTAGTCGACGGCGAGCCTCAGTTGCCTGATCGCCGTATGGATCTCCTCGAAAAGAGGTGCGATCCAGCCCAATAAAGTAGCCCGAGCGCAGGGCTAGCCCAACATGCATCCACGCAGCGCGATCCTCCTCTCCACGACCCACGCGCTCAATGCGGGATCGAAGACCGTGAGGCTCCCACTCCGCGAGCAAGAGCAAAGCCTCAATGGCATCCACATCGCAGTCAGCACCAGCAGAGATCCCCGAGATCAGTTCGAGCATGTATTTTGAGCAGCACTCATGGATTTCAGGTCGATCAAGCAGATCTTTCGAAGCAATGGTGACAATAGCCGTCAGGAGGTATTTTTCATTCGAGGCGAATTCGTCCAGTGCGGAACGTTGGAAGTATTTTCTGGGGACTAACGGGAGATATGGATGGAAGTTGTCTGCGTATCGAGTGACTAGCTGCCACACCGTTGTGGGGTCTAAAGCCCGAGATTGAACGAGCCGGTAAGCTCTGATGCCAGTGCTGGGAGCGTTAAAATCCGGCACGATGCTATTTCGCAAGCCATTGTGCGCTGAAAAGCTACCGGACTTTGACCGAGCATGATCGCCCCGTCGCTCTGAAGGCGCACCCGCGCTTTGGGTAGCGATTCCTGTTAAGCATTGCCAGGCATCTGAAGGGTTGCGAGGGACTGAATCAAGTGAGCCATCATCTTCGACGGCGACCGAAGCAGGTCCGGCGGGTGGGTTTGGTGGGAGAAAAACCACCGGCTGAGAATACGATGCAGACGGCGCACGGCGAACCTCAGAGCTTGAAGGACTAAGTGTATCCTCCGAGTCTTTACTAGGCGATGGATTGGTCGCAGGGGTAAAGTTTTTAATCTTGTTCTTGCGGATACGTCTTCCCCCGCGATTTGAGCCGCCGAGCACACATTCACGATGTTCCCGAACACAGCGCTGACATGGCGGCTTCCCGGGATTCCCGTTGCTGTCACTATGCGGGATCAGCGGGAACACAGAGCATGCAGATCCCCGGAACCAGGGATATAGTTATGGGGAAGACTTACAGGTCACATCGCGACTTGCGCTGGCGGCAATGTAGACAAGCTCGGGATACGCGCTTGACGGTATGGTCGGGCGGCTGAGACGCGACCTGCGGGGACTCCATGTCGTTCGGCCGCTAGAGCTCAGGATCAATTATTGGACATGATAGGGAATTGTGAAGAGACAAAGGCCGACTTCCTCTTCAGACCCACAGACAGAGCTCGGTGTCATTACTCATCTCTCCGCGTGGGTTGGGTTTTTTTGCGGGGAAATCCAGATCATACAGCCTACAGTATCAAGTCGCTCTAGACACTGCTTCTAATTTTCACCCCTATGATACGAGTTGTACATGATATGAGATGTGAATAATGGACTACATAGTCTATAATACATGCATTTTACTCTTCTTTATTCTAGTCACTAACAACGCCTGCAACATGGATATGACCTTGGGCAGTCAATTGCCGTCGGGGATTGACTCGGCAACGGGAACTGCCACGAGCATCACAGCACTTGGTCACGTTACTTCTGACCTTGGACCTGATGACTAATGGAGATCGTGGTCAGTTGATGCCTTCGAAATCGGGCCTGAACTGAGATATTCCAACTTCCAACTTTCTTTCTTGTCATTCAGTCAGATTAAACCCCGTGGCGTGTTGCACTTGTCATAAAATCCTTAATCAGATGATCATCCGGAGATTACCTGGTGGGCTCACTCCGCCACCAGTGTCAACTTCATGGTCCGTGGTTTCCAATTGACAGCTCTGAAACATCCAGACAAAGCCAATGTTTCCAATGGTTGAAAGGGTCCATGACAGGCCCTGGCCAAGCTTTTAGCTTCTATTAGCTCCAGTCTACCGGATCTTTTTAGCTGTTTGAAATGACAGGCCCCATCGGTCAGGCCCTGGATCCTCAAGGGCGTTACGCCGGTCGGGAGTGCTGCAAGGTTTTCCTCCAGCTCCGTCCGCAACGCCGTGGACAAATCAGAGTGCAGGCTTTTGCAGCTCCTGCGTCCCTGAGAAACACCGATATACCCCTGGTCATGAGAGGTGCGGCTCCGATTGGTCATGACAAGCTTGCTGGCGCCATGAAGATATGACCTCTGGTCCAAACAGTGGCTGAAGGATAGAGCACCCTTGGACATGGCCTGTCAGCTATGATGCACTGTTTCGGTTCTTTTAATACTGCCCCTTTGCCCCTGGAAAGCTTGGTTCCAGTTCGTCTGTGCATTCTTTTTCTCGTTCGTTGCCGATCGGCTGGTTCCTCGGTTTTGCTGCAATAGATCATTTCTGCCCAGCGTTGATCGCATAGATTTGTTTTCTGAATTCTACATTGATATACTTCTACCCACTACCTTCACCTTCTCGCTTTGTCTTGGCAAAGAGGTGTGTTCTCCCCTCTGCCTCCCTTGCTGCATTCCAGGGCCCTGGACGATGCCTTAAGCGCCCGGTGGGCAACTGCAGATCTGTACACGGCTCACTTGCCAGGACCATTCATTGAATCCTGCTAAATTCCAAAGATCAACTGTTTAGCTGTCGTCATTTCAGCGTTTGCTGCCTGGCCACTTCTTTTCTAGGCGTCATTGACCGCGGACAATGGGACTTTGGGTTGCTTCACTCCATTTCCAACTTCAATAACATTCAGTCCTACTCGGCTACTATATCACGTTCCCTCGTTATCGCCAGTCACATTCTTTTCGCCTTCCTCCAACCAGCGTCATCTACATGCCTTTGCTAGTCCAAAGCTGACGGAATATTTTCTACAACCTACCGACCAGATCTGTGATCTGCAATCGTCCTTTTGTCCACAATTCACCTCCATTTGAAGGCTATCTTTTCAACTGATTCGATTCATATACAGCCCTTCAGCGAGTCTGGGGCACCTCGATGGCTGCGCCTTTTCCAAATGTTGCCGCACGAGGCTATGGACCAAATGTCACATATATCTACGAATACTCGAGAGGCCTGAACGGTGTGAATGTTCCCCTGGATGTGCTCATTGCCCGTGTCATCTACTCTACGATCATCATCTTGGCTGTCGTCGTTTTCTGCGGCCGCATCGCGCAAATAAGCCACGCCTACCTTCGTCTGACCACCGCTTCGTCGTCCAATCAACGACAACAAACATACTGGAGTCGGGAACAGTCAAGATTGTGGCCATGGCTGAAGAAGCAGGTCTTATATGCTCCTCTGGGGAGGAAGAGACACAATCGAGAGGTTCAGCTCTCTTCCGCTATCGGCATGGGCACCTTGCCGTCTCGATTCCAGACCATCTTGATCTCACTGTACTTCGCAAGTCAGGTTGTGTATTGCTTGTTTCTGGATTATGGCGCAAACGAAAAGCAAGCGCTGGTAGCAGAGCTTCGTGGACGCTCTGGAACGCTTGCCGTCCTCAATCTAGTTCCACTTTTTCTCCTAGCATCTCGCAATAACCCGTTGATATCCATTCTGAATATCAGCTTCGACACATATAATCTTCTTCACCGTTGGTTAGGTCGCATTGTGGTCCTCGAAGCCATCACTCATACCAGCGCATGGGCGGTCAACGCCTGCGCCGAGCAGAATTTCACTGACATGCTCGCACGGTTGAGGGACACCCCCTTCTTCAGCTGGGGATTAGTAGGAACATGTGCCATGGTTTGCCTTCTTCTGCACTCTCCTTCTCCTATCCGGCATGCTTTCTACGAGATCTTCCTGCATCTACACCAGCTCTTTGCGCTACTGGCTTTTGTCGGCGTGTATCTCCACTTGAAACTAGACTCTCTCCCGCAGAAGCCCTGGATTGACGCCGTCGCCGTGATCTGGATCACCGAGCGCAGCATAAGACTCCTTCGCCTTGCTTATCTCAACTTGTCTCCCAGACACGGCAGCACTCGCATGACCGTCGTTGCCCTCCCAGGCGAAGCCTGTCGAGTGACTTTCCACCTCCCAAAGCGCGTGGATATTCAACCCGGCTGCCACGTCTTCGCCTACATTCCTTGCGTATCCTGGTGGATGTCTCACCCCTTCTCCATCGCATGGGCTGAACCCCGGAGCACAACCAACGACAACCCATACCTGGACTACAAACCATCCAGCAATCCCCCTCTGACCCCCTGCTCCATCGAAAAGCAAGGCTTCGACCTCGACTTCGAACCTAGGGACTTTCGCCCCCAACCTACAGAAGTATCACTCATCATCAGCGCTCGCCAAGGCATGACTCGCGCACTTTACAACCTCGCCCGCTCAAAACCGAATCAAACACTTCATAGCTCTGGCTTCATCGAAGGACCCTACGGCTCTCATCCCGCAAATGCCTCCAGCTACGGCACGGCAGTCCTTTTCTCAGCCGGTGCAGGAATCACCCACCATCTCCTGTACACCCGCGATCTACTGATGCGGTCAGCCTCCGAAACAGCAGCAACTCGTCGCATCTACCTCATCTGGTCTGTCCGCTCCACAGACCATCTCGCATGGGTGAGTCAATGGATGGACCAGATTCTGAAACTTCCCATGCGCCGCGATATCCTCGTCATCAAGCTTTTTGTCTCGAAGCCACGGCGCGCCGCGGATATCGTCTCGCCCTCTAAGACAGTGCAGATGTTTTCGGGTCGGTGTAGACCTGACGTTGTGTTGAATGAGATTATGCCAAAGAGAGTGGGTGCCACGCTAGTTTCGGTTTGTGGACCTGGGGCTTTTGCGGATGAAGTGAGGATGGCAGCCAGAGAGAGGATTGGAAAAGGGGCTGTGGTTGATTTTGTGGAAGAGGCTTTCACGTGGTAAATTACCTAGATTAGATCTTTCTTTTATCTCTCATTGGTTTTCTCTTCTCTGTCTTTAGATTATGTTTATACCTTTTAACGATACATGGGCTGTTCTCGCATATTATCATATGTTTTCATTTCTGAGAGAGGTAACAGTATGTAGTATGTACGTTGAGATTGCCAGGATGGAAGTATTATGGAAGTATTATGAAGTGGTGTATTCGTATGAATGGTTCTAATCTAATCTAGAACTCTTCAGAAAGCCTTCTAATGCAAAACAAGTGCTTCAATGCAGACATGAATCAGGGGATAATAAAGATCTATGTATAGCGAACATTCAATAGCGAGTCGATCAATAAGCCTCGCAGAAGTCCAAAAAATAAACAAGAAAAGATTTTTGATATATCAAAAAGAAGAGGAAAGAAATGAGACTCAAGCAAATTAAGCAGAGCTCTTGTTGCGGCTGCCCTTAGGCACGCGGGCAAGCCAGTAAATGAAGACGGCCATGAAGATGTTGAAGATGATATAAATCCACATGAAGCCAAAGTTGCGCCACGCGTCTGAATAGTAGCTGCCGACTTGGGCAAGGTAGGTATCAGTCGATTTCATGGAGCAGAAGGAGCAGTCGGAAGTAGCGTTGGGGAACTGGAGGTATCCACCGTAAGACGTCATGTAATCGGACATGTACTGGTAACAAGTTTCACCAGAGGGAGGGTTGAAGTTGAGATACTCCACGGATCCACAGACAACGTCGGTGCCCGAGACACCGGTGGACAGCATTGCAGAGACGAGGTATGTGAAAGGCGAGACACGGTACATGAAGATCCAGAAGCCTGGCATTTGGGATGGGGTGGCAAGAACACCACAGAAGACGAGACAGAGGGAGAAGAACAGGTTGGCGAGGTTGCCACCAGTCTCAGCGAGCTCGATACCGGCGATAATCATGTGTGCGAAAGTAGAGGTGAAAAGAAGGAAAGTCCAAATCAGAAGGAACATGAGTGCTCCGCGCTCGTGGACGGCATCTGTGGGCTCGGCGTTCCGGTAGAGACCAATGGGATAGTACCAGCAAACAAAGATGAGGACAGCGGCGAGGGTGTTCCAGGGAAGTTCGACGAGAATGTTGGAAGCCATGAATGCCTGCCAAGAGTATGTCTTTGAGGGCCGCTCGCGCACTTCGTAGAGGGAGCGCTGGGTGCAGAAGTGAGGCATGATTTGTTGAACCAGGTTACCGAAGATGGTCATCAGCATGAAGATAGAGAACATCTGGTTCTGGAGGCCCTGGAGACTGTTCTTGGCATGGAAGAAGGAGAAACCGATGTAGAGCGCGGTGAGAATTGACAGGGCACATTTAGAGTAAATGTAGACCGGGGTGCGCCAGTACTGACTGAACACACGCACCAGACACTCGTAAAGTTGAACACTGAAGGGAGCGGCGAATTCCTTAAAGCTAGCGACATCGTTGGTGGGTTCGTTAGTGGCCTTCGTCGAAAGGGTGCTCTTCAGTTCAGCCAGATGATCGTGCACAGCCTTGCGCTCGGGAGACTCCTTCCAGACAGCAGGCCAGTCAATATCAGAATGGGATCCCGGTGCGGCACCAATAACTTCAAGCATCCATTCGGCAGGGTTGGCATCGCTAGGAAGCGGGGAGGCACCGTTCTTCTCGAAGTAGTTAGACAATGTAGAGGACTTCTCGCCAATGTCACCAAAGTAGACAGTTCTGCCACCGCGAGCAAGGAAGAGCAAGCGATCGAAGCGTTGGAAGAGCATGGCAGAGGGCTGGTGGATAGTGCAAAGAATAGCTTGACCGTGCTGGGTCAGAGTGTCAATGAGATCAAGGATAGACCAAGAAGTCTGACTGTCGAGACCAGAGGTGGGTTCGTCCAAGAAGAGAAGCAGTTGAGGTTTGGCAGCAAGTTCGACACCGATGGTGAGACGCTTGCGCTGTTCGACGTTAAGACCTTCACCAGGAACACCGACAATGGCATCGGCATAGGTCTCCATTCCCAAGAGCTTGATAACCTCTTCAACGTAGTCCAACTTCTCCTGTCGGGAGACCTCGGCGGGTTGACGCAGAATGGCACTGAACCGAAGAGCCTCGCGCACGGTAGTAGTGTACAAATGCAAGTCTTGCTGCTGAACATAGCCAGTCTTCCTCTGGAAAGACTGGTCACGCTGGCGACCGTCGACCAACATTTCACCGGTGACAACACCCATAGTGACACGAGTAGCAAGGACGTCCAACAGTGTGGTCTTACCAGCACCAGACACACCCATCAGAGCTGTACAAGTACCGGGCTTTACCCAACCATCAACGTGGTCCAAAATGCGACGCTCTTCGCCCTTGATCTTGATGTCGTAGCACACGTCCTGCCATTGGAAAATAGCTGTCTGGCGCTGGATAGCAGCACTGACTTCCTGACTGCCAGTCTCGTTTGTCTTCTCAGCCGGACCAACAATTTCGGTGCTTTCGATATCTTCAGTTCCAATGTTCTTGGGGGCCTGTCCACGACGGAAAAGCAAGACCTCGCCCTTAGACTTGGACTCGGAAATGTACTCAGTGGCAAGGAGATAAGTAGTGAGGAAGAAAATCATGAAAGCAAACATGATACCAAGGTTTCTCCACTTGTGGCTGTCATAGTACTGGAAGCTTGTGGCGAGGTATTCAGTACCTTGGACGTACTTCGATCCAGCGGTGGCACCGGTAGTGGAGCAAATCTTATTGGCCAGCGACATAGCGTCATACTTACCACCTTGCGGGACCATAGAGCTTTCCTCGCACAAGAAAGTGCGGCCGTGGAACTCGTTAACCATCAGGGACTCGAATCCGTAGGCAATAGGATCAAGGTAGTTCATCCATCGAGACCACCCAAGCATATCGCGAGTGGGAATTGTGAAACCAGTGTAGATAACCAGACCAAGAATCAGGATGGCGGCGGGCACCAGGGCCTGAGATAGGGTTCGGGAGCCCGCAGCAATGGTACGGAAGATCATAGACATGGTCAAGGTGGTGACGAAGGAGAACAGGAGGAAAAAGAAGAAAGCACCGGGCTCACGGCGGAGGTTTGTCATGAAGTAAAGAGTAATGTTGAAGGTGAAGGCGTTAAGAACCTTGTATGGCATGTCACACAACATGGAAGCAATGGCCTCCGCGAAAGGGTGGTACATAGCATAACGAGCTTGTTTTTCAACAATGGGACGTTGCGCGTATAGAGTCAAAATCTATTGATTTTTTATGTTAGTGAGAATTTCTTTCAAGGTGACAAGGTGATACGACTGAACTTACTTCAAGGGCACTAGAGAAAGCATTAAGGAGAACAGCGAAGAAAAGGAGAGCACCACGAGAGTAGAAGCTAGATGTGACGTCCTGGAGGTTGAAGAAGACAGAGCCAATGATCAAGGCCATGATAAAGTTACCAATGAGTTGAGACAGAGTCAAACTGGCATCACCCTTCAGACGCTGGAAACCTCGGACCATGCAAAGGTTGATCTGCTGCATGACAGACACAGTGTAAGGGGACTTGACACGCTGGTTCTTGTCTTGCATAGCCTTGCGACCAGCAATGAACTTCTGCAGAGCTTCTCCACCAAGAGGATAGCTCTGGTCGTACTCTTCGATTTCCTTGATCAAGCTGCGGTACTCCTTACTGTTCTTCCAGGCGGCAGCAAACTCATCGGGAGTGCGGGGGACTGCGTTCTCAAAGCCAGGACGCACAATGCGTTCGTGGGGACTAGTGAGCGAAGTCAAGAAATCGGCGTCAGTCTGGCGCTCGGGGCACTCGTAACCCATGTTGACAAAGAAAGCCTTTGCCTCATTGGTGCGACCGAAGTAGATCTGTCGGCCCTCGTACAAAACGGTGACCTTGTCAAACACATCGTAGGCGCTTTGAGAGGCTTGGTAAATGGCAACCGCACAGGTAGTGCCAGAGTACTTGGTCATCAAATTCAGAGTCTTACAGAACTCCAGGGCGTTGGCACTGTCAAGACCACGAGTACTGTTATCCCAGCACTGGAGCAGGCTACCACAGAGGGTGGCCTCAGCGATACTGACACGCTTGCGCTCACCACCAGAAACACCACGGACGAAATCGTTACCAACCTTGGTGTTAATGGTGTGGGATAGACCAAGCATGGCCATGACAACATCACGCATGTGCTCCGCATACTGATCGCGGGTGACACCCGGCAGACGGTTGCGAGGGGCACGAGCAAGCGCAGCGAACTTCAAGGTGTCACCAACGCAAAGCTGGGGGAAGTGCACGTCAGTTTCGGCGGTATAGATGGCCTCACCGCGGAACTGATTCTTCATCTGCTTGTCGGATATACCCTGATAGTTCATTTGAGAATCCTTGTCCTTGTAGATACCATTCATCTCGCCAGCCAAAGTCTTGAGGAAGGTCGAGCAACCGCTGCCAGGACGACCCAGCACGACGAGCATCTCGCCACTTTTGACCAGACCGTCGAAATCGCGGAGAATCTGAATCTTTTGCTTGCCAGTACCAGTCGCCATACGGGCGAGAGCTCCAATCTGAAAGACCGAGTTGAACACATCCTTCTGGTAGTCCGTGGGACTACCAAAACCGTGCACACTCAGGTTGCGGAAAGAAACACCTGCCTGGCGTGTCGGGTAGCGTTCGGGGTCCCGCGAGGTGAGGGCCAGCAGGTTCTTCATCCAATTGCGGGCGCGGAAGTTAGGGCTGGCCGGGTTGAGAGTCGAGTCCTCCTTGGTCTCAAGGAATGTGTTCTCACCCTCCGAGATGTGAGTTGACTCGCGGGTGAGCTTGCGAGCGAGGCGGGTCACCTCTTCGTCGATCCGCTCATCATTGGCGGCCTCGACCTTTTCATCCTCCTCCATCATGGTTTCGTCGGTGCTGACACTGGCTGTAGCGTCATGGCGGCGGACCTCGCGCGAGACCGAGACTGACTGCTCGGCCTCGGGAAGGTTGGGGTTAAGCGTCCCCAGGAGCGACATTGTGAGCTTACTGTGTCCCAATTGTCGGGATGTTGTTTTGATCCCAATAGCTCAATCGCAAAATAAATTAGGAAATCACCATCAATTGGCGCGTGGTGGGGCGTGTAAATAGAACAGTATAGCTGTTTTCGGTAAGAGAGCGATTAGAGTTTGGATTAAGGTACGGATTGGATTAGGTGATTAAGGAGTATTGAAGGGGAAAACGAAAGAAAGACAGAAAAAAAAGACGAGGTTAAATAAAGGATGCGGAGCCCTGATAATAAATAGGGATCGAAAAAAATAGGTTATCCATAAAATTCGGGACCGGGTGAATCCAGACTTTGCCTCCGGTACACGGGCTCTCCGGTGATAAGCAAAAGCCGGGGTCCGTGTCATAAAATTCGGGAGTCCACGTTGGATGCCTAATTATCTAATCTTAGTCGGTGGATTTTATTAAACTCGTGGAGAAACAGGATCCAGGCCTCTGGCCCTGTTCTAAACCTATTTGAAACCACAAGATTGTGTCGAGAATGATTGGCGGTACTTGATGGCGCCTAGTAAAGACGATGTAGATGAAAGTACCCCTTGGTATGGGGAATTGCCCAGTCCGCGCATAAAATCCACTAAGCGAGATGGCGTTATTGTGCACATAATGGGATATGAAACATGTACGAGAAACTTCCGCATCTGACACGTGCCCCACGTTGGTTCTAGAAGCTATACAAAGGGGAAAGAAAAGACTCCGACGTTCATTATCAATAACAGGGAAATAGTGGGCCGGAGTGGCTCCCATCCGACCGGTTGGCCCCACCCGGAGATCCATCGTCTCCATCCGCTGGCTCGGATGCAAGAATGCCCGTGTATCCGGGATGACTCAGCCCCGTTTCGTCCATCAGGTCACGGACGAAAACGGACGAATGTTGTATACTCCGAACCCAGGTGTGCAGAAGATCATGGTTTGAATTCGAACCTGCATTCCTTCAAGTCTATTGACTTCATGCTCATTGGCTTCATGCCCATTGGCTTCATGTCCATTGGCTTCGCCACGCCAACTAACAACCTTGTTTGCGGGACATCGAGCAAATACAATGGGCATCATTTGATGTGCTGACCCGAGGCTTACGTATACAAGTTAGGATATGCATGGCCAATGTACGTAGACCTAAAAAGGGAGTCCTCTATCACGGTGTGTAGTGTGTACACATGAATCATCATTGATGTCACATAACGTCTCAATATCAGGATTTGGATGGTGTGAAAAGAGGTCATAATTTTGGGTTTCCGTTTCAGGTACGGCTCAAATCACAAGCAAAACTCTATGTATGCGTACATCATCATGAGGTCTCTTCCTCCCCGTCTTCTTCGTCATCCTCCACAATCGGCTCCACTAAGAGATTGCCACCCCGGCCGATCTTATTACGGATAGTCCCGCCATCTTCCACTGCATACACCGCCCGAGGCATAGGTGAAACCAGGCGAAAGCCATACTGGTGTTCGAATCCGACAGGTGCAGACACGGCCGAAGTCTCTCCTCCTTGTAATTCTTCGTAACATTCCACCACCGCGTAGAGCTCCTCGATGTCAGCGTCAGGTGCAAATCGCCGCATGATCCGCTCTCCAGATGGTAGTCGCACGCTAATGCGCACCGCATCCTTAGCGTCGGGATCCGGCTCCTGCCGCAAGGACTGGACCCGCCATTGTTTCCACTGTATCAGATCTTGCTGTCTCTTCTCCTCTGCGGCTTGGCGATCTGCCGCCTCCTGTTCCTCCCGTTGTTGAGCTGCCTCTGCTTCCCGGCGTTGGCGAGCCCGTTCTCGGTCAATCGCGAGGGATCGCTCATACGCCGAATCCTGCTGTTCCCTCAGGCTGCGAGATGCCTGTTGCTCGGCACGGGTCGACCGGATACGCTCCAGAGGCTCCTGATTCGAAGAAATAGCAGTGCGGAGCCGGTTCACGAATTCGGTTGGTGCGGTGAGTCCGGCAACACGGCCAACCACCGACATTGCGGTCGAGGACACGTTCGGGGTGTGCACAATCACCGCTGCAAATGGGAACTTGGTAATCCGCAGTGAATTGGCGACCTGGTAGGCTTCGGAATCCTGAACGTTTCCACCCCATACTAAAAGGTTGTTGCGAGGGTCGTTGATGAACTCCACGACTTCTGGCGCCAGCAAAGTATCACGTACCCAGCCATGCGTGTCGTCATGCTCGGGTGATATCAGGATCACCAATAAGAACTTCAGGTCGCGGTGTGCCTTCTCCATTGCCATGTTGTATCCGTTCTCCAAAAATGGGATTGGGTGTGATCCATGCTCTTCCTCAAACTCACGAATAAATCGGGCTGCGGTATCTTTTGGCCCGAGAGAGCGGCGGCCGGTGGTATTTCGCCGAGCCCCCTGGAGTGCCGGATTTGCTGTAGCATTGAACAGTCGGGGTAGAAAAGGGAACAATGTCCCGAAGAGGCGGAATGAGCTGAACAGGAGTCGGTAAACCAGATTAAAGGGCGTAAATAGTAGGGCAATTATAAAAGGTGGGCGATAGGTGGGTTGATCTTCAGATTGAATATCGACTCGGGGCGCTGGGTCTGTGGTCCGTGCAGCTAATGACAGTTGCTCGGTGATATCCTCGGTCATCAAGTTCCGTGTTTGCCGGTTCACCTGGGGAGGTGGAGACTGAGGAAGTGCTGCACGGGCTTCTTCAAGCGGATCTGGGCCTTCGCCATCAAAGAACTTGGCAATCGCAATCTATTGTGGGGTAAGTTAGCTGAAAAGGAGCTCTGGGGAGTAGAGTAGCACGCACCTGAACATTCCATTGTGACCGGCGTAATAAAGGTATAGCATCTGTTAGTTCTTGACCTGTAACAGAGGTGTATGTTTCAAGAGCAGTTCTCTCACTGGGTGAGAGCTGGTCGAGGTCGAGGTCCGACGTGGACATGGTGGCTGATAGGTGGCAGACGTGAGCTGTCCAGGCCAAGAGGACATGTTGGACTGGCAAATGAGGACACCGCCCTGCTGTACCGCCTTGGCAGGCAAATAGGCTTTTTAAGCCTTCAACGTCGGTATGGATCTTATCTAATGATTAAAGTTGAGTCGAGGTGGCTTGCTGACAGTATCTTGTCTCATACATATCAGTATCTATCAGCGATTATACTTAGCAGCTAGGTGGGCTGTGAGAGCCTGTTCTATTGCGCCCATGTGCCCTGGTAGATTACATCATCCATAGATAAGGCAATCCGGGGTGTTTGTATCAGTCCAGTTCAGAAATATATCATCTCAAGTCTATCACTGATGGACACAGGATATGTTCTCAACTCCTATGGGTCTATGGCCCACTATTTATTATTCTTTAAACATTTGAAATTTTAATCCCAATTGCCAAAAATTGTCAATACTTGTAGTATAGCACAGTGCTTTACATGTGCAATTCTTTGACTCAGGTAGTTGCTCTGTCTCAAAATGAATAGTAAGGATCGGCAAAAAAGGCTAAGTAGAATTCAAGCTTACATTGACTTACTTATGGTATAATGCCGAGACATGTATTTCCAAATAAAGTTCTATATAGCCATGTGCAGACCTGGGTATTCAACTGTATAGATTCGATCGCGGGCCTGACCGCCTGGTCCGTGCACACTCCCCCTTCACTCGAGTTCATTCATCGCCCCGCGTCTTCCTCTTTCATTTCTATCGACGTCCTGTCTTGAATTCCGGTGGGGAGCGCCGCATTGGGACACATATCCTTATAGCCGTGGTGACCTTATTTATATCCCCGTTTCTTGTCGGTACCCTGACCCGCTTGCGACGATCACAACGCGCCAATCTGCCAAACCGCCGTGGGATAGGTGTCACATCACAAGGAATGTGGCTACCTCTCGGTCGACTCAATCCATTTTTTCATAGCCCCGTTTCAATGGAGATCCGACTGCGTTGATTTGTCCTGTCTTGTCGGTCCCAGCCGTCCCAATAATGGCCTCCTCCGGCAAGCCTGCTCTGGACGATTCCCGTCGCACGACAGGATCGCCGAAAATGAAGACCCGAGGTGAGTGTGCTGCATATCTATGGATAGCCCAGAATGGAAATATTGGACGGAGACAAGGACCGGGTTCCGTGCTTTGAATTGTTGCTCACAGAGGACGGGAAACAGAGAACGCGAAAGATACATTATGCCGCAATGTGACCATCTACGGCCGGTGTCGTTATGAAGATAAAGGTACATCTCCAATAGTTGATCGGAATTCCGGAGGGGTAGACCTAATTCATGAATCTGCAATCAGGCTGTGCTTTCAATCACGACCCCCAGAAAGTCAACGCGGCACACCAGTCGGACAGGTAAATCAACCAGATACCCAGGTTTAGACAGCAGGCTGATGGATTTGTTCTCCGTGCCAGTAATAAGAAACGATTTAACGTGGACTCGCCGAGCTTTACCCCCTCTCTTTTGTCGGGCAATGGCGCATCTGCGCCCAAGAAATCCACCATCTCCCCGAAAGCTGCCAGCGCGGCCCCATTTCAACCCAGAGTTGCCGCATCCCGTATGCCCTCCGATTCGGATCCATATTCATCCCCACTGACTGGCAAAGGATCCAACACCAGCACCCCGAGACAAGAAATAGGAGCTCCCGATTGGACGACAGTGGGGGAAGTGCAGGAGTTTGTTCCGCAGGGCTATGATGCCGCTCACGTGGTAGGTTGAATCGCTCCTTCCTCTATTGTGGGACTATAGAATCTTCAATACCGAAGTCCTTTGGAGTTGAAAGTTTCGCCTTGGAAACACATCACTACAATTATGCTTGGATCCCACCATAACCGCTCCAGCCGAAGCTTGAATGCTTTGTCCGATGACTGGGATCCAGCTTCGGTCTCGGAATGGAGCAAATACAAATATTGCAGCTCTATTATGAACGTGCATCTGACTGACACATCTTTACAGTCACCCCTTCAAGGCAATGGGAACGGGGCCATCGCTGCCGCTGGTGCCTTTGACCCATTCGTGACAGCCTCACCTCTTTCTGCCACGGGGGGTGTTGGGCCTGTTTCCACCAATCCATACGCACATGATGCCACTGCTCTAGGAGGAGCTACTTTCTTTGCAAGCCAAACTGGCTTCCAGCAACCTGTATGCGTCATCCTGCCAGTACCGTTTCCATTGGTCTAATTCAATCCCGTTGCAGGTCCAATATCATCTTTATGCTCCTATCGGCCCTCACAACCAGAACACTCTTGGTTACCAACGTAACGTTCACGACCTCTTCCTCCCCAACGATTTCCGTGAAGAGCTGCAGAAGAAAGCTGCGGCTACCTTACAAACATTACCCAGTAGGTTGACATTCATTTTCTAGACACGACTGGATTGCTAATTTTTCAAGACACACAACTGCCTGCGCAAGTCGATTACTTCCACTCCCTTGTTCCATTGGATTTGAGTCATCAGAAGAACGCCACGACATTCGGTTACCCTAGCTGGGTTTATAAAGCGCAGTCGAGCAAGGACGGTAATTTTTATGTGCTTCGTCGGCTTGAAGGTAGGTAACACCCCTTGATAATCCCTGAAAATGACCAACTAATCATTTCAGGATTCCGCCTGACAAATGAGAAGGCCATCCGATCTGTCCAGGCCTGGAAGCGTGTTTGCAGTGGCAGTGTGGTCACAGTCCACGATGCATTCACCAGCCGAAGCTTTCAAGACAGCTCACTTATCTTTGTCACCGATTATCATCCGCTTTCTAAAACACTTTCCGAGCAGCATCTGGGAACCGGGAATCGCTTTCAAGGCCGCCACAACACTCACATCCCTGAGCAGGTTCTCTGGGGCTATATGACACAGATCGCAAATGCTTTGAAGGCAATCCACACCAATGGTCTTGCAGCCCGGGTGTTGGAGCCGAGTAAGGTTCTCCTGACAGGCAAAAACAGAATTCGCCTGAATGCCTGTTCCATCCTTGATGTGGTCCAGTTTGATACTCAACGGTCCGTCGCGGACCTGCAGCGACAGGATCTAGTCAATTTCGGGCAGTTGATCGTCACTCTGGGTGCCAACTCGCCGAATGTGATGCATAATGCAACCAAGTCCATGGATCATTTCACACGTGCATACAGCCAGCAGATGAAAAACTCGGTCTTTTGGCTGTTGGGCGGGCTTCAGAAGGACCAGGAACGTACCATTGACATCTTCATCACCGGAATCTCTTCTCAGCTAATGTCCACTTTTGACTCGGCGCTGCATTTGGACGATCAACTTACATCCGATCTCAGCCGCGAACTTGAGAATGGACGCCTAGTGCGTCTGATGACGAAACTGAACCTTGTCAACGAACGGCCTGAATACGATCACGACCGACAGTGGTCCGAGAGTGGGGAGCGCTATTTCTTGAAGATCTTCCGAGATTACGTCTTCCACCAAGTGGATGCCCAAGGCGACCCAGTGGTCGATCTCGGCCATGTATTGACTTGCTTGAACAAGCTTGATGCAGGCAGCGATGAAAAGGTCACGCTGGTGAGCCGGGATGAACAAAGCTGTTTCATTGTCAGCTATAAGGAGGTCAAGAAAGCACTTGAATCTTCTTTCCAGGCGTTGATGAAGCCGACCAGAAGGATGCACTAAGCACCTCGGCTTTTTTTTTTTTATTGTGCCTGTTAAATTTGGGTGTGACTTGTTATTGGGTTTTGGTTGTCTTTGTTTCCCCGTCTTTTGTTCGTTCCACACCCCGCAACCTGAGTCATACCCTCAATGGTATTGGGTATACCATTGCAACCCTCTGGTCTACTCATCGTCTTGTTATTTGTTTTGCTCGACACGCAATGCTTCCAGCCATGCGTCTTGCACATCTCATGGGAAATACACACTGATAAAGAATGAAGAAAATCAATACTACTGCGCATTCTGGTAAATGTAGATTAATGTTTCCACCTAACTCTCCCCTACAGCTCCATTCTGGCCTCCAGACCCAAGCGCTCCCTCAACATCTTCACCGTCATCTCGTCCGTCGCTTCTGCCCCTTTGGTCTTTCCACCCAACACCTTGGGTGGAATCAGTATGCGATCCAGAACATGTATAACCCCATCTTGAGCCAACACATCGACCGTCGGCTCCCAGAACCCATTCACCCTAAAATCCATCCCGGAGTCTTTCTCCAGAATATCCACCGTCACATCATAACCATTCAGCAGGGTCGGAGAAACCACATGCACAACCGGATAGTTCTTCACTTTCTTGGCCATTCCCACCCTATTCGCAGAGACTCGCCCCCGATCCACCATGAAATCCCTCAAGTCATCAACTTTCCCCTCCGCCCAATAAACCGCATCCGAATAGACAGTCCGATTCAAAACAAGGTGATAATTCAGCAACGTACGTAAGCACTCTTCACCCTGCGGTGAGAAAAGGAACTCGTTCACTTGTGTTCCGAGAGTACGGAAGGCATCATTCGTTGGTGCAAACGTTGTACCAGTCGTCCGGGTTCTGGCATCTAGATGGCTGTCCAGCCCTGTGTGAGCGAGAGCAAGGGCAAATATGCTAAATTGCTCGGGGAGGGTACTGAGGATGGCTTTTGTTGTTGGGGGTGGGGTCAGAGGGATGTCGATATGATGGATGATGCCATTTTTGGCGATCTGAATGATGTAAGGATCTATGTAAGTAGGATTGGAGTAGGCAGAGGACGTACGATGTTTCCTGCTGTGATACCAGTTTCCCCGTTCAGGAGGATTGAATGCTTAACTATATCCACTCGAAGCCGCTGGGGCGATTGTTGGCCCTTGTTCTTGTCCTTGTCGTCGTTGTTCTTATCGTCCTTGTTCTTATCGTCCTTGTTCTTGTCGTCCTTGTTCTTGTCGTCCTTGTTCTTGTCGTCCTTGTTCTTGTCGTCCTTGTTCTTGTCATTATCGTTATCCTTTTCATCTCCCGTCGCTTGCCCCGGCGTAGTAATATTCAATGCAGTCGGAAGCGTCTGATGTTCAAAGGCTTTGAGATCCTTGATAGAGAATTGCCCCAAAACAACATGATAACGCAGCATCTCCTGCATCGAATGAAGTGGATTCTGACCTTTCAACCGATCTAGAGCACGATCCGTCAATGCAAAGAAGGTGAAGTTATGCTCGGTACTGCTGAGCAGCTTAATCAGATCATTATCTTTCCCCAGCATATTCGCAAGCTGTTTGGTTTCGTGACCTTGGTTTATCAATTCCCAGATGGAGCTGTTCGACGCACATCCGTATGGGAGTTGGCATGGTTCATCGGAGTTTGGACGTGGATAGCCGGGCTTCGGATTTCCTGGATATCCAGGCCAGCGCGGATCACCATCATCATGGTTACGGAAGAGATCACTCTCTAAGAAAGTCTCAAGCAGGGCCTTCTGTTGAGGTGTTACCAGGGCGGTGCACAAAGCCGCCACAGGCAGCAAAAGTCCTAGAGACCGCATGGTGAGTAGGGATGGAGAGTTTTAAGCCCTATGGGGTGAAACAAAACTATTAGCCTTGAATGCGGCATTGCGTCGCTTTTATTTCTATAGAACCAAGGCAATTCTATCAAGGTGGTACTACCTGAATCGCATCCTTGGTCCCCCGCGACAACAGGGATGTCACGTATTACCTTCCAACTGCCACTTCAGACACACATTGAAGACCCGGCTGGGCTGTGTACGGAGACATCGTGCAATTAGAATCACAGGCAGTCGTGACACACCAATCAATTGATTCCAGTATCGGATCTCAAGCCTAGACTTCTGGATGTCACCGAGCACAGACGATCAAAGCCTGTTTTCAAAGCAAGCTGTGGCACCTACCAGCCGTAGACGAGGATCTGTCGGATCAGATAGTGACGTTATAGCAATTATCCTTGCGTTCAAACACATTATGTACATTTTCCCACTGGAATTCCTTAATCCAGATCTGGCACGGGCAATCCATTCACGATCTTCACCTTGCGGCCAAGCTTGTCAAGCGCAATCTTGGAGTTCTTAGCACGTAGCTCAGATGTTTCGGCGTCAGACACCAACACAAAGTCATAGGTGAGCAGGGCATGGCCCTCAGGAACATTATACTTCTTCGCAATCTCGGGACCAGCCTTGCCAATATCCACGGTCAGAGAATCCTTGACACCAAAGACAGCATCCGAGGTCTCATAGGGGTCATTGCGGAGGTATAGCGCGCTGTGAGATAATTAGCATATACCCAAAAACACACTCTTTGCGGGCCAACATACGTAACCAAGTGATCATAACCCTCCTTCTGGAACATGAAATGCATATGCGACGGGCGGTACGGGTGACGGTGCAACTTGGTCAACAAGCGTCCTACCGGTCCATCGTGGGGAATGGGGTACGGCACAGGTGTAATGGCCTTGAACCAAAACACACCACTCTTATCAGACCGCATGATACAGCGACCATCAGGCTCGTCCCGACCCGCATACTGCACATCATAATGGCCAGTACTATCCGTCTCCCAGATGTCAATCTTGACATCATCAATCGGCCGACCCTCCATGTCCTTCAGTGTGCAAACAACGAGCAGCGGTTCGCCCTTGGGATCATGCGACATGGATTCACCGGCTGGCATCTCCTCCGCATCGTGGGTGTGGAAGGGACCCAGGACGGTACCCTCGGTGGAGCCGGGAGGCTTAGGGTGATCGATTGAGTCAACAAGGATAGAGAGACCGAGGACATCGGAGAGGAGAATGAACTCTTGACGGACTTCCGTGCAGATCTGGCCGACTTCTGTGAGGAAGCGGAGACCGGTCATCCATTCGTCGGTGCTGAGGCGGGTTTCGCGCGCGAAATCGTGAAGATGTGTTACGAGGCGCTCGAGGACATATTTCATACGCTCGTCTTCGCAGAGCGAGTTGATTGTGTGGACATTCTCGGTGATGTTGTCGACCGTTAAGTCTTTCATTGGGGGGATCTTGACCTTGGCGGGATCCATGATTATTTACGTCAGATGGCGATAGGTCACAATGATTGGGTATATGGGAATGGGGACACAAGGTAGAGAGAATTGAGATTGAAGCGAAAAGGAATCCGGGGATCGTCGACTATTATATCGTCACTGCCTTCCGAACCCGGACTTACGGCACTTCCGGCGGGAGTTCAGTTGCTGGTGGGGTGAAGTGCAGCGGTGTTTTTACTGGGTAGTTAATGTCTGGATCGAGTGGGCATAAATGCTGTTCGACAGGGCAATTCCCACTTGGTTCGTTCATATTTATGGGCATTCTATAGCTAGATGGGTCTTTTCCACCCCGCAAGAGGTGCCCCGCCCAGTCAGCGCAGCGGAATTACTGTGCTAGTGAAACCCGGCAATGACTTGGTTGATCTATGCCGAGAATTGACGAAACACAACTTTGTTGTTACATAGATTGAATTGCCCAGTTCAATCTTTCTTGGACGGGAGGTATGATAGAGCTCTACCTATTGTAGTCTTCATGCCACCATCTATGGATGAGAATATAGCCGGGGGTCCCCACGTACGCGGAAGGAATTCCTGGTCTTGGTCAGCATGTTCTAAGCTAAGTAGAGTGGGGCGAACGGTTGATGTATATCCGACTGGAGGCAATATTCAAACCTTGTTGGGTTCTACGTACACAGAATTCCAAGGTTCTGGGTTCATCTTTCATCTATATCCGTGCGGGGTGATCCGGGGTAACAGTTACGGATAGAATGGATTCTTAATACATCATGGGCTAAGCTTTATTCACTGTACACTGGCTGGCCAGATTCATAAAACAAACATTCAGAGCCAGAGGCCTCGTTCCTTAAACGCCGAAATTCAATGGTCAGCCATGATAGATAGAACAAAAGAAAATAAAAAAGAAACTCCGAGCCCTCGCTGTTCAAATATCACAGGGCCTTGCGCTCAATCGAGAAGACAATGACATGTATTGCAAAACCTAACGACTGGACAGTATTCAGCTGGCTTGGTTAAAGCCCTCTTGCTGCCAGTCATCGGCCTGGAGCTGGCCACTGCCACTGCCGCTGCCACTACCGCTGCCCATGCCATGGTTGGCATAGGCGGCGGCGGCGGCACCACCTACAGCGCTCATGGCGCTATGCTTCTCGATCTCCGTGGTGCTCATCATGTACAGCACCACAAAGAGAAGGATGTGAAGAGCAAAGCAGTAGCCAGCAAACAGATTCCGACTAGTCCGGTTGGCCATAATAATGCGGGTGAGGGAGAACACAATCCGTTCTGGTAGACTCATGCGCTTGTATGCACGGGCCGACTCACGGCCTCGGAAAGCAGCAAATGGAGAGATCCGTGCTTCGTATTGAGACTGGTATCGATCCATGGACAACCCAGAAGGTGTGTCCGATGAGTTATATACGGAGGTGGCACTGGGTGCGTTCGCGTACGAGGAAGCAGATGTGGATGCACCCTGGCCGCGGCTGTAGGTGGAAACATATCGAGTCTTCTCATAAAGACTCAAGTTATCCTTCTGGAGGGACGCGACCTCTTGCCTCAAAGACTTGACAGTGCCGTACAACTTGGAGAGCTCCTCTTCAAGTTCTGCATTCTTCTTCTTGAAGCGATCTCGTTGAGCCTGAATCATCGGCAATAGACCAGAGCCACCCCCAACAGCCTCCCCGGCACGAATAGCATCCATGGTATTGGCAGATACGGCGCTTTGATCAAAGCCAGAGATGATTGACGACGTGGGAGATGTCGCACCTCGGCGAGAGGAATGGGGGTACCGAGAAGAGTAAGTACCAGCAACGGACATCGCCGATGAGGGAAATGCGTTGGCAGCTTCTTGCTGGACTCGCAGCAGATCGTTCTCCAGGGTCGATGATAAACTTCGAGATTTCTCGAGCTCTTCTTTTGTCGCTGAAAGCTCGCCGCGCATAGCTTCAAGTTGCCCTTGAATGTCGCGCGACGACACCCGCAAGACAGTGAGATCATCGGTCAATTTCTTGTTTCGAGCCAATAAGAGTTTTTCTAGTGAATTTTGCCCATTGGCCTTGGTAGCATCGCCGTTGGTATTTGCTGTATCATCCTCCGCCGTAGTCTCGCCCTCGTCATCATCACCGGCCGTAAATTCAATCGATTTGATCATTTCTAACTCTCGGCGGATTTCGTCATAGTCCGCAACCTTGCTCAGGCGAGCGCGCAGCTCATCTCTCTCCATTGTGGCCTTTGATGCGTTTCTCTCCGCCTGGTGGAGCTTGCCCTCCCAAGTGTGCCGAGTCGAGTCCTTGTCAAAGCGAGCCGCATCCAGCTTGCGTAGCAGAGATGAGTTCTCTGACTGAAGACGTTGATAGGCTGGGTCATCTTCAACAGAAGTTGGTCGATCGGGGTTCGAGTGAGATACGGCCTGGGCCAGTTCTAGTCGTAGTTGCTCATTCCGCGCTTCCACATCTGCTAACCTCAAACTGGTCTTTTCCAAATCAGAAGAAACAAGCTCCAGTTCCGCAGCGGTCGCACCATTCCGAGCGCCATCATTGTCGTCATCTTCGCCCATGCGCTGAGAAACCTCATAGCTTGCTTTGAGTTCCTTGATCAAGCGTTCCTGATTTTCAACCTTCTCTTCTAAACTCTTCTCCTTCGCGGTCCAGTTGCTTGTCTTCTCTGTTAAGACAGCCTCCCAAGATGCTTCAATCTCCTTCGCCCGGACCTCTTGGTTATCTTCCAACTTCTTCCGCGCAGCACGCTCCTCCTGAAGACGCTTCTCTGTTTCCTCTTGTTGTCTGGTAAGACGTTCGACCGACTGTTGCAATTGGTCTCGCTCGGAGGTCAATTTTGGAACGGTCTCTTCAGAAAGGACCAAGGAATCGACGGAGGCCTCAAGAAGTGGGTAGGGATCGGGAGCTTCGGACAGGGACGAGTATAATTGGAGGAAGGAAGATGAAGATGCCTTGCCTTGGTTTGTCAGGACATCGATGAATGATTGGTACGCTTTCAGTAATCCCTTGTGCTCGGTGAGCTTGTCCTTGTCTTCGAGTTTCTTGAAGTCTTTGGTCTTTTGCGCCAGTTCCTTTCTTTGAACAAGGGATTCCCGCTGGTATTCAACAATATCGGAAGCGGTCGTGTCGAGTTTGGCAATGGTGCTAGCTAGGTCAATTCCTAAGATGTGTTAGTCGCAAGTGGCCAGATGGCTTCTTTTGGTTTGTTTCGGCCACTCACCACGCCAAGCGGCAATGGCGCGCTGGAACTTGTTCGTCTCCTCGGAGAGTTTAGCGGACATTTCGGGCGGTGCATCATGTTGCTCCTGAGCGGCGAGGCCCTCTGTGATGGCAAAAGAATCCATGACCAGCGTTCAGCCCTAGAGAGCGCAGTTTCACCCCACACCGAAACACAAAACCCAAAGGTTGGGGAAACCGCGCGGAGATGCAACAGGACACGCGGCGCACGGGCCGAAGTTCTTCCGATTTGAACAGCGACCGGGGGTCTTCGTGGTATTCTTAACGTATTATTGGGCTATTTGGATTGTCGTTGTATTTTGTCTGGAACTTTCAAAGTGGTTGCCTTGATAGCCGTTGGCACCCGCTTTCTGTTCCTGATTGACAGTATGAGAGTGGCCCCTGAACCTTAGCTTTGGCCCCAGTCTGACCGCCTTCCAGCTCACTTTCAATGCTGCGCGGGGACAAGACTCCTGCAAGCTAGCCATCATGGCTTCAGATGATGGAGGCCCCCGTAAGAGGCGCAGAATAGCTCCTCCTGGGTCAGATCCCTATGTTCTAAGATCGCTTTTCGAGAATGTGCCCGTGGAGACCGAGGACAACAGTGACGTCTACATCACCTGCGTCGAGTATTGGGGTAAGCTATCATGACGTGGTTGGGGAGAGCTGCCTGCTGACCACCTACAATTCCAGATGAAAACTTGTATATTGGAACCTCGGCCGCAGAGATATTGCACTTTGTGTGCCTTCCATCCGCTTCCGACGACTCGAATGAGCCCACGTTCATACTCGCGTCGCGATTGCCTATCCCATTCCAAACTACGCCCTCGAACAGTGATCAGCATGGTGTCCAGCAAATCGGCATACTCGCCTCTGTGAACAAGGCTTGTGTACTTTGCAATGGCACGGTTACTTTCTACATGCTACCGGAGCTCAGCCCGGCGTTCGGTAATACCAAGGTTAACCACTGTCGGTGGATCGGCGGCTTAGATCTTGATCAGAATAGCGAGTCTGAGCAGAACCCTGTGGTGATGATTGCCGCGCAAAACAATATCATGCTAGTTCAGATTGGCGAGGAGGCACGCCGCATCAAGAAGATTGGGTTCCCCGGGTGCTTGGTCGCAGCCCGCAGAGGCACAATTGCATGCGCGGCCGACTCCCATTCGTACTCGCTGCTCGAAGTTGAACACCAGCAGAAGATCCCACTGTTCCCTATCTCATCCTCAAATGAAGTCTTCGAGTCTGGACAAGTGGAAGACATTGTGGCGGGACCTCAAACCCCTCTAAAACGATCTCCTTCGTCATCTTACCCAAGCTCTCCTCCTACTGATTCACATGCGCATGGCAGAAGTAGCAGTCTAAACGCATTTGCAGGCATGCTACAGCCCCATGCACAGACGCCTCAACAAGCTCGATCGCCTTCGCCTTCGGGAACCCCAGATCCCTTCACAGCTACTGGGACACCCCGCCGATCAAGCTCGGAAGAGAGAGAAAATGAAAGTTCTCAGAAGAAAACCACAGACGGCCCTCAAGATGTATTTCCACCGGCAATTTCTGAGAGCGCCAAACCGCTTCCTCCCTTGCCTCCGACACAAGTTTCAAGGCAACTACAGCCCCATGTGGTATCACCGACCCCTTCTGAATTCCTTCTTGTAACTGGAACTGAAGAAACAGAACCTGGTGTGGGTATGTTTGTAGACTTAGATGGAGAGGTTGTGCGGGGAACGATTAATTTCCATCGATACCCGAAATGCGTTATTATTGATGCCGGAGAAGACGATCAATTCCTCCAACCCAACGAGGATGCCAGGGATGAGTTCGTGCTTGCCATAATTGAAGAAGGAGACGATAAAACTCGGCTCGAGATCCAACGATGGGATGACGATCCGGCGGAAATTGAACGCCAAAAGCGATGGATGGATATACCTTCCCCGGGAGCAAAGCCTGCTCGGGTCGGTCTACGGCATACTGTTAGTCCCAGCCATGTTGAGCATGAGGATATCGGGCAGCTTTTGCGAATGGCTCGTCTCAAAACCCCTTTGCTTTCGCCGCATGTACCGACAGCAGACCCTCGAACACAAGCATCTATCGAGCATCTTCAGAAGGAAGAGGAACTCTTTGAGTCTCAAGAACTGACCGATTCCGAGGGCGCCAAGAAAGGTGGAGCAGCTTCAGGCCGAGGCTGGGAGGCTCAACGTAATGCCGAAGAGGCAAAATTTGCCCATGGTCTGGGTAAACTCCAAAGCAGTCTCATACTGTGGTCAGGGTCCCAGATATGGCGCATAGTCAAAAATCCCTTGGTCATTCAGCTTGAAAACTCTCTGCAGCAGGCTCAGTATACCAATGATAGTGGGCACATTATTCTGCAGCGGGATTCGATCATGGCGTTGATGATGTCAATTCGGGACATTGAGCCCCAGAATGAGTCCGAATTCATCGGTCTCGGCTACGTGAAGCAGAAAGCAAGTCTTTTGTTATACGGAGACCTTCTGTCTATGCCTTCCGATCACCGAGGCGAATTCGTCATCGAACCTACTGAACAAGCTCTTGTGGCCGGTAACCTAGACCCTCGTCTGGCTTTATTATTCATCCCCCTTCTCCGATGTGAGGTTCTACAGGGCCCTCAGGGGATCTGGGTACACTCTGGATTGGCCATCCTGACAGAGAATTATATTCAGCAAGTCGAAAGAGTAAACAGCCAGCCTTCTGATCCAGCTGCCATCAACGGTCCTGTGCTGAACATGGTGAAGCGATTCCTCTTCTCTTGGCAGCAGAAAAGAGGGTATGGTAGCATCACGGACGAAACGTATGTCTTAGATAGCACCGACGCCGCTCTGCTACATTTGGTTTTGGAACAAGATGCCAATGCAGGTGCGGACAAGCGGACGAAGTTGGCGACTCGCACAGAGTTAAATCGGCTGGTCGATACTTGGAAGGGAAATTTCGACCGGGCTGTGGCGCTTTTAGAACAGTACCAGAGGTTATACATCTTGAGTCGTCTCTACCAAAGCCAGAAGATGTCTCGCAATGTTCTCAATACTTGGCGAAGAATCGTTGACGGAGAACCCGATGCCGGTGGGGAGCTCACTGCGCCCGGTGTCGAGGCCCAGATGCGCAAGTATTTGGTCAATATCAAGAACGCCCAGCTGGTGGAGGAATATGGGTCATGGCTCGCTGGACGAAACCCTAGTTTGGGAGTGCAGGTATTTGCCGACAACTCTAGTCGTGTGCGACTAGAACCTGCAGATGTTGTCACGCTGCTCAAGAGAAAAGCCCCCAACGCTGTCCAGGTTTACCTGGAGCATTTGGTCTTTGCCAAAAACGTGAGTCCTTTAACGAACCTTTCCACCCATCATTTCCTAACTGGTCATAGTACACTCAATATGCGGACGATCTCATCTCGTACTACCTGGACGAAGTGCTCTCTGTGCTGGAGTCTTCATCCGCTGCGCGGGATTCTCTCTCAGATTCATACTCGACATATCGGGCCCTGCGTCCACCCAAGCCAACTTACCTAAACTTCATCACAGAGAATACACCTAAGGAACCCTGGTGGCAGTCTCGTCTTCGTCTATTACAGCTGCTAAGCGGAACCTCAGGCACACAATACTCATCCACTCCTCTTCCCTCGGGCATCACCTACTCCATTCCCAACGTGCTGGCACGTATTGAGCCCTTTCAAAACGAGCTAGTTTCGGAGAGCATAATTCTGGATGGTCTACAAGGTCATCACCGTGCTGCCCTCCGGCTTCTCACCCATGGTCTAGGGGATTACGATTCAGCCATTCGGTACTGTCTCTTTGGTGGACCGCAAAGCTCAAGCTCGTCAACTAGCCCCGAACTTGCCGACCACGCTTTGCAGTCCGAACTTTTCCGCCATCTGCTGGATGAATTCCTGCATATCCAAGATTTGACCGATCGGATAGAGAGAACCAGTGATCTCCTCGGCCGCTTTGCAGCCTGGTTTGATGTCCGTGAAGTTTTGGACCTTGTTCCCGAAGACTGGAGCATTGATATCCTGGGTGGTTTCTTGGTGAATGTCTTCCGAACACTCGTCTCTCAAACACGCGAGGCCCGGATAGAACGTGCCCTCAGTGCAGGTCTTAACCTGCGCATCGGCGTTGATTATAATGATAATATGGAGAAGGCCGGTCCCTGGGTAGAGGATGGAGAGGGTCTTCGTCGTTTAATGGGTGGAGCTCAGTCGCTTCCTACTCGGCCTGATGATGCTAATGAAGACGACGGAGAATTTGGAGAAGTGGTGTCACCTGACGCCAGGGACGATTAGATGACCATTGTACAGCTGATTTTGACTGTGATACCTACCCAATTCCATTTCGTTTATTTGATACTGAAATATCATGGACAAAGAATCAGACTGCTGATGAGTTCGGTATCTGCACTTTGAATATCCGTGTGCGTTGTAATAATCATGTATTTCGTTCCTAGGCTTCCTAGGACAAGGGACTCGTGCCGGGATCAGGTATGCAGCAAGGTCTTTATCATACATTAATTCTCAGATGAACAGATAAAAAAAGATTTCATGGTGCATTCGTTCCCTTCGTAGCTCCTGATGAGCGTGCACTCCGCTAAAGTCAGGGTCCAATTGGTTTTTCATTGATGGAATCCATCAAGGACTTTCACAGCCGCCCCCAAAGCAGCCGGTCATTGCATTTATTGATTGAGTTAAATGAAAAGGGGAAAATCTCTTATTCCTCGAGCTGCACGAACGGGTTGGGAATTTCCTCACTTCCATCCGCCGGCGAGATGAGCACAATGAGTGTACCACGAGCGACGATCAGACCCAGCGAGCGGGTAGTCTGGTTGCCCTCATCATCTGGAGGATGTTAGCATAAGAATTGAGATTTTATCTCATGATGACTAGAACATACCACGCATGGACTCCTTGACATCGTCGAGGACGAGGTTCATGAGCTGGTCATAACCCTTGAGGGTTCCGGTGACTAATAGCGAATCAACAATTGATCAGATAGAATTAACCTTGGGAAGGTTAAAAAAGGAAAAGACCCACCTTCACGACCACCATTGAACTTGACCTGGACCTCCTTGTCCATATACTTATTGAGGTCGAGGATGTTCTCCTTCTTGGGCTTCTCCTGTGCACCGCCACCACCGCCACTTTTCTGCTGGGACTGACGACCGCCGCCGCGACCACCACCGCGACCTCGGAACGAACCACGTTCGGACATTATGGTCTGATCGTTAAGGGGGGGGGGGAAGAAAAGAAAACAAAAACAAATTCCTCAATGGAAAGTCACTAAACCTAGATAGGAGAAGTAGACCGGAGAAGCAAGATACGATGAGGTTCACTCAGTGAAGGGGTCAAGTGTATGAGGGATTTTTAGCGCGGGTTGTGTTCGTGCCTTAAGGTGATAAGGCGATAAGTGCGCTAGTTAAGTTCCCGCTCAATGGAAGTTCCGCTGGTACTGTATTGTTACCATTCTTACCGCCCCCGCGGGTCCCGGGGGCTGGGAGCGGAGCCTGTCTCGGTGGGGTACAATTGTATTTCCCATACCCAGGTACACAAATTGCTGCTCCAGGCATCCATAATACCAAGCTCTAAATGTATCAACCTAATCGCAAGTCGTCACCAATGTGGAGGCCAAAAGGCTTGTTTATTGGGGATTGACAGAGCGAGGAAATTCGATGTGCAAATCATAATGAGATGGACCAGTCAATTCAAGTATACGTTGTACAGGTAGACGCACGCATCACGGGGACCACCCGGACATTGCTGCCCATGCCTCAGCGGAAAGCCCCGGCGGGACTCCGCTGCGTACAACTGGCTGGTCTTCGATCTGGGGGCTATCTTCTGGATCCCTATTGTATTTTTCACTTCTTTCGTGAGAGGTGAGATCTTTGCATCATTTCGCTCTCCGTTCATTGTCGCGGACTCTTTACTTTACGCTTTTCCTCTTTGTCCAGCCCGCCCACAGTCTTCCGCCCTGATCCCGCCGGGCTGATTTACTGTAGCCTTAATCTCATTTCCGTTACCGCCCCTGGTCTCACTCATTTTTTTCGGTCGTCTCTTCCCTTCCCAACGTGTCCGGACTCCGAAGTCCTCGCGGTCGATACTCCGACGCGAAATCAGAGCAAAAAAACCGTCCCTGAATGCGTTTTGACCAATTCCACCATGGATTCCCGCCCCGCGACCACGGAGCTGTCCAACAAACGGCCTCGGTCTCCTACCACCGACCAGCAACCGCAAACCAAAGTACCTAAGACACATTCCAACCATTTACAAATCAACTACCTCGCGCGACAATGCCCCGAAAACCTCCCCCTCGTCTCCGCCGACGATAGTATGCCCTCGATCATCCATCTGATCGGAGAATATGACGGAGTCCTCCACCGCCATGAGAGCATTGCCGGTAACCTGGGCGCATGTCCACTGGGGCCCATCTTGATCAAACGCTTTGAGCGTCTGTTTGATGGGCCCCCGCAGGTGGTCAAGCAGCATGGTAAAGATGGGCCGACTGTGACCTGGTTGGACGTTGTCGAATTCGCCAAAAATAAGCCGGAGCAGTTCAAGCTGGAGAAGTCGCGTAACGGTGTGAGCATCTGCCAGTTCGTCACAAAACAGTGCCGGGTGGAGATCAGTGAAGAGGATTTTGTGCTGATCGCATCGGGCATGCCTCAAAAGATGATCCCCCCACAGCCAATCATCGAAGATGAGGAGAAGGAGTTGGGCGCACTGGAAATCCTGGAGAAAAACCTCCAGCAGATTACCCAAATGGCCGATCAAGGTAAGCCAGAACCTCCCTTCCGTCGCAACATTTACATAGTTTCTAACTTTTGTCGCAGCCGCTGCCCGAGCTCGTCAGCTCAGCTACCGCCTGAAGAACCGCCGCACAGCGATCCAGAGTCGTCGACAGAACGATGCGACTCTGCAATCTCGTACTGGTGAATCATGGCGCGAATTCAATGGCCATTCATCTCATGCTTCACCATCGGGGTTCGTTGCTGTCAACAACGCTCGAGCCGAGGCCGAAACCGAAGACAATTCGCTGTCAGCACAATTTCCTTTCTCACACTCCAACACTGATAATGTCACAATGATCAATGGAACTTCCATCAAAGGCGCATCGCCGACAACCCGCGCTGAGCTGATGAAGAAATTCTTTACTACAGCCGATCGCCAAGCGCGTGGTTACGATGACGCTTCAGCGCCCATTAATCCTCTACCTCGAACTCGACCCCAGGCGTCCGAATCCCCCGCAGACTTCAATGTCTACACCAATGCTTCGAGCCCAGCGGTACCTATTCCCAGTACCCCTTCCTCTCTGCTACCGCCACCTAAGACCACTCCTCAGGACAAAGACGACGGCGGTCCGTACAAGCTGGAGATGGTAGCCCGCATGGAAGAGATGACCCGCGGCGAGCGGATAACACCACCCTGCGATCGGTGTCGCCGCCTTCACATGGACTGCCTCAAGAATCTAACCGCCTGCGTAGGCTGCACAAAGAAGCATGCCAAGTGCTCCTGGCGAGACGTCAAGGAGGAAGAAATCCGCAACGCCTGGGCTCCAGCCCCAGCCTCACGAGATCGAATAATGGAAGAAACCCACCGCACCTACAACTTACTACCCCAGCGTCCATCCCCAGCTCCCCGAACCTCTGCCGAACGTCCCACAGGACCATACGATACTGCCTATGCTCACCATAACCGCCGCGAATCTGCACCCAGCGTCCCTCAAATCACCCCGGCCTCAGCAGCCCCGATTAAACTCCCTTCTTCGGAGAACTCTCCCCGCAGGGCCGTGAGCGAGACAGAAAATAGCAGCCGGCCACATCATGGGCACCCGCGACATACGGAAGAAGAGGATCCAGATGCGCAACAGCGGTTGATGCAGGCTATCATGGATACTGTGGGCCACCATGCGCGCGTTGCGGCTGCTGTGGAGGAGAAAGAACGAGGTGTGGAACGTTATCCGGATCGGGGAGATGGTCCTCATGATCGGGACATGGATCGAGAACGAGGAGATCGAGATCGAGATCATGACCGGGACCGAGAAAGGCGGATTCTGCAAACTTAAGTGCTGGATATGTTCAGATGTACATTTTTATTCTTGTGTATTTGTATGGTGAGCGTCGGCGAATCTGGTTTGGGTCGGTTAGGGTGTTATCTCAATTACGCATGTATTATATCCATGGAAGTCTGTTATTGTTATGTACATCCTGGACACGTTTCTATACACCAGACATAGTTGTTGAAGGAAACTCTAGCCCAGCAGGTAAAATGGTATAACGGGTTGTTGAATGAGACAGCAATGCACCAAAGCAATGCACCAGAGCAATGCACCGAGGCAACGAAACAGATAATATAACCCCTCGACGTATCATATCTCGTAACTCCCCTCGAGAGAATGGGCAGACGCCGCAACCTCTAACCTTTTCGTCTTGAAACAGCCAGCGCTGCGATTAGCCGCTGATGGCTGAGACACGATTCCAAGTAATATCAGAATCTCCATCTGAACTCTCCATCGGCATGTGACATTCTCCATATCGAGTCCGGAACACCATACCTAGCCTTTATTGGCAACATTGGCTACGTCAAGACGGAGGCTTCTTCAACTTTCTCCTTAAACAACTATAAGCCTTCCGCATCGTCTTCCTAGTCACGCTGTGACCTTATACCGAGTCGGCAGATGTTGTTAAGCTCTGGTACATCGGTCGTACGCATTTCAATTATAGTTTTCGAGATGCAGGGACTGAGAAGCAGATGATCTATAATCAAAGCGGATGCCATTTTGCGAGGGGGTGATGGGGTTGGTGTTCCAAGGTTGATGACATCTTGGAAGTATAATCGTTGGGAGAACGTTAAGGAGAATATAGCTTCGACCTTGAGAATTGCAATCTGCCAGCAACAGTTCAGTACTCTTGCATTGTCCGGGAGAGGATCCTTGCTCTTGGAACATCAACGGATTGATTCCCAAATTATGCTTGAAAAGTTTACCTGGAAGCTTGGAAGCTGAAGAAAAGTAAAAGGAAGAAAAGTGTGAATTACGGCCGGACAAAAGCTTTAGGGATATGATGGCTTATCCTGATCAGCTGATATGAACAACAGCCCGGGTGGTCTAGTGGTATGATTCGCGCTTAGGGCAGCAACTCTAAGCACTCCTGCGCGAGGTCCCGTGTTCGATCCACGGCTCGGGCCTGTTACCTTTTTGTTTCAATATTTTTTTTTGGTCAATCTCTCGGTATTCATCATTTTAATTTTGGTCTTGCCGCCCCTGATCTCATTCCTATAACTGTTTTGGATTTTATTTTATTCTTGTAGGTTAGCCAGGGAAATTGGAATAAAATCTCTCCATTCCTACCCGTGGAGTAAAAACCATTGAATGATTCCTGAAGCAAACAATGCTGGTCCCACATGTGCTTGCCTCTGACAGTGGAAAATAACGGTGGAAACTGATAGCGTCCTCATAGTGGGCAATCCGTCCATGTTAGCTTCCCTAGCAGACCAAAGGCTCCTATGACATACCTCAGCAATTTCTCAAGAGCATCAAAACCCTGGCTATACTATTGCTTTAGCTTGTATCCATGGATACCAGGGCCTGCCTGGGCCCATGTGCCTCCATGGATTCGCCATTGCTTCAATTAGAATAGTAACATATGCATGCCACAGCAATCAAAGCGCCATATCTCCACACTATAGTCCCAATGGGATACTCGATGGAATCAACTCACTGCTAAGTATAGCACAGGCCATATGCCCACTGATTGGACCTGATTCACCTCTCCGCAGAAAAGGAGGTGCAAATTTGCCGAACATCCTTTTTTAGCTCCCTACAATGTGCTAGGCTTGTGCTATTCTCAATTGCCTCGTTATTCGACATGACCACTCTCCCAACTCGAACCTGCACTGGCATATCCACCCGAGCTTGGGGCTTGGTCAATGGATCGCGGTAGCGTACGATCCCGGAGACCCGTCTCACAGCCTAGAGCATTATTCCTTTGTAGTCTAGCCTTACTCAGACACGTCGGGTACATTGACCCTTGACTCGAGCTTTTACCACTACTAGTCCCCACCACATGTCATCCATATGTGCCACATGACATAGTATTCATAAGCTACAGTAAATGCAAGACAGTAAATGCAAGAAATCATAGATTAAAGGTAGCCCTATACGCAAAGAGTATAAATACCTGAATGATGTTGGCTAGGGTATGATTAAAGATTATATCGAAATGGGTGATATTAAAATTAGATAGATGGCTTGAAGATGATCCGGCAATCCCTGTTAGGGTTATGAAATGCTGACGAATAGCTCGCTTCCCATGTGCGATGCTGGGCTCTATGGCTCAGTAAAATAACGGGGAATATCCGATCCGAAGGGCTATTTAGAGTTCAAGTTATTAATACGTCATGTTAAAGCGAGCTCCTGTAGACGGTCCGTGAGCACTTGATTCGGCCGTCTTACCCCCATCCTCTGAGAAAAGAGGGGTAAATCTCAACTCGATCCTTCTGGCGCAGAATTAGGTTAGTGTGCCATTGAAATTCGGCTCCCATAGATGTATCGCACACTTCGCCATTCTGGAAAGTTGGTATGACGAATCCGCGCCGGTCGGGTAAATAAGCCGGCTACCCTAAAGCCCTAAGGTTTAAAGATAGGTCCTGTGGCTGCCTTACTACCCATCATAATGATTTTGGGAGTAAGACGCCCTTTCGACCTATTCTAAGTCTTCACACGCGCTGTATACTGGAAGGTGTGTAAACCCTGGAAAGTGGCAAGCCACACCGTAAGCTTCCAGCCCCCGCCAACCACCCCGCAAACCTTGGAATGCTCGTGCTACATTCGATGGCCTGAACAAAAGAGAAGAAAACTATATTTGCGACGAATCCTGCAACAGGCCCACCCAATGAATAAAATGATTAACAACATGACCACCTGCGTTGGCGCCCCAGTTTAATTAGGGATGTCGGTAACCCCCCGGGTTGCATCTCTGCACACTAGCCGTCACGGGAAGTCTTCATGCACATCTCTAACCGCTCATCACACATGGCCAAAGGATCCGAGGGCATTTTATTAATAGCCCGGAGAATTCCTGAGGTCCTGCATTGGGCCCTGACCCTCGGGTCTTCAGTGTTTTGGTTAGCGCGTTGCTATCTGGATTTAGTCAAAGTTGTTTAGGGTCCAGGGCGAATGGAATCGTCGAAAGGCTGGTCCGACTAACTTCGGCGCGTCCCCGGTCCAATGACAGCCTTCGGTTAACCACCTATCCCTGCTAGTACCTGCAGCGTGCATCGATCCTTTTTGATTATTTATTTTTGTAGACTGATTGTTTCGAGTTAGACGAATGTTTCTATTCCTGAGCTCTTCGTGATAATGGATTGCAATCAGCGCCGAATCTATATGTAGTCGGCTTCCCCAGCCCGGCGAATTTCATTGTAATCCCCTCAACAAGTCACTCCTTTCCTTTAATTCTCTATTTTCCTTACCTGACTACCAGCCTGGTGCTGTAGAAGGTCTCTTTAAAACTCCCTAGTCCTCCAAAACATCCTCTATTGTCTTCCAAGGTTGCCATACTCACCGCTACTCACTATTCGTCAACCCTCTACCACACATCATGTACATTCTACCTTGGGCTCTCTCCCTGGTGGCAGTGTCAAGTGCTGCTCCAACAAATTTCTTCGATGATGTCTATGACTTCTCTGAAGAGCTTCTGGGATACTACAGCGCAGTGAGCCAAAAAATCAACCAAATCAGACACACCTCTGAGCCGTCAGCTGTGCAATGCGATACATCCAAAATCTCGCTTCCATCGTATGCATCCGGTCTGCCAAGTCCGACTGGGCTGACGCCCATGTACGTGGCTCTTGGAAGAGGCACCCAGGTATGCGTTTTACCCAGTCCCATCTCCCAAACCAGTGGCTAATGCCTTTTAGAACTATACCTGTGCCGATTCTACCTCAAGCTCCGCTCCTACAGCCATCGGTGCGGTCGCAAACCTCTACAATGCCACCTGTCTTGCTGCCAGTTACGCAGAGGTCCTGGCAATGCTTCCAACTGTTGCTTACAAGATTGCCCTCCCCACAAAAGAGTATGCGACATTCCCACCCGCCAATCTGGAGTTGATGGGCCACCACTTTTTCTATGATTCTACCACGCCGGAATTCAACCTCGATACCACCACGGCGAAACAATACGGTATTGCGATGACCAACAAGATTGATTCAATCGATGCCCCTACGAGTGCTACCAAAGGTCAAAATGGTGCCGTCTCCTGGCTCTACCTCAAGACTGTATCTGGCACTGTCGGCAACTACAAGGCCGTTTACCGAGTCGATACTGCTTCAGGGTCCCCTCCAACCACCTGTAAAGGCATGAAATCTTCATTTGAGATCCAATATGCAGCGCTCTACTACTTCTATGGCTAGCCTCTAGTATTGAAAGGTTATTGTTCTTATTTATTTTTCTGTACATAGAGAGGCGATCTTGTCTTTATGGGTGGATATGACCTCACGATCGATTATTCTAGTTTTAACTTATCATTGCTCTACTTTACAACAAGTTCATATCTCATGTCAACCAAGAAACCCGCATTCATCTGCCTTCTGGAGTAATACTTCCCACTTGAAGTAGATGTAAATGCAGGGTTCCCACGCACCACGTGACCTCGCTATACCAGCAGCCAGGTCATGTGATGAACCCACACCTCGCAAAGCCCACTAGTCCCAGAGCAGGCTAGCGCCGTTCTGATTTTCTGAAAGATCCAAAGAGCGCAAAAAAATCTCGACCGCATCAACGAGCAGCAACGGCCTTGACCCGCACTCGACAGAGCATAATCGGTCGATTAAACTACAGCTGCTGAACTCGATCATTACGATTAATTCGTCAATTTCTTCCAATTCGAGTCGACTCTCTTTTCGAGACCCTCTCCCAACTTTTTTTCTTCCGGTTTGAGCATTCAGTTAGCTCAATCCTCTCCTTCGACTCCCCGAGTTTAACAACTATACACTATCTTCACAATGGGTTTCGGCGCTCCTCGTGGTCGCGGTGGCTTCGGTGACCGTGGCGGTCGTGGTGGTGGTCGTGGTGGCTTCGGTGGTGACCGTGGCGGCCGTGGTGGTGGCAGAGGTTTGTGCTCCGATTTTTGTTCTCCCAGGCAGTTCCCAAGCATCGTCCATCGGCCTCTATTGGCTTGAAGACTGCTGGCTTTGCCTATCACCGCATCGAGATGTACAGTTTTGCTGATTGAGGTTCTTTATGAAGGTGGTTTCGGTGGCCGCGGTGGTGGTGGTGGTGGTCGCGGCGGTGCTCGTGGCCGTGGTGGTCCCCGTGGTGGTCGCGGTGCTCCCCGTGGAGGCCGTGGTGGTGCCGCTGGTGCCCGTGGTGGTGCTAAGGTTATCATTGTAAGTTTTCTCGACGCCAAATTTGATTTTGTGAGGATTCGGTAGCTGACCAGGAATTTTTCTCTACACAGGAGCCCCACCGTCACGCCGGTGTCTTCGTTGCCCGTGGTGGTAAGGAGGATCTGCTTGTCACTAAGAACTTGACTCCCGGTGAGGCCGTCTACGGTGAGAAGCGTATTTCCGTTGAGGGTCCCGCTGGTGAGGATGGTGCTGTCACTAAGACCGAGTACCGTGTGTGGAACCCCTTCCGTTCCAAGCTGGCTGCCGGTATCCTCGGTGGTCTGGACAACGTCCACATGAAGCCCGGCTCCAAGGTTCTTTACATTGGTGGTGCCAGCGGTACCTCCGTCTCCCACGTTGCTGATATCGTTGGCCCTACCGGTAACGTTTACGCCGTTGAGTTCTCCCACCGCTCTGGCCGTGACCTGATTGGCATGGCTACTCACCGTACCAACGTTATCCCCATTGTGGAGGATGCCCGTCACCCCCTGCGTTACCGCATGCTCGTTCCCATGGTCGATGTCATCTTTGCCGATGTTGCCCAGCCCGACCAGGCCCGTATTGTCGGCCTGAACGCTCACATGTTCCTGAAGGACCAGGGTGGTGTCCTCATCTCCATCAAGGCCAGCTGTATCGACTCTACTGCCGCCGCCGACGTTGTGTTCTCCCGTGAGGTCCAGAAGATGCGTGAGGAGAAGATCAAGCCCAAGGAGCAGCTGACTCTGGAGCCCTTCGAGCGTGACCACTGTATCGTCGGTGGTATCTACTCTCGTTCTTCATAAAGAGAAGGTTGTTTAATTGGTGGTCATGTCTTTCTCCTATCTGTTCTCTTTCAATTTTTCCTCAGGCGTCCTGTGTTATGCTATGTATCCAATGCTATCTTCTTGTGACTGGTTGTCTCTGCCCATGTACTTTTGCTTGCGTCACAAAATCTAGGTTTCACGTCTTGGAAAATGCACACTATGGAAAATAACTTGGTGCCCTATACCTTGGGATGCATTGACCGAGGGTCTTTGTTTTGTCCCAGCCTAGTCTTGATAGCTTTAAAAGTTCAATTACTGTCTCCACAAAAGACAAGTGCTAAATTTGCTGTGTCAATACATTAAGTACGTACGTAGGCATATTCTCCATAACTAGTATTGGTATACAGTATACTTGGACCTCGAACTACATAGACCTGCCATGAATCTGATATCACCGCGAAAATCGCCAGCTAATCATAGATAACGAAGGATAAGGGATAAATGGAAACCCACCTATGATAAGTCATCTGATATACTGTTGGAAGTAATCCTATGGGTATTAAGATTTAACATAGCTCGCTATCATTCATCGCCTCGGACTTGCCCCGCGACACTGCCGGTGGTTCGGCACTCGGATTTCTCACCGAGATCAATGTCGGTCATCCGTCCTAGTCGCATCATCTCGGAATTGGTGCGTGGGAGAGAGCTGCACACATTTGGTTCTTGTCATTTAGCGGCTTGCTATTGGTTGAGATGGGTGGTCAGTCAGAAGGATAACCTTGCAAGCGTGGGGGAGGGGATGTCCTGTTCAGTTCCCGCGGGGTCACTGTACTATTTAACGACAAGGAAAGCTGCTCTTCGGCAACTCTGTTCATTTACTCCATTGACAACCTTAATTTAGTCCTGAATTGCTTCTTCCATTTCACACAATATGTCTATATTGATAACTGGTGCTGGTGGTTACGTTGGCCAAGAATTGGCCGCTGCCTTCCTTGCCAGCACACCCTCTACTACCACCGTAACAATCACCGACGTCGTTGAACCGGCAGTTCCCAGGTCAGCCACCGAGCACGCTAGCCGTTTATCTTGCGTCCGCGCAGACCTTACCTCCCCCAAAGAGGTAGACGAATTGATCAGTACCTCCCGTCCATTCGAGACCGTTTACCTCCTCCATGGAATCATGTCCAGCGGGGCTGAGGCCAATTTCGAGCTGGGAACTCGAGTCAATCTCGATGCAACAAGATACATCCTGGACCGATTACGCGCTACCATGCCTGGCGTTAAGGTGGTCTTCACATCCTCGTTAGCAGTGTACGGCCTCGCACCACCGGGTCTTCTCCCAGACGAATTCAACTTCCCTCCTGTGCCCTCAACCTCCTATGGAACACAGAAGCTAATCATCGAGCATTTGATAACCGATCACTCCCGCCGCGGGTTCTTGGATGGTCGATCTGTGAGACTTCCAACCGTGACTGTTCGCGCAGGCGCCCCTACACAGGCTGCAAGCAGCTTTGCTAGTGATATCATTCGTGAACCGTTCCATGGCAAGAAGGCCATTTTGCCTGTGGGCAGAGATGTTGAGATGTGGATCTGCTCGCCGCATACTATTATCAAGAACTTGATGCATGCACGCGAAATTCCCGCTGAAGCATTCGGCAATTCGCGGTCAGTCAATCTTCCTGGACTCAAGGTTAGTGTGCAAGATATGCTGGATGCTCTGGAGGCCGTTGGTGGTAAGGAGCGACGGGCGTTGGTGGAGGAGAAATATGATGCTGCCGTGGACAAGATTGTGCAGACATGGACTCCTCAATTCTCCAATGAAAGAGCCTTCAACCTTGGATTTTCGCCGGATATTTCGATGGAGGAGAATGTTAAGCACTTTGCGAGTGCATTTGTATAGAGAAGCGAGACCGGAGAGCCAATGAATTGAGCCGGATTTGGGATGATGTATGGCAGCCAGAGTAGAGCCCTGATTGTGGATATATGTAACTGTAAACTGTCAGGAAACATTTTACAGTCAAGCGTATATCCAATAAATACCAATTGACGTTTGAAATTCAACTTTTCAAGCAGAAATGCACCTTAAACTGAGGGAAAGGAAGTAATCGGGAAGAGTTGGAAAAGCGGGTCATGTGATTGGCTGGCGCGCCGGGCGAACAATTTGACTTCCGAACTTCAACCTCAGGGCGAGTCCAGCTCTTCTCTCCATCCCCCTTCCCCCCTCCACACACTCCATAAACCCGCAATGGCTTCTCGGCGCCTAGCTTTCAACCTCAACCAGGCTTTGAAGAGCCGTGCGGCTCTGAAGTCCATTCAGCCCGTGAAGCGAGGCTTTGCTTCGCCCGTCACATTGCCGTCCACCACCCAGTCCACCACCCTCTCCAACGGATTCACGGTACATACGGAAACCCCAATCAATCCTTCGCAGCGTTACTAAAGCCTCCTAGATCGCCACTGAGCACTCGCCATGGGCCCAGACCTCCACCGTCGGTGTGTGGATCGATGCCGGTTCCCGGTCAGAGACTGACAAGACCAACGGAACTGCCCACTTCCTTGAGCACCTTGCCTTCAAGGTTCGATCCAACCGATCTCGATCACCGTGATACACTTCTAACAGTATTTGTAGGGCACCAACAAGCGCTCGCAGCACCAATTGGAGCTCGAGATTGAGAACATGGGCGCCCACCTTAACGCCTACACCTCGGTACGACCGGAAATAACATTGCACACACCCATCGAATCATCGCTAACTATATGAACAGCGCGAGAACACCGTTTACTACGCTAAGTCCTTCAACGCCGATGTCCCCAAGGCCGTCGACATCCTTTCCGATATCCTCCAGAACTCCAAGCTCGAGACCGGTGCCATCGAGCGCGAGCGCGGTGTTATCCTGCGCGAGCAGGAGGAGGTTGACAAGCAGCTTGAGGAGGTTGTCTTCGACCACCTGCACGCTACTGCCTACCAGGGCCAGCCCCTTGGCCGCACTATCCTCGGCCCCAAGGAGAACATCGAGACCATCTCCCGTGACAACCTGACCGACTACATCAAGACCAACTACACTGCTGACCGTATGGTCCTGGTCGGTGCTGGTGGCATCCCCCACGAGCAGCTTGTTCGTCTCGCTGAGGAGCACTTCGGTGGCCTCCCCAGCAAGGCCCCCAACTCCGCTGCCCAGGCCCTCACTGCCGAGATGAAGCGCACCCCCGAGTTCATTGGCTCTGAGGTCCGTCTTCGTGACGACACCATCCCCTCCGCTCACATCGCTCTCGCCGTTGAGGGTGTTAGCTGGAAGGACGACGACTACTTCACTGCTCTCGTCGCCCAGGCCATCATTGGTAACTGGGACCGTGCTATGGGCCAGTCTCCCTACCTTGGCAGCAAGCTCAGCTCCACCGTCAGCAAGCACGGCCTTGCTAACAGCTTCATGAGCTTCTCCACCAGCTACAGCGACACTGGGTAAGACCTTCTGGTAATCCTACATATGGAGAAAAACAAAGCTAATGTTTCCTGAAAAATAGTCTTTGGGGTATCTACCTTGTTTCCGAGAACCTGACCAACCTCGATGACCTGATCCACTTCACCCTGCGTGAGTGGACCCGCCTGTGCAGCCAGGTCACCCCCGCCGAGGTTGAGCGCGCCAAGGCCCAGCTCAAGGCTTCCATTCTCCTCTCCCTTGACGGCACCACTGCCGTCGCCGAGGACATTGGTCGCCAGATCATCACCACTGGCCGTCGCCTCAGCCCCGAGGATGTTGAGCGTGTCGTTAGCCAGATCACCGAGAAGGACATTATGGACTTCGCCACTCGCAAGCTGTGGGATCAGGACCTTGCCATGAGCGCCGTCGGCAGCATTGAGGGTATCTTCGACTACCAGCGCATCCGCTCTGACATGTCCCGCAACCTGTCTTAATTAACCCGCTGTTTTCGACTGCGAGAGAAAGACGGCTCTCTGACGCTACTTGGGTGTTGGTGGGTTTGGTTTGAATGTACTATCAATCATTGCCATGGGTTGTTGTTAGACCCTGATTTGTGTGTGAAATAGCAATTAATGCTTTGCCTTAGTAGACTATAAAGTCTGTCGCGTGACGGGCCGAACTATCTCTGTTTCTTTTGTTAACTGCGTCAATCAAAATTTACTTCGTATATATGCTTAAACGATTATCTAAGCCTCCCGCTCTGATTATTACTTAGTTTTTTCCGTTGTACTTTGTAATTGTAACCTTGGAAGCACTCTAATCCTTCGGATACAATGAAAAATGCTGCCCGCGGCGCGCCCGCGATTACCTAATCACGCGCATTCATCTCTGGCATTTTTTTCGACGTCGGTTTCGATTGCATCTCCCAGCGTATCTACAATCACAATGGGAAAACGAGGTGGCAAGAAGGTGTGTACATGAGATGGTCTTCTCAATCTTAGGAGGCAGCTGTGCTAATCCCTGCTCAACCATCAGTTCAATCGTGGTGGTGGTCGTGGCGGCGGCGGCCGTCGCAATGATAACTGGCAGACGATTACCAGAAACAATGAGAAGCTTGAGCGCTACTACAATGAGCCCGAGTTTCTTGCCGACGAAGAGAGAGAGGCTTTCTGGACCCATCTCCAGCGCGACCTGCCCAACAGTTTCCGCTTTACTGGCTCTCGTGGGTAAGTTTGCACCTGCGCCTATACTGTCACCGCAAGTTTTGAATAAATCCTGATTATCGCCGCATTTACAGCCACGCGCTTGCTGTCCAGCAACGTCTCCGGGACTTCTACATTCCCGAGATCACCTCGATTAAATATGAGGACGAATTTGTTGACCCGCCGCGCCCAGTTTCGTGGTACCCCGACCAGCTTGCTTGGTGGATGACCACCCCCAAGCAGGTCATTCGCCGATTTGCTCCCTTCTCCTCGTTCCAGAAGTTCCTCGTGGCCGAGACTGAGGTTGGAAACATCAGTCGTCAGGAAGTTGTCAGCATGATTCCTCCCCTTCTCATGGATCTCCGTCCCGGTATGACCTGCTTGGACATGTGCGCTGCACCTGGAAGCAAGTCTTGCCAGCTGATGGAGCTTATCCACGCCGGAGAGGAGGAATCCATGGCGGAGGTTACCCAGAAGCTTAAGGATGGCACTGCCGGACCTGAGCCTCTTGGCCCCGAGGGATTGAACGACGACGGCCGTACCACTGGTCTGCTGATCGCCAACGACAGTGACTACAAGCGTGCGCACATGCTTATTCACCAGATGAAGCGCCTGAGCTCACCGAATTTGATTGTCACGAACCACGATGCTACGATGTACCCATCAATCAAGCTTCCCCCTCTTCCTTCTACTGATGGCAAGCCCCAGAAGGGTCGCTACTTGAAGTTTGATCGCATTCTTGCCGACGTGCCCTGCTCCGGTGATGGTACTGCCCGCAAGAACTACAATGTCTGGAAGGACTGGAACCCCGCCAACGGTCTTGGACTCCACCTCACTCAGGTCAAGATTTTGATCCGTGCCTTGCAGATGCTGAAGGTGGGTGGACGTGTCGTCTACTCTACCTGCAGTATGAATCCCGTTGAGAACGAGGCCGTTGTTGCCTGTGCTATTGAGCGCTGCGGTGGTGCGGCCAACGTCAAGATCATTGACTGCAGCAATGAGCTCCCCGGCTTGAAGCGGGCTGCTGGTCTGAAGACCTGGAAGGTTATGGACCGTGAAGGCCGCATCTGGTCCAGCTGGAAGGATGTCGAGGAGCACAAGGACCAGGAGGGTATTGAGGGTCTGGCTAGATTCTCCGAGAGCTTGTTCCCTCCCACCGGAGAGAACGCTGATCTGCCACTTGAGCGCTGCATGCGTGTATACCCCCATCACCAAGATACTGGTGGTTTCTTCATCACTGTCCTTGAGAAGACGGCCGAAATTAAGGCCAAGGCAGTGGATCACTCTGCTATCATTACTAAGCCGCCCAAGGCCCCGATCGCCGACCTTATCACGGAGCTTGATTCTCGCAAGAACAGTAATGCCGAGCCCTATCAGAAGCTGGACTCCCTCGATGGCGTTGCTGTTCTCGACGAGGAGACCAAGGAAGACCTTGCGAAGAACGAGTCTGTCGCTGAGGCAACCAACCAGCTCCCGTACTGCGCCACTCTTGATGCCGCTACTACTCTACCCGAGAAGCGTGGCGCGGAAGACCTGGAGGACTCTCTCCCGGCCAAGAAGACCAAGCTTGATGACGGCAGCGAGGCTCTCGTTGGTGACCGCCCTGTCCACAAGCCTGCCCCTGCTGCGGTTGAGCAGTCTGGTGATAGCACTCCCGCTGTCCTGTCGGATAAGCCCTTGAAGAAGAAGGCACCCCAGGAGGACCCATATAAGTATCTTGATCCCCACCACGAGGAGCTTGAGCCTATTTACAAGTTCTACGAGCTATCTGAGCGGTTCCCGCGGGACCGGTTCATGGTCCGTAACGCCGATGCCACCCCATCAAGAACCGTATACTACACTAGCGCACTGGCCCGTGATATCCTCACCCAAAACGAAGGCTCTGGAATGAAGTTTGTTCACTGTGGTGTGAAGATGTTCGTGAAGCAGGATGCCCAGCGCGAGAATGTCTGCCGCTGGCGCATCCAGACAGATGGTCTGAAGATCATCGAGCCCTGGTTGGGACCCTCCCGATCCCTTGTTCTGACCAAGAAGGAGACCCTCCGCAAGCTTCTTGTCCAGATGTTCCCCAAGGTCACTGACAATGGCTGGAAGGACCTGGGTGAGATTGGCGAGGCAGTGCGTGACCTCCCGATGGGCTGCAGTATCCTGCGCGTTGAGCCTAACGGCCAGGAAGATGGTCTCACGTAAGTTTTATTCCGTCTCCGAATCAATGACACACTCTGACCTAAATGCAGTGAGCCGATGGTGCTGCCTCTGTGGCGCTCTCTCTATTCTCTGAACCTCATGCTTCCCAAGGAAGAGCGTCGTGCCATGCTGCTACGTATTTTCAATGATGATACCCCGCTGGTCAACCCCCAGAAGAACTTCAAGTCCGCTGGTACTGACAGCTCGGCCCCGGAGACTCCCGCCGTGGAGACTCCGGTCGAGTCCACTGCTGCCGCCGAGGACTCTGCCATGAAGCACGAGAACCTCCAGGTTGGTCAGGATGAGCAAGAGCACGTTGAAACCCGCGAGACCTACACCCAGGCTGATGGCGAGGAGGACCGTTTCAACACTACTGTTTAAGTTTGAATATTGTAGAAAACGATGGGATATTGACCCTTACCGTGATTTTCATATACTCTGGAAGGGGACACCCCGAATATACTAAAAAGCAATTCCATGAAGATTTACCATTTGAGTCGACATTCGGCTTTCGACCTCTGAATAGAAATGAACTTGTCCGAGCCCGATCTATCGTAAGATGCTCGGAGAATCGTCGGCAGCGGTTAAATTCGAGTCAACGGTCCCTTTCCCCGCAGATGAACCCATTTAATTTAAACCGGTGCATGGTCCACGTCTTATTTCCGTACTCGATGCGGAGTCTTCGGAGGTTTAATCTCTGGTAATTTAGCAATTATTGCATGTCAATTACGGAGGTTCGAATCTCGTCCACAAAGCAGATCTAGATCGGTTGGTTGAGGATGAAGATTGGATCTTCCCAACCACATCCATGCACACAACTAAGATCTGATACGATCATCACTTTCTGCAAGGAACTCAATACCCATGTACAGGTCTCAGTCAAACCCAAAGCTCGACTATACGATAAGCGGAAAAATTGCGGCGGCGCACCCCCGCAACGATGGGGGATCTTCATTCCGGTTACCCTGCACGTCGCGCATGCGCTCCACTTCTCTACGACCGTGCCTTCCAATGCTCCAACCTGCATGCACGAACGGACCACCGGCAAGCAACGACTGGCCACCCCCGCCTTGCTCCCCTGTCGATTGAGGAAAATGACGAAATCCAGGGAGTACCTGTGGAGCTACTGCGAAAATGGCGTTGCGGTGTCGGCATTGGATACTCCGAGTATTGACCCGGGTCTTGTTTTACTCGCCCGTCGATCGTGCGTGGTCGCATGGAAATACAGGGTAAAGATGTGCTATAAGAATGGGCGATGATCCCTTGCTTGAAAGCCGCGGGGAAAGAGTAAAAAGTACACTTTTTTTTACATATTCCTAGCTCGTGGTTTGCCAGAGCCTCTAGACTTCGGGCACAATGAAGCTCTTGTCTATTTGGGCTTTAGCAGCGCTGGCGGCTCAGGCTGCTGGTGCTGCTATTAGCCATAAGCTGAATGGGCTTACTATTACCGAGCATCCAGATCCCGTTAAACGGGCTCTATTGCAGAAATATGTGGGTTGTCGAATACTTGCAAGGGGGCTTGGTTTTCCGTACTAACATATGGTGTAGGTCACCTGGGATGACAAGTCTCTTTTCATCAATGGCGAGCGACTGATGCTCTTCAGTGGAGAATTTCATCCCTTCCGGTAGGCTGTATCAGCTCAGTTGGAGGTTGTGGTTGCTGAAAAGCTAATCTCAAATATGTAGTCTGCCTGTTCCAAGTCTGTGGGTTGATGTCTTCCAGAAGGTCAAGGCTCTCGGATTCAATTGCGTCTCTTTCTATATCGATTGGGCTCTGTTAGAGGGTAAGCCTGGCCACTACCGTGCCGACGGCATTTTTGACCTCGAAAAATTCTTCGATGCCGCCTCGGAAGCCGGCATTTATCTTTTGGCTCGTCCTGGTCCTTATATCAATGCTGAGGCCTCTGGCGGTGGTTTCCCTGGCTGGCTGCAGCGTGTCAATGGCACTCTACGAACAAGTTCTACGGCGTACTTGAGCGCAACCGACAAGTATGACATCTAAACGGGCCCACTCGTCAATGATACTAACAGGGATCAATAGTTACGTTGCAAATGCTGCTGCGACGATTGCCAAGGGCCAGATTACCAATGGCGGACCTATCATTCTGTATCAGCCCGAGAATGAGTATTCGGGGGCTTGCTGTGGAGTCGATAATTTCCCCGATGGGGATTACATGCAATATGTTGAGGATCAAGCCCGCAATGCAGGCGTCATTGTTCCCATGATAAGCAATGATGCCTGGGCCGGGGGGCACGATGCCCCCGGAACCGGCGCAGGAGCAGTCGATATTTATGGTCATGATAGCTACCCTCTTGGCTTCGACTGTGCCAGCCCCTACACTTGGCCCAGTGGTGACCTGCCGACTGACTTCTACACGTCGCACATGGAACAAAGTCCCAACACTCCATACTCTATTGTTGAGGTATGTTCAAAGATGAATGGAGATCAAAGCAATTTTCTGATGATTTACAGTTCCAAGGCGGAGCATTTGATCCCTGGGGAGGCAACGGATTCCTGGCTTGTTCGGAGCTCCTAAACTACCAGTTCGAGAGGGTCTTCTTCAAGAACAACTTTAGTTTCCGTGTTGCCTTTTTGAATCTCTACATGGTGAATCTTGTCCTATATTGACACACTTCAAACCGAGGCTAATGCGCAACAGATATTTGGTGGCACTAACTGGGGTAACCTTGGTCACCCTGGTGGCTACACATCCTACGACTATGGATCTGCCATCACCGAGTCTCGCAACATCACTCGCCAAAAGTATAGTGAACTCAAGCTGATCGGCAACTTCCAGAAGGTGTCTCCATCGTACCTCTTGACAGAGCCTGGCACCCTGAGCACTTCGGCCTACTCGACTAGTTCCGATATTGCAGTCACCCCTCTTATTGGAAGTAATGGCTCGGCTACCTCTTTCTTTGTCGTTCGACACTCCGATTACTCTAGCCAATCATCTGTGGACTACAAGCTCAAGGTCCCTACTAGTGCTGGTAACCTTACTATTCCCCAGCTTAGCGGAAGCCTGACTCTTGGCAACCGTGACTCGAAGATCCATGTTGTGGACTACGATGTGGCAGGAACCAACATCCTCTACTCGACTGCTGAGGTTTTCACCTGGAAAAAGGTTCCGAATGGGAAGGTCCTCGTTCTCTACGGTGATGTTGGCGAGCACCATGAGCTTGCCGTCTCTGGTGCATCAAGTGCTACCGTTGTGGAGGGGTCATCGTCGGGAATCACTTCCAAGAAAGTGGGCAAGGCAATTGTCATTGGATGGGACGTATCAGAGACTCGTCGCATCGTCAAGATTGGGGACCTGAAGGTCTTGCTTCTGGGTAAGTAATATGAGTACGTGAGTGAGAGTCAACGAAAGACAACTGACAATACATAGACCGATACGATGCCTACAATTACTGGGTCCCACAGGTTCCCTCCTCGGGTCAGAATCCTGGCTACAGCACCCAGGCGACCATTGCCTCGTCTATCATTGTCAATGCGGGCTACCTCGTGCGGACCGCATACCTATCAGGAAGCGAGCTGCACCTCGCCGCTGACTTTAACGCTACCACTGCCGTTGAGGTGATTGGTGCGCCATCCAAGGCCAAGACCCTTTACATCAACGGTCAGAAAGCCAAGACCACGGTGGACAAGAATGGCATCTGGTCAACTAGTGTCAGATACACCGCACCAAAGGTCAATCTCCCGACACTGAAGAGCCTGAAGTGGAAATCTATCGACACTCTTCCCGAAATTCAAAGCACTTACGATGACTCTGCGTGGGTCAAGGCTGACCATCCCTACACCAATAACAGCGTCTTCCCAATCACAACACCGACTTCTCTGTATTCGTCCGACTACGGCTTCCACACCGGGTATCTCATCTACCGTGGCCACTTCGTTGCTACTGGTGAAGAGTCTTCGTTCTCAGTGCACCTACAGGGAGGCACCGCATTCGGTGGCTCCGTGTGGATCAACGACGCCTTTGTGGACTCCTGGGACGGAAACAGCATTTCAGCGGTGTACAATACCACTCTCACCCTTCCCACATTGAAAGCTGGCAAGGCATACGTCCTCACCATCGTGATTGACAACATGGGCCTGGACGAGGATTGGACCGTAGGCAGTGAGGAGATGAAGGATCCTCGCGGTATCCTCGATTACACCCTCACCGGCCGATCCGACGACGCCATCACCTGGAAGCTGACCGGTAACCTTGGCGGCGAAGACTACCGAGACCTAGTTCGTGGTCCTCTTAACGAAGGTGGACTTTACGCTGAGCGTCAAGGCTACCACCAGCCTTCCCCTCCAAGTCAGAAGTGGGAATCCAGCAGCCCATACACGGGTTTCTCGAAGCCCGGTATTCGGTTCTATAGTACAAGCTTCGATCTCAACCTCCCACAAGGTTATGATATCCCGCTGTATTTCAACTTTAAGAACTCGACGTCGCCGCCCCCTGCTTATCGTGTTCAACTGTATGTCAACGGCTACCAGTATGCTAAGTATGTCAACAACATTGGCCCGCAGACCAGTTTCCCTGTGCCTGAGGGCATTCTCAACTACCGTGGTACCAACTGGCTAGGTTTGACTCTTTGGGGACTTGGTGAGGATGGTGCTAGTCTGGATGACTTTGAGTTGGTTTCTACCCACCCCGTGCTCACTTCCATGAGTAAAGTTGAATCGGTAGACCAACCTAAGTGGAAAAAGAGAGCTGGCGCATATTAATGTAGAGCCAAGCTAGAAAGCATATAGGTCGTCAATTCAAACATTGATATATTGCATATCTGCTATTATCATCCCTATAAAGAGACCTACTTGCAGCTTGAATCCAATTCCCCTGCTGAATCAAACCGAATCAGATACCTAGACGTTAAGCTCTTCGTAGCATAGAGTAATCTCGATGTCCTTTTCTCCCCGTCCCAAGCTCTGTCATACTACACTATCTAGTCAAAAGTTTTTCCCCAGATCAGTTTCCGGGCCTACCTCATCGATGATATATATTCACTAGATAGTGCATCACACCACCATATCTTACTGAAATTCTATATAATTACTGTACTCCTAGTAATTGATACCCATCTGACGTACAGAACTATAAGTAATTGTCTCGTCACCCTTTATACTAATACATTAATTTTGCGTATGTTATTACTCACCATAATTCTGCTATATACCCCTGAAGGTACTATTAAATAATTTTGTATCTTCCTCTTTAAATAAGCTTTAGACATAATCTAAGAAGCTCTTATTTTAACAATATGTAAATAACGTTGAAGGGGTTTAAAAGCTCAGTGAATGCCTCGGCCGGTCCTCCATATTTACACATAAACTTTCAAACCGCTCTATCGTCACTAAAAGCTATATAGGTCTTTGAATTTTCTTCTCAAAATACTTCTCTATAGTCACGGTTCAAACTCAAAACTTTTTTGAAGCGAGCCCGCTTGATACTGAGTGGTACATGCCTTTCCAAAAGTTATTTATTAGGTTAACCCTACCGGACCCGCACTTAGGGAAATACTTACGGTCCCCATTGTATCATATCCCTGATCTCCGGTCTGGAACTCTAAAGTAAACAACCCTTCCACCCAGATTCGACCAATCCGAATGGATTATCCGAGTCGTAAGTTTCATGCATCTCATGATGTCTTATGACAACACCTGTAGCCCAAAGCCTCTGAGGCTAGATTTCATCTCGATAGAGAATGTTGAGAGCATGACGTCGGCTCATTGGACCAAGGCTAACCACGCCAATTTACGGCTTCTGGGGAGACATTGCACTGGATACGAGAATGAAGCGAGACCAGGAGTATGAGGATATAGATTCGGAAAGAATTGCCTGGTTTGCCCCTTTCGTCGACTCCCCGCATCGTTGATCTTCGGAATTGGTTTTCCGTGATGGGGTTAGTCAGGGTGTGAGTATAAACCATTAATCATTCGAAGACGTTCCTGTTCAGCTGCTCATATCAGACTCAGTTCGTGCTCGACAATCATCACCAAGTATGGCGAACTTACCAACTATTCGCTGGGGAATCATTAGTATGAGACCGGTCACTCGAAGCAAACGATCCTGCTGCAATGTTGGCTAACATACTCGCAGCCACTGGCCTGATATCCTCATGGTTCGTTGAAGATCTGGTCCTCGACCGACCTGATGCCAGAGTCAAACATATAATCCAATCTATCGGCACATCAAGTCTCCAAAAAGGCCAGAAATTTGTAGAGCAACATTGTCCGACCGAGAATCCACAGATTTACGACTCTTACGAGAAAGTCTACCGCGACGCAGAGGTGGACATTGTTTACATCGGTACACCTCATGGTCACCATTACCGCGATACTATGCAAGCCATCGCAGCAGGCAAAAACATATTCTGCGAGAAAGCATTCACATTAAACGCCAAGCAAGCAAGAGAGGTCTTTGAAGCAGCCAAGAAAAAGAATGTCTACGTCGCCGAAGCAATGTGGCTCCGTCACAGACCGATATACCGCAAACTACAAGAACTGCTGCATCAAGACAAGATCATCGGGGACGTAACCCGCGTATTCTCTGATTTCGCGTCGGAGATTGATATCCAATCTCTGCCCTCAACATCTCGATATCGGGATATAGCCCTCGGGGCAGGATCTCTGCTCGATATCGGCGTTTACTCTCTTACGTGGCTTGCCGTGGCACTCGAGAAAGACATGGAAATGCCCCGTATCGTGGCGTCGCAGAGTCACGATGAGGGGATTGAAGTCACCACGAGTGCTATTCTTCAGTACTCCGACGGTCGCATGGGTATTGCGAGCTCCACGACCAAAACCAAGGGCTCTCCTGGGAAAACCTTCGCCGTAATCCATGGGACGAAGGGCCATATTGAGGTGTCAGGCGACGCACCTTCTTTCCCTGAATCGTTCACTGTATGGGCCAGACAAACAGATCCTGGAAATGCGCAGAAGGTCTTGTTCGATAAAGAGCAATACGAGAGCAAAACATACGAGCTCCCGATGATTGGGCGGGGCTTTGTTTGGGAGGCTGAGAATACTGCATTGGATGTTTTGGGCGGACAGAAGGAGAGTGGTATCGTGCCATGGGCAACGACTGTGCATATGATGGAGATGATGGATGAGATCAGGCGCCAGGGGGGAACCGTTTACCCCGGAGAGTAAGGAGACTTGACTTGTTGACCTACAGCACATTGCCGATCTATCAATCTTAAGTGACCGACAAAGAAGCGTCCAAATTGGTTCGTGTTTACTAGTGGACTATATAAAATTCATGGGAAACTGGACGCTGGCGAACTCGACTTTCCGCTATGGATGAACTAGGAATGCAGGTAGCTCCTGTGGTCCTATTCCTCAATAAACCACGAACAATGCAACTATAGATTGTTACTTCGTGCATCAAAAAAGGCAGATCGCCTTGTCTTCAGCTTGATGTATAGCCAATTGTCGATTCTCAAGTCCGAGGATTTCTCTATTACATTTTTTCTTTCAAATTCGTTCAAGCAATGCATGTGTAATGCTTACACGCTCGTAGTTTCATTCTACACACAATTTCCGGGTCAAGGAAGAATTGAGGCGAGATACTCGAACAAGCATGTTGATGCGGATCGAGTCCAGCCCCACAGTGCCGATCCCCAGCCCCCTCATAGATCTCACCTCTTTTCCCCTCGATTTCTGCTTTTCCTCCATTTCTCTAATTCACACCGAAGTGCATTCCTTCTTTCCAGATACCGAAGAGTCGCAATCCACCGATCCGAGCTCCTTCATCCATATCCGCATGCGCTAATTGCGCAACACCAACCGGGCTTATCAGATCATCTCACCGATCACCCAGCCCCAACATTACCATCATTCCAAAACCATGGAATCCATTCCATTTCCCGAGGATCTAAACCTCAACACATCAATCCTTCAGCCTGCACCATCAATAAACGAAAAAACCCACCAAATCCTCTCCTCCAACCTCCAAAAACGCTACTCAACAATCAGCATTCCTTCAACCTACGGCGGCCTAAATGGTCCACCACCCGGAACAGTGGCCGGAATAGTGCTAGGCAGCGTAGGCGGCGTCGTCCTGATCCTCTACCTGACCTTCCTCGCTCTAAACCCCGGCGGCCTCGCACGCGGGGTAAGCTCCTCAGTGGACGAAGAGGTAGTGGCAACCGGCCGACGGGGACCATCACTGCGCCGGCATGGCGATACAATCGAAGTTGTGGAGGAGCGTGATCGGAGAGACAGTTATCGGCGTCGGCCGAGTCCTCGAGACCGGGATGATGATCGGATTGTGGTTGAGGAGTCGATGACCGGGACTGCGACGTCGGATGGGAGGGATGTCGTTGAGGTTTTTGAGGAGGAGTCGTCGGCCGTTTCGTCTGTTTCCACGAGGCCGCCTAGGAGGGCTAGGAGTCATCGCTCTGGTGTCAGGACCATTGATCCGTTGGATTATGGGGGGTGAGAGTGAGTATGGGGGAAGTCGGTATCGGTGATTGAATTAAGGATTTGCATTTATGCTTGTTCTTTGGAATGTTTGCATATACCCTACTTTTTTTTGTACTGATTTTTGATATTTTGATGCTTATACGATGTTCAAGTTTACCTAATGAACCATGATTTACATATCTGAAGATGTATGAGCGTTTGACTCGTACTGATTTTGATAAAGAAACCCCAAAGAAACAGAGAATGAATTGTACAAGTACAACGTCAACCAAGACGCACTGAATTCCGTTTGCGCCGGTGATAAAAAATAAAAGTCAACCTGAGAGACGCCATTCCGAGGACATCTCAGAATTCCAAAGCACCCACAATGGACAATACCAAACCAAAAAAAGAAAGACAAAGAACCTCAAAACATATATCATCCCCAACATCTATCCTCATAAACCATAATCTGAACGGAACCGCGGGTCGGCTCCGTATCAAACACTCGTATGATGCCCGCATCCGGCGACACCGCACCACCTAGAACAAAATATCCAAGCAGCAGCAACAAGCCATCGCAGCCATCAAACCAGCACAGATTCCACCTGCACCAGATCCTCCGCCACCGCTGTTACCGCCATACCGATTGCCACCGCCGTAGTAACCCTGTTGCTGCTGTGGGTACTGCTGTTGCGGGGGGTAGTACATCTGGCCTTGCGGCTGATTATAGTATCCCTGCTGTTGTTGAGGATAGCCTTGTTGCTGTCCATAGTAGCCCTGTTGACCTTGCTGGCCATAGTAGTCTGATGCGGCGCCTCCGCCTTGGGGCGGCGGGGATTGGTAGCCCGGATTATTGTTGTAGGCTGGTTGAGGGTAGGACGGGGGTGGACTTGTCTGGACCTCATAGTTAGCCAAGAATAAACAGATGGGACGTATGGGTGGAGGGTTGAGGCCTCTCGGGGACTTCGCGACGCACAGGCTTGTTGTAGGACATCTTTACGGATCTCGAGAGTTTGAAGTGGAGCCGTAGATAAAAAGGATTGCCGATCTGCAGATGAGTGGACAGTCGATGTGGAGATATGTGGGTTTTCAGGGTCCAAGGTAATATAGTTAATGAAAAGGGGTCCCCAAGAGACACTGGGTTGATCCGAATGCGCCGACAGAAAAGAAAATTCGCAACCACGGAAGTGCAGGAAGAAGGGATTATGTAGAAGAACGCGCGGATCGGCACAAAAGTGGAGTTGTGGCGCATTTCCGGGGTCGCTGAGTCATCCCGGCGCTCATTGTAAGTGAACGAACCAGCTAGTTAGACTTCGATTTTCAAGCGTACAGTATACGTAGCAGTTAGGTAGCAAGATTTTGGAAAGCGCTTAAAATAGTATATAGCAAAGCCTTATATAGGACAGGATCAACAGTGAGCAAGGAGATATCGATTCTGGCTTTTGGGGAAACAGAACGGACGCTGTCCAATGTATCAACGCGGAATTAAATGCACAGCCAAAAAGAAAATGGGGAAATGCTAGGCACAATGCTAGACCGCAATATGCTAGGGCCAACTAAGCCCGATAAACAAAATGTTAGCAATGAAATTCACAGAGGATTTATGCTTGGTCCTCAAGGGAGGCCTTCTTAAGCTCCTCCGATGCATCGGCAACGGCATCCTTCTCCTGGGTCAGCTCGGCCTCGGCCGTGGGGGCACCGTTAGCCTGAGCGGGCTTCTTGGCGGCATCAGTGCTGCGGCCGTTGGACTTCTCCTCGGATTTGGTCTCCTCCTCCTCAAGGCGAGCGATCTCCTCCTTGGCCTTCTTAATGTTCTGTGACACTTGTTAGCAACTGTTAAATGAACCCACATACAAGGTACTCACCTCCTCGGTCTTGCTGGCCTGGGTGCTCTTCCATTCGGTGATCTTGGCGGCCAGCTTCTCGATAGCAGCGGGAACGTCGGACTGGTTCATGGGGGGATCAATCTTGACCTTGCTGAACTCCTCAATGATACCGACGTTCATGTTGAACTTGGAGGCCTCGGGAGCGGCACCCTTCTTGCCGCCCTTCTTGCCCTTCTTGCCACCACTGCCGACAAAGTAGTCCTCCTCATCATCCTTGCGCACGACCTTCATACCCTTGATGGCGGAGTCGTCAACAGTGCGGCCAACGCCGGCGCGGAAGTTGCTATCCTCATCCTTCTTGTTGTCTAGACCAAGGGCAGCGAAGTTGTAGGCGGGGTCGAAGTGACGGATGAGACCTTGAGCAGTTAGGATCTCATCGACGTAGGCGAGGTTGGACGCCTCCTCGAGCTTCTTGTCAGCGACCTTCTTGCGCTTCTCACGCTCAAAGGCATCACGCTCAGCCTTCTGACGCTCACGGCGCACACGCCATGCCTCGTCCTCGTACTCCTTGTAGGCGCGACGGGCCTTGAAGTAGTTGTCCTTAATCTCACGGATAGCAGTGTACTTCTTCTGCTGGTCGTTGCGCAGCTTGGTGCGCTCGTCGCGGAGAGCGTTCAGGTTCTTGTAGACACCGTCCTGCTCGGCCTTGATGGCATCCAGCTCCTTCTGGATCTCGCCATACTTGTCACCTAGGGCCTTGGCCTCGGGGTTGTCCATGCTCTTGCGGAGCTCCTGGATCTGCGCCTTCAACTCGTTGATTCCCTTTTGAGCGTCCTCGAGACCGGCGAAACCCTTGCGCTGCTTGCGCATCTGGGAGATATCGGAAAGAGCCTTGCGCTCATCCACCAGCTTCAGGGTACCAGAGTCGACCTGCTTCTCAAGACGGGCGATCTCCCGGTCGATCTCCTCAACGTTCTTGAATGACATCTTGCCGCGGGAGTTGTTCTGCTCAGCAATGCGCGCCTTCAAAGTCGACTCTAGACCATTGATCTTCTCCTGGATGCTGGAACGAGAGGTCTTGAAGCCAGCCTGCTTTTGGCGGATGGAGGAAAGTTCGGCGCGGAGTTCCTGCTGCTTTTTGGCGACAGGCGAGTCCTGGTTGTTGGGCTTGGCACCGTCCAACTTGGCCTTGATTTGGTTCTTTTGCGCAAGTTAGTCATTGACTACTTCTCCAAAAACTGGAAATTTGACTTCTAAAACCAAAAAAAAAATAAACGTTCAAAAAAACAGTGGGGGGCACGAGGACACGATGCCACCATGGCCTTCAATGAAGTTCGCCATTGCGCAAAATTCCACTGCAGGATGAAAACCTAATGCAACAAAGAGATCGAAAATCAAATCAAATCATGTATCGTACCAATTTCTCCTGAGCGGCGGTGTGTTCCTTCTCAGCCTGGGCCAAGTTGGCCTTGTAGGCCTCCTCATCGGGCTTGGTGGGCTTAACCCGCTCCGCATGGGCAGTGTCGGCCATTGTGAATAAATCAGAAGCGAAGAAGGAAGAAAGGAAAGAATTGCCTCCGAAGTAGGGAAGAGAAAGAAAAGAGACCAAAGAGAGGGAGTAGCCCACGAGGGGAAAGGAGAATAATTAAAACGGTTCGGTCGGTTTCTCCGCTTTGACTAAGTCGTTCGCCTGGCAGAAAGTTCCCGCCGATTTTTCTGTTCCTTATCACTTCTCTCGGTTTCCGCGCACCTTTGCATCTCTGACTTTCTTCACTGCCTTTCACCTGACTCCATAACTGGGGCTCATTCAATTTCACAATGGACGGTGAAATCGCGCAGCGCAGCGGCGACGAGGCCGACAAGGAGATGACCCGTCTCTGGCGCACATGGCGGACAGTCTATGAGATGCTTTCGGACCGAGTGAGTTTTTATTCCTAGAGACCCTCAAAGCTTCCATGGGCTTCACATACTGCAACAGAGCAAGACTGACCAGATGCGCGACGCGACAACAGGGCTATGAAGTCTCCGATGATGAGCTGCAACTCTCGCTGATCGACTTTAAGCACAAATATGCTGACCCCATGGGATACCCAGAGTATGCAATTCCTCAAATTCCCACCTCAGCCCAGCTCTCGACCTGAAATATTCGATGGGGGGAAGATAGCTTGACTAACGCGCATATCCTTACCAGCCGCACCAAGATGAAAATCCAAGCCCGCCCCACCGAGGAAATGAAAATGAAATACACAGCTCTCCCCAGCAAATCAAACCCCACTCCCCAGCCTGACTGTGGTACTATCTACGTCGACTTTTGTCCCGATTCCTCTGGTGTCGGTACCAAGCAAGTTCGCGCCTTCAACCACATCGTTGACGAGAGCAACTTCCACACCGGTGTCTTCATCACCCAGACCCCCATCTCGCCCTCTGCCGTACGCCTGCTGAGCGGTATCCCCGGCCGTATCTGCGAGCACTTCCAGGAGCAGGATCTGCTGGTCAACATTACCCGTCACGAGCTTGTCCCCAAGCACGTCCTCCTTAGCCCCGAGGAGAAGGCCCGTCTGCTCGAGCGATACCGTTTGAAGGAGAGCCAGCTGCCACGTATGCAGGTTTCGGATCCCGTGGCACGGTACTTGGGCTTGCGTCGGGGACAGGTTGTGAAGATTATTCGGAAGTCCGAGACCGCTGGTCGTTACGCCAGTTACCGATGGGTTATCTAAGGGAGAAAAGAGAGAGCCAAAGTTTCTAGAAAGACCAATTGTGTCTCCCTGCGAAACAATTGGGATTTTTGGTTGTCACCGAAAAGAAAACCCTCCGATTCTGATCGAGATCGAGGGAAAACTGGGAACCCACCACATGCGCATCAGTCTCGACCTCTCTGAGAAGACAAATCAGCTGCCACATATTCCCAAGATCAGCTGTGTCAGATGCCAGGGAGAATCGGGCACGGAGTTTGTTTATTTTTTTTTGTTGACTGCACCACACAAACGAACCAAAAAAAGTTGTATTATGGGCAGCATGGCGTACTGGCGAATTCTTTCCGCGAAGAGGGAGGGGGTTTCCAACCTTTGATTTTACATAGTAATGCTCTCTGCTGTGCTGTCGAGCTAGAAGAATACACTGAATGTCTATACATTAATTCTTTGCAGTAAAAAGTGCTATGTTCATGGCCTCGTTTCATGTGATGTACAGACAGTATTTGATATTCCAAACATATGGAAAGAGGCACCTCCAACGCCAACGCTGCCAGGAAACAATATCCTTGGAACTTATGGGGGTATAGTCCAAGATTCAAGGTGACACCCAATCCAATCCAATTTATTCTGGAGCCGATTCCAACTCCTGATAGCTCCATATTCCAAAATCATCGAGTCGTGAGGATATCAAACTCAAACACCAAAAAAAAGATAACAAAAAAAAGAAACCAATCAACGAGTAGGCGGGGAATGCCTAGATAAGAGCCCACCCACATCCTGCAGCTCAACGTTCACATCCAGTGAAACATCAGGCGCAGCCCGGTAAGGTGGGAGGGCATGTAAAGGTCGGGTATTAGTTGGAGCAAGAGGCGTTAAAAAGCGTGGGGTAGTCCGGCCAGCAGTTCGCGAGGGCAGAACACCCAAATCCTCGAGAAAAGCTCTTCCTCCTCGAGATGGGCGCGATTGATTCACAGATAACCCTTGTTCTGTTCGGGTAGGACGTAAGCCCGCACGAGAATGTTGGCTCTCTTTGTCCTGATCTAGTAGACCGCCGACATCGAAGAACGACACTCGCGGTGAGGAGAGGGTAGATTGTGAGAGGGCGGGGTTTTCGCGAGGAGACTGGTTGGTCTTGATATATTCTCGCGGACTGACATCCATATCGAGGCTGTCAGTCATCGAGAGAGGGTTATCGTCTGAGGGACGAGGTTGGTGGAAGGACCATGATGGATTGAGAGAGCCGGTGCGTGCAACGTGCAAGGGAACAGGTGGTACGGGCATAGGCATAGTGTGTGATTCTGACGACGATGCACTCGGGTGCAGCTTAGGATCGAGTCTTATACCCAATCCACCAGCAAGATCGGAGTCGCTGCCCCATTGATGCTGCATGAGTGTATTGCGACGGATATAGCTGTTATCAAGACTTTCGCTGACAGATGCAGAAGCCATTTCGCGTTTATATTTGAGTTTCTTGACGCCGCGGTCGCGGACGAAGGAGCCGATGACGAGGGCGTTGGAGACGGCTGTTGCGGCGAGGATCTCGAGTGAGGCCATGAGTGACCGATAGGGTTGATTGCCTCTGCGTTCGATGACAGTGGGTACGCGGTAACAGGTGATTCCGACTAGGAGGAGGGAGAGACAGAAGAGGATGACGAGGCCTATTTTGCGTTTGATTGGCATTCTGGACATGATGACTATCGGAACAGGGAAGGCGATGAGAAGAAGGTCGGTTATGACATCGCAGGTACCCATTGTGATGAGCTGGGCATATCCGCAACGACATGGCGGGCCGGGATTGGGAATGACCTGCCAGTACTGGTCGAATGGTTGACATTCAGCCAACGTTGCAATCACGACAGCCACCAGGGTCGAGGCCAAGAAGAAGTGAACAAAGCGCAGGAAGATGGCGGTGGATCGACGGGAGACCATGCCTGTGACTCGTTTCAGAAATTCACAGACGGTGAGCTTGGCTGTCCAGATACTAGGATCATTGATATCAGTATACTGTATGACGCACCCGACGGACGGGGGGCTTGTCTCACAAGATCGCGTAAAAGATCCTTGCTACCAAAACGAGCTTACTCCCGATCTCTCTTTTCGAGACTTCTTCCGCTGTCAAGCCGGCCGTCTGAACGTTGTTTGTGCCATAGACCAAAACGTAATGTACCAAGACCATGCGGCAGACGAGAGGAACCATGCTGAGCGTCATCACTTTGTCCTCGGGGAAGAAGCGCTCCATGCGCACGTAGCGACCACATAGACGGACGATGATAATGACTATCGAAAAGGCTGTGGCCCACCAGCTCATCAACAGGGACGGATTTACATCCTCGCGGGTTTCATAGGCGGGAGGAAGCTGGACGTGGAGTCCACGTACAGCCAGAGACGATTCCATGATCCCCGCCGCCTCCGAAGAGGGGCTTTGCAGTCTGTTTGCAATCTCACTGTTTCCTCAAGACTTCTCACCCAGGAGAATAGCAACCTTTTACATGTCGCACGTGAGAAGCAACGGGGTATCCAGTCGGTGGGGACAGTGGAATGGCACTAGTCGGGGCGATCAGCAAAGCCCACTTAGGCTATCTTTGGGGGGGGGGGGGGTTGTGCTCTTAAGAGCACACGAGTGCCCTCCGTGGCGGAGTTCGTGAAATGTGAAACGATATGCACCAAGCCCCATGGGCCAAATCAGAAAATAAAGAGGGGAAACCGGAGTATCGGTGAGCCCCGGAGAAACAGGCTATGAGGTCAAGGATTGCGAGGGCGACATTTCGACAACACGATGATAACAAACGAGCCAGTGAGATGCTTTGTACTAATCTACTTCCAACCTATAAACACTATCGGGGGGAGACCCATCGCAAAACTAACTAAGTGCCAATCGGCGACCCTGATTCGCGCAAACCACTGGGGAGTGAGCTATCTCCATCTCCATCCCAGCCAAGCTGACGCCAAAAACCGGGTCATGATTTGAGGAGTCCATCGTGTCATCATTGGTCAAGATCGGCGTACTTTGTAACGTTCGCTGGCCCGGAGTCCGGGAGCTTTGACCTAACCCGCGATATTTAAGAACTTTGTGAGTGCCAGACTAGATAAATTGATTCCGAGGTAGAACAATCGGTATTGTTCACGTGGGAGGTTCCTCAATGCGTTGGATCTCGGTAGAAACTGCCGCTTATGCTATACGAGTCCAAGGCCTGGGGCGTTCTTAAACTCGGTATCAAGCATCGGGTGGATGAGAATCAAAACCTTATAACGGAGTCGCCCCAAGAGAGAAGCCTTTTACAGTTTACCTGGAGAAACGCAGTGAAAACCCTTGGAAGGCGCAGACCCCAATTTGACACCAGAGGCACGCGACAGAAATACGAAACCCAATGTGTCTGCCTTACAGCCTCAATCTCACGGTGGAGTCTCCCTAGTCTAGACCCGGCCCAATCAGAGTGAGAGCCCTGATAAAGCTAGTGACAACGGGCTAAAATAGCCTCTCTTTGGATCTAGATGGTAATAAATTGGAGTTGTTATCGTAGTGACCTGGATATCAACCCGCGGATACAGATAATCTCCTGAACTCTATTTAATCGCGCATGAAACGGGCTTTTCCACGGTTACGCAACCACCGCAGCCGCCGCATCCTCCCGTTTCGCCTCGTCCCGAAGCGACTGGACGCCAGATCCCGCAAGTAAATTATCCAGAACAGCCCGCAGCTCCTGCAGGAACTTGGTCACCTCGTTCTCAGTACCAACGGTGATACGAAGACAGCCCTCGCAGCCATGCTCTTTACCGCGGAACCGCACCACAACTCCACGCTTCTCCGCCAACGCCTCATACGCCGCCAGCGCAGTCACGTTGCTCGGTTTCCCGGCCGCATCCAAAATCTCCACCAACAAGAAATTCGAGTCTGTGCCACCCAGGAACCGGCCAACCCCGGAAATCTGCGGCAACTCACGGAGCAGACGGTCGCGCTGCGCGACGATCTGGTCACGGTACTGGTGCATCACTGCCAGATTGGGTTCAGTCAAGGCGGCGGTCGCAAGTGCGCTGGTCGGGCTGGAGATATTGTAAGGGGCCTTCAGGCTGTTCAATAACCGCGCGATCTCGGGACTGGTATACGCAACGCCTAGACGAATACCTGCAAGACCGAATGCCTTGCTGAGAGTTTGCATGACGGCGAGGTTGGGCCACTCGGTGACCCACTCGGCCAGACTGGCGCCCTCCTCGGCGAAATCGATGTATGCTTCATCCACGATCACCACGCCGTTCCATGTGGGGTGCTCCAGTACCTTGCGGATGTCGTCCTTGCGGATCAGGTTGGCGGTCGGGTTGCCGGGAGAGCAGATATACACGAGTTTGATGGATGGGTCAGCGGATAGTGTCTCGTTGATCTTGTCGACCTGCAGCTGGAATCCGTTTTCCACATCTAGCGGCACCTTGACGATGTCAACGTCGTTGATCTGGGCGCTCACACTGTACATCCCGTAGGTCGGTGGGCAGGTGAGAATCTTATCCTTCCCTGGTGCGCAGAAGCACCGGAGCATCGCATCGATAGCCTCATCGGATCCGACACCCACAAACAGGCTCTCAGGCTTCAGGGTCTTTTGTGTGTGGTGGTGGGTATTGCGGAGGTTGCAGAAAAGCTGCTTAAGTTCAATTTGGTGACTGTAGCGTTCAATTGAAAGTTAAGACACACTCGTAGAAAAGCACGGGACGAGGTCTTACGGATCGGGGTATCGGTTCAGGCCCAGGAAGTCAATCTCGGGCTGGGGGCATTGCAGGGCATCCTCCTTGCTCCATGCTAGAGACGGGCCGTAGGCATTCTCGTTGGCGTCCAGAAGGACGTTCGTGCCATCATCTTTGTAGTCACTGATTCATTAGCGCACGAGCGATATCGGAGGCATTTCGGAGCTGACCTACTCTCTGGCGCAGCGATAAGGCTGCAATTGCAGGATATTAGGTCGGGCACATTTCGACAAATCGAATGGTGAAACTCTGGACGCCATTGTGGGTGAGGATATAGACAGATGTGAAGAACCAAAGTTGGTGGGGTGGCGGGGATTTATGTTATCGCCGAAATCATGACTCAGACGGAAGTATGACTCTCAACTCTAATTTCCTATCGAATCTATCAACCCAGCGAATTAACTCTCTACAACTACTAATTAATAGGCTGTTCATGGGCTCAGTTCCTTCAATTGCCCCAAGCTTGACTGGGCGCCACGTCGCTCTGCTTGCTTCTCTGCCATGGTCTATTTGCACAATATTAACGACATTCTTCAGATCATTGGATGTCACATACTCAACCCTTTTTTTCTAGAAATTCTTGTGTGAACTGACCTACCTGAGCATTCTGAGTCTTCTTTTTTGGTGGAACAAAGCGAACTTCAACTAGGTGAAGTTTACCCTTAGCTAGGAGTTTAGGAATTGCGCGCAGATTCCAATCTCATAACTCATACACTGTGATTCGGAACCTACTCGTTCGAGAATATGCCATCGTAACAGGTGCAGTAGCTCTAAGACGTTTTTTCTATTTTTGGATTACCTAGAACTTTGAATATTTTGGGGTCAGACTAATGTCATGCACTACCGTGCGGCGAAGTCGATAGATGTACTATCTACACGAAGCAATCTTATTCCTGGTAATAACTTCTTTAGGTGATGAGTGTCACGCCTAACATATGAGGGAGAACTCCCGCAGTATAACAGCAGTACATTACTGCCACATGAACAACTGCCGAGGTCGTAGTATGAATACAGCATAACTACAAAATGCCTACAGTACGAGACGGATCTAGAGTAGCACACTCGCTGAAGAAGACTCGTACTTGAATAGGAGCGCGGGACAGGACTCAGGAGTTCTCCAGCGATTATATTATATTTAATCCAGACCTACAGGATAACACAATATCCATATAGTACCTTTACACTACTACTTTTATTTAGGGGTGAAGCGATTATAATATTAGAATAGGAGTGCTGTTCTAGAGGTAATATAGATAAGAGTGATAGTGTGAATATACTAGTAGTAGAACCACGCGCTGCGAGGAGAATATTGGCCATTTCTCCTACAATAGAGGGGCAGCACCACGCGAATCCATAGAGAGTAACCATTGCGTAAGCGAATCCTCCGCTTTTTGTGTTGCTTTATGGCTATTGGCGTGCGTATCGTCTTGGTAAACGCAGCTATTAAGCCGGTTGCGAAGCGTAGCCCTCGTGATTCGAATTATCTCCGCAGCTTGGCATTGAGAGCGCACCTTGTGATTTTTTGACTTTTTTCACTGCGTTTTGGTGACATAGTAGGTGGTTAAACATGGTAGGTGGTGGTAGGGCGGGGGGTGGACGGGCCGCCCCAATCTCGCTTTCGATGAATATCGCACCCTATCCAGGTAGGATAGCTAGTGTTCTTACGCTAACCGCCATACCAGAGATATCATTGGTCATTGGTTTCGATCATAGGAGACTAATTTCAATGCGGCCCTATCGAAGAGGGGAATTGGGATCTCAGCCGCCGTGGAGAACACAAAGGTTACACCTAGCATGCACGCTTCATCCTATATATAGTTAGTGGCGGTTATCCGGTCTCCAAGGCTCTTGGCTGCATTCTACCGATGTTTGTGGAAGCTTTAGCGCTGGGTCACTGAAAGTCCCCTTTTCGTGTCCCTGATCCTCCGATCGCACCGATTTGCCCCTCAATCTTCGTACCACCAGGGCAGCTGTTTTGCCATGACGTGTTTTCCATACTGAATCATAATCATACTAATACGAGTTGACGGCTGAGCACTTTGTCCCTTCCTCCAAGCTATCTTCCATCTGGCTTCTAGCCCACGACTATAGGCTGGTCTCACGAAGCAGGCGATTCACTACGTCCCGTGCGAATTTGATCAGTCCAGGATGGATGGGCTTGAAGTCGCCCCAAGGCAGGACCACACACGAGGGCATTATAGCCAGCTTCAAGTTGCCATTGAGGCAGAAAAAGAAGCCAACAACCATGCTGGAGATACATACTACGTATCCGGACCAATAAAAGCGGGCCCAGTCACACTCGAAGATGGTTCGCCTAGAGCTGGTTCTTCGAGCGACTCTAAAAGAATATGCGGAATGAGGCTCTCAGTGCTCTGGTTGCTGTTAGTTATCGCGGTTTTGGTGATAGGTGGTGCAGTGGGCGGTGGAGTAGGAGGATCACTGGCTAACAGAAATTCAAAGTATGTTTCGCGCTCACTTCTAACAAGATCCATCTAACATGGTATCTCACAGCAACTCCGCCTCTACTACCGCTGCCTCCACAACACCTGGCAACTCTGCATCCTCCATTCCACAGTCCTCTACTACCACTGCCTCCACAACTGCGTCAACAACATCATCTGCCCCCGTTACATCAGGCACAACAGGGGTGGCTGCGAATCCATGCCCCGGGCGGAACCTAACTACAATTACCGGCTCAGACGGATCGATATTCACTTTACTATGCGCCGTTGACTGGCCGAAGGGCGTTGACTCATCATCCGGCAATGGAACAGTCAGCGATCTAGGTTTTCCATCAACAGAGTATAGTTTGAAATCCTGCATTTCTCAATGTGTGAAGTGGAACGAAGCGGATTCAGACGAGCAATGCAAGGGGATTTCCTATTCTGCGAATCTGACGGCTGCGTTTGATGGAGGTCAGGAAGGAAACTGCTTTTTGAAAAGTAGTGTTGGGGTGTATTTCCCTAATTCGGAAACAGGTATGTCCGCGGGGCTCCTGGGCGGTTGAGGTACTGTTTAGGCCAGTGGCGTCAATTATGTACAATAAAGAGAAACTACGTGATGATCTATCCTGTAGTGCCATAAGAGTCGAATCAAATAAGAGGAACTCTAAGAATGGGCTGCTGAGTTATCGGCTCACTTCGGCTGTCAACTAGTCAGGAGTAACAAACATGCTGTCATAGCCAAGCAGTTATATAATTGTCCCATTTTCGAGAAAAAGGCACTCAATAAGCGATTTAGATACATTGAAAGTTACGATATCACAGATATTCCAACGGAAACAAACCCCGTGACATGGAAAAAGAGTCTCCTGAGATGCTGACCAGGAACATTCTGGAAGCGCTTTCAAGGTTTGTGTGCGAGTGCTTCAACTAACACAATCCTGACACTAATATAGATTTCAGCAATCCGGTGATTTCACAGCCTAGGTCTAGGTCCCGCTAGGTCATGCGGAAGCCTAATAAAGGTACCTAATTTTCGCAAAACTTTCGGTCTATAGCTAGACACCTTAGTTTTAGGGAAAAAAAAAAAAAAAAAAAAAAAAAAAAAAAAAAAACTTCCTAAACCGTACCTTTTTACTCTATTCCCTAATATGCCGATAAATGATTACGGTATGTGGAAAGCAAGGCCCGTGAAATACACAGATGAACACGACGGACATGCTACATCATCCGAGACCTGGGAGGACTACCTAGATCGAAAGGACGACGCGCCGATCTGACGGAGAATCTGGTGAGACTCAAGGAGGCATTAGTAGCCCCCTCTTGGGCGAGATGGTCTTCAATACAGATCAGTTACTCTCACGAATCCCACAGACCACACCAGGTCCTGTCTCCCTGAAAGGTCCCCAACTAGGCTGGTCAAGCCCAAGCACTCCCAAGTGGTGCAGCACTAGGTGCCATGTCAACCGGCGCTTTACCACTTCCCAATTGTCCACTTTATAGCCGTAGTGATACCATTATCCTGGTGAATGATCAGGGACTAAAAGTCGACGGGGTGAGTTTTTGCGCGGAGAAGAGAAGAATTGAAGGACGACCCGTTGATTTTGCTCATTATTGTTGATTGGTATGGCTGAATTTCAAATACTGCGACTTTGGCTTTATCAAAAGTAAAAACACCCCCCTCTGCTGATGGATCTAAATTCTGAATTGGCAGATACTTGTGTATTTCCTTTTTCGCGGGACCACAAATTGGAGATTCTCAATGTCAGTTCCTCCAGTCAGTTTGTCACATTTATTCACTTAATTTTGCCAGGGTGAGAGGCTCCACCAGTCATAGTGGGGGTCCTCACTATGAGTTTCGAGTTTGCTGAAACGGAAGCGTCTACGTTATGACTATTTGATTCAAGCAAAGGCAGCTCACATGGGGCAGCACATTTGATCACATAACTATTGCTCGTTGGCTTGGAGACTGTTCATCAATATAGGATCATCCAACCTGCATGGACTTCAAAGATCCCTCATCCGATCTCCTTGAACGACAAGTGCCGGTTTATCGTGTCGCTGCTCTGCAAGGGCATTGATCCAGGCTGCTAGACGCACGCCCGCTTTGTATATCTGTTCCGCAATTACCGGGGCAGCATCATCGTAGTACTCACCCCCAAGATCCTCGTCCTCGATATACGGAAGCCCTTTACTAAACACCACAGCACAATTCAAATGATTGGTCTCCTTTGCCCACTCCTTGACACAGACGTCAGGTTTAGTGATATCCGAACATTCCACAGCGGTCGTCGGCCTGTGCTCATTCATTTGGAACAGATGCATGGCCCATTTGAGAGAGGCCGATTTTTCATCGTTATGCTTGATGACGTGCCCGATGCCGTTGATCTTGTGGGGCATATCTGTGTCCCAGATACCGTGAAGATTGCCTCTGCGACCGTCGAAAGTAACATTTATCAGGTTCCCTCCTTTTCTGTAATCCTCCACATGCAAAGGCATATGGATGTCCCCAAAGAAGTGGATCAGAAACATAACAGCTTCTGTTTGATTCGAGCTATCGTCATGCATTTGGTCGGTCTATCGATGGTCAGGCTTGCGTAGGAGGCATCGCCGGATAAAGGGAAGTCCTCACCATCTTATCCATGGCCGTAATGATACAACCTTTCTCTTCGCAATTTGATGGCAGAGGTGATATATTGCAGTGATTCCCCAAAGGGTCATCTTTCACATCTGTACTCGGAAGGGACATCAATCTTCATTACCAGTTCATCAAGGGAGAACTGCAACATACCAACATAGTGCCAAACTGCAGTAGAAGGGCGTTCGCTATGCCTTAGTTCATCAGCCCAGACGGCCGCGTCTGAGATATCGAAATCCTGGGTACGAGGCAGTAGGTCATTAAGCAAGCCTTTGGCCTGCTCATTGAGATATTGCTCCGCCAGATAGGCAACAGTGCGGTGACCGACATCTCCCCATCCAAGAGTTGGCCCACAAAGAATTGACCAGACGAATACGATCAATAATAAGAAGTCACAAGCCATCTTGGATCTGATCAGTTGTAATGATTTATGCTGCAATAATGCAGTTGTTGACATTGAATTATTATTTGGTGGAGAGAGTGACGTGTGGAACCAGGCGGTATGACGACTGCCGGTATGCAGGGACGTATTAGGACGAATCAAATCCCTCTAAAAAAGATGTAAGATCTAATGGTCACCTCCATGATTGCCATTTCGCACCCTTGTCGTAGAATGATCTAGACCGGCATTGGGATCAAGTGTTAAAAGCTTTGGCACTGATCGAGCAACTAGTTCAATATTACTTTTTCCCTTTTTTACCCCCTTTTTTGGCCTTGTTTTCCTTTTTAATTATTCTTTTGGATAGCTCGTTTGATCATATGAAACCAATTCAGCTTTTATCTAGACTGCTTGGCCAGCTTAGATGTACCTACCAAGCCCGGCTGGACTGGCACGGCCCGAGGTTTAAAAAGCGGGAGGCTAATCCGACCAACCTTTGGAATAGCCGAAGTAACATCTAACCCATTCTGTTTCGTCGGTCCCGAAAGCGGACATGACAGTCGCAAGTCAGGTGGGCTAGAACAGACAAAAGAAAAATGCTACGGTTCTGGTGGTGGAAGCCCTCGTATGATCTTCTTGGCATCCACATGGTATATGCCCTTGTCATCTTAACAACTGGGCAGCATTTGAGAAAGGAGAATACCATACTGTCTACGAGCTTGAGACTTGATGACGGAGGAGAAAAGGGGACCCCGGTGTTACTGAATCTAGGGAAAGTCAGTTGTCAAAACCACTGTACTTGGCTGATGTATGGAGGGTGTTGCATTTTTAATAGTCGGCAATGATCTTGTATGTTGTATTGTCAGGGACTGTAGGTGCAATGTATTTTGCAGATGCATAGATGTTGAATACAATGATTGGAACAAAAGTGCCACACAACGCCCATGTATGCCGGTCTACCCCAATGACTCGCCTAATATGCCACAATTTCTCTTTACTCCTTCTTTGTGTCGGCATTGGTAGCCGCCGCCTTGGCAACTGCCTGGGACTTCCTGTGCTTTTCCCGCTTCTCCTTGATATAGTTCCAGCTTTTGCAAAGACCCGCAGTCAAGGGCCCCTTAATAGTCTGGATTGTGCTAGGCCATCGGATCGTCTTCATGATCGACGCGGACACCTCCTCTTGCAGCTTCTCATCACTGGCAATACGGCGCTCAAAGGGACCTCCCTGGGGCCGGCGAACGATATCTTGTGTGTTGTTGTTTTCCGCCATCATCTTGTCGAACTCGGCCCGGGGGATTGCATAGCGGCTTTGATATTGAAAGTAGAGCTTCTCCCGGAACGAGTCAGGAAGACGGCGGACCATGTTTCCGCGGCGGACCGGGTCCATATCTTGCACCATCCCCAGGATAACATCTGGGTCATCGATCCAGTCATTTTGGCTACAGCGCGGATCTTGGAAAGATACATTGGGTAGATTATTGATGAGAGGGGCATATAGACGTCGGAAGTGCGCCATCTGCCCGGAAACAATATTGCGTACTTTGCCAGGGTCCTCTGCCGGTAACACCATACGCAGGTCGCCCATGTAACTGATGCCAGCGATGGTGCTGTAGAGTTCAAACTCGCTAAATCGCTCCGGGAGTAGTAGCAAAGCCACCCGCAGAGCGGACAAAAGATTCATCTGATTGGCCAATCGGACCTTGGGGTGATCACGGAGGATCTTAACGGGCTTTTGCAAGCGCCCGGCAAGGTATAAGGTATCCCATCGGGTAAGATCGTTACACAACGTGTCCAAATTCACAACGCCATATTTGATCAGCGTTCCGCTTACTGTAATGTGGGTGTTGAAGTATACACCGGCTCCAAATCGGTCCTGAACCTGGGAAACCGCATATGAACCAAGGGAGCCCAGCCCGGAGTAATGATCGCGATGTTGACTCAAGTTTAATGCATGCCAGTGTTGGGAATATGACACTCCAAAAATGAAATCAATCATCTTCCCGGGCCCCTGTTGCATATTTTTGATGGCGGCCGGCGCCGATGGATGGGTTGGGGTGGAGGCAGTTGCACTGCCATTCTGTGCAAAGACTCCCGATCCGTAGGCGAATGCATACCGGATAGGTGCCCGGAATTGCCACAGAATTTGTCGCAATGCTTCCTTGAATTCCTGGTTGATGATCATGTGCTGATTGACCCCGAAGTCCTTGGACGGAAGCTCGGAGAAGTTGGAGATTTGAAGATTCGGGTTATGGTCCCAATCCGTGTCGGACAATGAGGGTGAGGTGGAGAACGAGGCAGAGGATAGTTGAGAGGGCACATTGTATAATAATGATGATTTGGAAGGACTGACATTCGCAGATCGGATCAAAGGAGAGTCTAGAGTCGAGCGAGAATCGATTGCGAAACAACGAACTGAAGCGGGCAGCCTCGGGAGAGCCGAATAACGAAGATGAGCCCCACAGAGGGAGCTGGGGGTTCTACCCCGAGAAACAATCTATAAAGAGGAGGAATCAGCATGGTTGTTCTTTCCCTGGTCACTGCTCTCATCAATTAGGGTTGAAGTTCGTACAGCTGATCGCATAGGCGCGGTTCGGATAAGGAGCGGAGCGCACGGCTCAAGATAGATCAAAAAGATCAGGGATTATCACAGTCCCGGATCATGGAGCGTAGATAAGAACAGTCAATGGCAAGAGCAGATGGGTTGAATTAGTCCCACGCTGGCTCAACAATTAATTCCCAAACTCCCGTGAGTCTGACGTCGGAAGCGATGACATAATCTCATCACGTGCACGCGCGTTTCGCATAACAACGCTATCAACAGTGTAAACAGACCGCATCAACATCGACCAACAACCCCGCGCCCTCGACAACAAGCACCGGCTTTCGACTCCCGACCCGGGACCGAGGACCGACTGTCCTTTATTCAAACTATTGAATCATGGGATCGGAAATGGACACATTCGCAGCCCGCCTGGCCAGCTTCGACGTTGTGCTCAAGCCCGAGAAGCGGAGATCTTCAGGCGTGAAAGGCCCCAGATTCATCGCATGGCCTCATTCAAAGCCTTCCCCTGCAGAGGTAAAATCCCCGGTTGAGGGCTTTGATCCTTCTTCTCTAACTCGAAATGTCTTTAGTTGGCGCAAGCAGGCTTCTTCTACAAACCCTACGAAAGCAACCCCGATAACACAACATGTTTCGAGTGCGGCCGCGCATTGGATGGATGGGAGGAGGAAGATAACCCAATCACGGAGCACCTCAAGCACTCTCCGGACTGCGGATGGGCGATCACTATGGACATTCAACAGAACAGCTCCAACCCCTCAGCTATCGAGGATCCGACCAGTGAGCGTATTTCCCAAGCGCGGTTGGCAACATTTGGCTCGGCATGGCCTCATGATGAAAAACGCGGCTGGATCTGTCAATCTGAAAAGGTAACCCGGTCTTTGGTCCCGTCTTCTTTAACCACACGCTAATAAGCCCGGCAGATGGTCGAAGCTGGATGGTATTTCTGCCCGACAGAAGAGAGTAACGATTTGGCTAGTTGTGCTTACTGCAAGCTCTCCCTGGACGGCTGGGAGCCCAAGGATGATCCATTGTAAGTGCCGATTGCTCCTGCCTGTTACAGAGGGCAACAGAAACTAACCCTTTCCCCAGCGAGGAGCACTATCGTCGCTCATCAGAGTGCTCCTTCTTCGTATTTGCGCAGCCTCCCACAAAGAAGAGCAAAGGATCCAAATCAAAAAAGTCACGCGTGTCAAAGGCGTCTTCTCGCCTCTCAACCCAATCAGTCGGCACTACCACATCTGAAGCCCCGGAGGACCTTGACGAATCAATGGACCAAAGCATCATGTCACAAGCCAGTGTGAAGTCCAAAGCCACGAAGAAGGGAGCGAAGGGCAAGGGTAAATCCACCAAGGCCAAAAAAGAGGAAGCTGAGGCCGAAGACCAAATGGAGCTGGACAGTGTTGAACACGTGCAGCCGGAGCCAGAAGCCCCCAAGACCAAACGTGCAGGTCGAGGGAAGAAGAGGGTCAGCAAGGAAATGGCACGGGATGAGTCCGAGTCATTGGCTGAACCTGATCAACCGTCGATCGAACCACCCAGTAAGCGCCGCAACACAAGCACCCGAAGCAGCAGCGTATCTCAGACCTACAACTACGAGCATGAGTATGAGATGTCGGATGCGGCACCTGCGGATGAAGCACCCCAAGAAGAGCTCAAGAAAAGCCGCAAGGGATCGAAGAAGGGAACTAGCAAGAGCCGTAAGGCTTCTGATGTCTCAGTCTCGTCCAAGTCAACTTCCAAATCCCGTTTACCCGAAGACTCAGAGTTAGATGCTGCTATAGAGGCAGGTCTCGAAGTGGATGTACCGGAGCAGGTCGGGTCCGAACCGTTAGTAGAGCCAGAGCCCGAACCGGAGCTTGAAGTCGAGCCCGCCCCTCGTGCTTCGAAGAAATCCAAAGCGAGCAAGAAAACCAAGCCCGCCAAGGCGGCTGAGCAGCAAGCACAGGAGCTGGAAGAGCCTATGGACTACGAGGAGCATCCCGAGAAAGAACCAGAGGTCATTGCCGAACCCGATGTGGATGCCATGGAGCTGATCGAGGAGCAAGCCGAACCAGCTCCCAAGGCCAAAGCCGCCAAGGGTTCTAAGAAGAAGGGAACTAAGAAGAGCAAGAAGGAAGAGAGCAAGTCAAAGGCCTCGGCATCGCGAGAGTCCACTCAAAACAAACCCACACCTGATGACCAGCCTATTGATGAGCACCATAAATCATTTGTATCGGTTGAAATCGTCAATCAACAGCCCGAGCCCGCGCCCGAGCCCGAGTATCAGCCTGAACCTCAAGCTGAGCCCGAACGGGAACCACAACCGGAGCCAGAAGCGACAACCCCTGAGAAGCCTGTGATGAAAAAATCTTCGAAGAAAGAAGACAAGGCAAAGAAATCCAAAAAGTCTAAAAAGAAGGAGCCATCTCCATCACCTGAGCCGGTGGTGGAAGAAACTTTTGAGGAACCCATGCCTGAGCAGCCTGTGCCGGTGTCTCCATCTGCAGATGAAGAATGGGGGACGCCGGATGATCTACCAGATCAAGTCGAGATGGTTGCACCTGTAGAACCTTCCCCGGAACCTTCTCCAGAGCCGCCGACTAAACAGCGGACGCCTGTACCTCCCAAGACGGTCAAGCGATTCAGTGATATTCCCCAAGAGGAGCATCTGACCGAGTATATCACGAAACCACAAGAGTCTCGAGGCAGTATGCAGAGGGTATCCCGAGGATCTAAGCGATCTGTCTCACCTCTGCCACCAGCGCACCAGCACACGCCGTCAATGTCCCCCCAATCCTCTGATGCCGAGAACCGACCCCCTTCCTCTCGTCTCTCAGCATCCCGCCCAGCTATCCCACCAGCGGAACCGCAGGATCAGACTCCGCGGGCGGCAGCCACTCCGTCGCCATCTAAACGCAATTTCAACGGTGCCTTCGCGGCTTCCAACCATCCTTGGACACCGGTGGACATTGACGAAGCCCTATTTGGAGAGGCTAGTGACAAGGAGAATGCCGATCTTTCTGGCCTGTTCAATGGCATGAAGCGAGGGCTGACTAGTCCGGAGAAAAAGATGACTGTGGAAGAATGGATCATGTGGAATGCAAAGAATGGTGAAGAGCGGCTCAAGCGTGAATGCGAACGGCTTGTCGGTCAATTTGAAAAAGAGGGGAGTCGAGGCATGCAGCGACTCGAGGCCATCGAGTGTATTGATTAAACGAGCACATGCGTTTCCTTGGTGTTTGGTTATTTTCTTGGATATGGTTATGGCGTCTTCCGGCGTCTGGAGGGTATATCACGATTGAATATGGTCACATTTCTTCTGCGTCGAATATGCAATGACAATACTTTTGTGTTCACATTTATGTGTCGTAGGGAGAGAAAGAGATAAAAGATGAGCCTGAAACGCCATGGGTATCATAAAACAGGCCATATCCCCGGGATCCAGTTATCCTAGGCAATAATTCCCAACCGGCCTTCCCAACCATCATCTTCCTTTTTAACATCGCCGCCCTTCCGGCGCTTCTCATTTCGCTTGCGCCTCCGTTCCTCCCTCTCCTTAGCCTCAATCTCTTCCCGCTCCCGCAACCGCTCCCCAAGATCCAACTGCCAAGCCTTCCTCTCCTCTTCCTCCCTCACTCTCTTCCGATGCATCAACATCCTCAACCGCTCCCGCACCTCTCCAACCGAAGCCCGCATCACGTCGCCACTCTGTCCAGTCGCAATCAAATGCTGCTTGCTATTGTAGTGCTCCACAAGCTGAATATTATCTTTGAACGTCAGATCACAGTCCGCGCAGTAAAATCCCGCTCCGCGTCCACGCTTGCCGAGCGCTGATCCCGCCGGCACGATGGTCGTCTTTCCCACCATCGATGCCACATCTAGGCGGTTACTGCGGGCTGTTGTTGCCTCGAGGGAGCTGTAGTCGACCGGGGCATGGTATTTTTTGCCAAGTAGTTTGGCTTCGTAGCGAGCTTTGCCTTCGGCTTTGCGTTTGGCTTCTTCGTCGGCGGCTTTTTTGGTATATTCTTCGCGATCCCAGGTTTTGCGGAAGGCGGTGTCTGAAGGGGCGCCAGCGGCGCTTTGTTTGGACATTGTGGTGGGTTTGTAGAGTGAGGAAGCTAGAGTGTTGAAAGTTGGAGGTTGAAGCTTGGAGTTCGAGGTCCGCAGTGGCGGCATTAGGTAAGCGGGTCTGGTCCAGTCTTGAGACCGTTTCTATGTTTACAAAGGTTTATGATGGTTGCACATGGATGTTTTTGCTATTCATTGTACTTTGAAGAATTTGAGTGTCTTATCAGTGAGAAGTTTGGCCGACTGAGACTGTGGATATAATCAGTAAATCCGTTGCTGCCTCTTGACCCCCGATCGTAGGCAACCTCCAAAAAGAACCATAACATGTGTATCTCTTAAACGACGCAAAAGAGCATATCGACTAACTCACAACGGTAAGCAAGCGATGTGGCTGAAACGCAGGCAGCCGTGTTGTGGACCTTCATAAGCAAGCCCATGCCAGGGAACCTCCTTCCTTCTCAGCCTCATCTGATCTCCAACAACTACAACTATAACTACAACATGCGAACTTCATCATCCTTACCGCAGTCTACTATAACATCTGAAGTTTCCTTACTGGATCTCCCGCCAGAAATTCATATGCAAATCGCTTCCTTTCTCTCTTACCCAGACGCACTCGCACTGAAACATACCAGCCGCCATTTCTACAACATGGTGTATACAGGTGTACATCTCAAAGTCAACTGGCTCGTTGAGCGCTTCGAGCGCAAACTCGAGTGTCCGATGGAGAAATGCTCATTTCGCACTGATGAAGCTTTCTGCAATGGCCGGGTTCGTCGCATAATGGAACGTCGCCGGTGGCATCTTGAGTGCCGGCGGGTACCTGGCGGTTGCTGGGTGGTTGAAGGCCAGACTTGTCGGAGGGATCTAATACCATCTTGGTTTAAGAGAAATCGGGCACAGGAGCGGATTGAGCATGGGGTGCGAGAAGGTTCGTAATGAGTCATGCTGTGTTGAGTTCGATTGCTGATTTGTTGCTCGTAATTCAGCTGTTATTATCGTTCTCGTCGCAATGATAATGCAAGTGTTTTGGATGCTCTTTACATGGTGAGTTTGAGTTGAATTGAACAGCGGTGAAGGTGCTAATGTCTTGAGATAGGGTCTATTATGGCTGGCCGTTGGATCTACCCTCGAGTCCTTGGCTGAGAGCTGTAGCATGGAATCGTTGAAAAGTATTAGTGCTGGACACACTTTTCAAATGATAAATCTTCCCAAAATGATTAGACTTAAGGCGGACTATCAGCATCAGCATGCCACATCATCCCGACCAGACATTCTTTCGATATTGGGAAGGACATAAAGTGCTTGGTGACTCTGCAAATGTCACAAGAGCATAATGGAAGGGGCAAAGAGAGATGGTGTTAACTTGGGAAACCACGGTATGCAAGCCACGAACCTATAGTCTTGCTGACATCACCGTGGGGTCAAGGGGCTAGTCCCTGGAGAATCCACTTTGTATCGTTCTGAGGACTCGGGAATACTCCATTCTTACCGATCAACATCGAATAATGTATACTTATAATTGTCCATGAAGGCGGAACATATTGCATGCCAAACATCCCTAATAAATCAGTTTTACCCATGAACCAGGTCAGTCCCCAGTTTAAAATGCGTATGTGTTTGGAAACAAGAGGAAAATATGTATGTAGGAAGAATGGACAAAAGAAACAGTGCGTATAAGAAGGGCGAGAGGAGAGGCCACCTCAGAGTCAGGGATTTGAAAAGAGATATTTGTGGTGCGGCTGACTGCAGTATAGTCTTATCAATCTTGGTTCAGTGGCGGGGAAGCGATAGGAAACGCGGTTGGCTTCACAAACCCGAACCGTGGGGCTCTTCACGGTTACGCTGTTGCAACCCCTAGGCCAGAGGGAATTGAGTCCACACACTCTCTATTTTTACATCCATACGCCAACCATTCCGAATAGACTTTTATTTTAACGTTGTGGAACCTCAGAACCTTATCTCCCCCTCTAAGGCACGTCATCTAACATTGATTAAGAGAGACGTCGATCCTGAAGCTGTGATCAACGGCTCAATAGATGATCATGATTTTCTGAAGCTACCGTGAAAAGGCTTTGTCTCATTAGAAACATCACTGCTTTTCCTTTGCAGATCCAACATGTTGCCCATATGTAGAAGTTAGAACCCCAATCCGGATTATAGTCACTGACGTCACACCGACGTTCCTGTGTATTTTCCAAGATCGCATGCGAACAGGAAAGCTATATAACCCTTTCGTTAAGCCAATTTTCAATTTCCTTCATATCATATCTCACTTCAAATACTAAACCAATTCATCAATCATGTCTGCCGCCGGATCTATCAACACTAGCACGGGCCAACATGCCGTGGACCCCTACAAGACACAGAACTTCGAGGACCCACCTCTTCCCCAGAAGATCGAAGACCTAGCTGCTTTTATCTCAGAAGTCAAGTTTGGCATGCTGACGACGAAGCAATCAGAGGGTGAATACTTAGCTTCGCGATGCATGGCTTTAGCAGCTCAGGTATATATGACGTTCCATTTCAGCAAAGCTATATCCGGGAAATCAAACTAATGATCAATCTTGCAGGAGCATGGCGGCATCGACCTCATTTTCCACACAAACCTCTTCTCCGGCAAAACCATGGATCTGACCGTCCACCCACAAGAAACCAACATGTCCTTCCTGGACCCAGTAAGCGGCGCCTGGGCCTCCATCTCGGGAACGGCAAGCGTCGTCGCAGACCCAGCCACCGTAGAGAAATATTACTCGCCCGCACTCAAAGCCTGGTTAGGTGATATGGGTGATGGCGTGCATGATGGTGGACCCTCAGATCCGCGCATTGGTGTTATTAAGCTGGAAGCAAAGCTGGCGACGCATGTCGTTGCACGAAAGGGAATTATTGGGAGGGCCGTTGATACAGTCAAGGGAGCTGTGCAGGGCAATGTTCCTCCCGTCAATTCCATCCGGGAGCTGAGTGCAGAGGAATTGGCTGAGTGTATGTTGTCACCTCTTGAGAATATGGATTTGAGGCTAATTATTACACAGGGCGTCGCACACATCAATCATCATAAGCTGGCCTTCTGTGGAGGCCATGTACTATCTATGAAATGGTTTAATACGGATTCAAGTGATATCTCCGGATATACTTTAGTATAGGAATGCCCTTACAGACTACAATAACAGATTTACTCAAAGGACATATTCATTCCAGTATACTATTCACTAATACTCTCAAGATAAGGAATTGTAGTGTAACAGATTGCTGGGTTCATCCATCCATCGTGCACCTGAAGGCTCTTGTGAATCCATTGGGACCTAGCTGCCTCAGATGACCTCACTTTCCGACAGTCTCGTTTGGAGGCCTACAGAGTAGATGACTAAATACCAGCCTGTTCCACCGTCGAGATCACCCCCTGATCCTGCAACTTTGGCCCCAGGGTCCGACAACATTGACCACGTGACAGTACTGACACAGCCCCGTTGACAAGGATAGGATGGATTCTACGCCAGACTGTTAGAATGATACGAACCTTGGAAGGTGTCGACCCAGTATAGCACGATGCAGCGGCTGATGAATTGTTTGAAGTTGCTCTACTCCCTGGAAACCCTTGATACACGCTTTGCAAGATCGACTACAGCATCTCAGAGCTCCACACAAGACCCTTCCAGACCCTTTGCTCCAAAGCTAGAGCGCTCACCCTTGCCCGATATGAAGCCATCCAAATGGCGGACAACCGAATACCGTATCTATTGTCTTGTCTTCGTTATCGTCATTCCAACGATGGTGAAGCAGGTCTATGACATATCGAAACCGGGAAGTCCTGACTGGGACTCTTATTCGAAGAAATTAACTCCAGGCTGGATCCCTGGGCGCCAAATTGACAACTCCGACGCACAGTACGCTAACTTTCGAGATAATCTCCCTTACCTCTTAATTCTTCTTATACTGCATCCATTGGCTCGCAAGCTATATGGCATCTTCTGGCGAATTGACAGTCACATGTCTCTGGGCAGCAACGATGATTTGTCCCATGAACCATTCCTGGCCGTTGCAGATACCAGACTGCAACGTCGGACCTTGTTTGATGTTGGTTTCGGGACTATCTTTCTTATTGCGCTGCACGGCGTTTCGGCGGCAAAGATTCTTCTGATCTTCTATATTAACTTCAAGATTGCGACACGGCTTCCTAGAAGCTACGTGCCTGGCGCTACCTGGCTCTTCAATTTCGGTATTCTGTTCGCGAACGAACTTTGCCGCGGATATCCCTTCGCCGAGATCGCTCAGGTCTTGTTACCAAATATCAAAGCTGCGCAAGAATATGGTACAAAAATTGATAGCTACGGTGGTCTCATTCCTCGATGGGAAGTGCTCTTTAAGATCTCAATATTACGCCTCATCTCATTTAATTTGGACTACTATTGGGCCCAGGAAGAGGGTAATTTCAAAATAACCGACGTCAGTATTAAATCCATGCAGGCTTCGATGATAACCAATTAAAATTTAGAAGAAGCATACAGACGGTTCGCTCAGCGAGCGCGATCGTGTCTCATATGGCGCCACTTTACGAGACTTTAACCTCAAAATTTACCTTGCCTATACGCTATACTCACCTCTTTACCTCGCTGGTCCGATTGTGAGCTTCAACGACTTCGTCTATCAATCGCGAAATTGTCTACCGACCACAACCACGGTCAGGACCACTCTCTATGGCCTGCGCTTCCTCATAGCCCTCCTTTGTATGGAGTTGGTTCTACATTACTCTTACGCAATAGCGATCATCAAGTCTTCACCTTTATGGACACGGTATACCCTCTACCAACTCGCCATGCTTGGATATTTCAACCTACACACAGTCTGGCTGAAGCTGCTTATCCCTTGGCGTTTCTTCCGACTATGGGCTTTGATAGATGGACTTGACGCGCCAGAGAATATGGTCAGATGTATGTCTGACAATTACTCAACACTAGCGTTCTGGCGTGGCTGGCATCGAAGCCTGAACAGGTGGATTGTCCGGTACATCTACGTTCCTCTTGGCGGCAACGGAAATGGTAAGGTCAAGACCATAATGAATATTCTGGCAGTATTCACCTTCATCGCCCTTTGGCACGACATCAATCTGCGTCTCTTGGCTTGGGGCTGGCTAACCACCTTGTTCATTCTGCCTGAAGTAATTGCTATGATGATCTTCCCAAAACGCAAGTGGAAGGACTGGCCGGAGACGTTCAGGGTTCTTTGTGGCATCGGGGCAGTGGGGAACATTCTCATGATGATGGTGGCAAGCCTCGTAGGCTTTGTCATGAGTGTCGACGACGTCAAAGAGATGGTAAATGGTATAGTTCCAGGCTGGTCAAATGCTGGATTCGTCACTGTGGCTGTGATGTGTCTTTTTGTGAGCGCGCAGATTATGTTTGAGCACAGAGAGGGTGAGAAGAGGCAGGGGATCAATCTGAAATGTTAAGTGTTGACAGTAGTGATTATTTGAACACTAGGTGTTAGTACTTTGGAATACCCAGTATAGATGGTATATCTAGCAGTCTAGAATAGCCCTTATTGAATTACATACGTCCATACCTCTCGCGCCCTTACGGCCAGTGATTCTGATCTCTCGTACAACCTGCGCTGATTCTGGATCGACCCGCACGTCACCAAGTGTAACGCGAGCGTTTCCCTTAGAAGAGTTCATAATCACAAGGCTGTGTGGGATTAAAGCGACTGGTAGCTGAGTGAAATCTTAGACCTCATAGACAGAAACAGTAGAGCAAACCACGGCGCAACCAAAAGCTTGGCTAGGGACCAGACCCCTGGCATTGTCATCACTACAGCGACATTTTACCCTTTACTTAGAGAAACAGAATAGCTTACAATTAGATTGGTGGTAAGCAAAGCATCTCTAATAGACCCTTGGAGTAGAGAAACAGCAGAAACAACAGCTAACACCACCGAAAGAAAACAACAGGGGTATCATGCCAGGAAAAACGCCATTATACAAAACACGAGAACACCTTCCTCCCTTGAGGCCCAACTCAGATCTAAAAGGAATGTCAGCAAAAATAATGAAGATTGAGCCAAGGAATACTGACCAAGCGAAGGGGCAAACGGGCGGGCACGCGGCCATTGTGCAAGAGCATGGCAATGGCCTTCTGGGGCGTGGCCTGCAGCTTGCGGTAAGCCTCCCGAATGTGCCGGGGCTCGATTGGAGTACGGCCTTCCTCGGGAGGGTCGAACAGGCCGGTCTCGCGTTTGCGCTTCTTGGCGCTCTCGCCGGTAGTCTCGGCACCACCACGGTTCTTCTCGTGGTCCTCGCGCTCCTTCACCTTCAGCGCCTCTTCGGTCAGCGTCTGCACAATCTCGAAGGTGAGGAAGCCGAGAATGTCGACAATGTCGTCGTTAGGCTTCGACTCGGTGACAATTCCGAATCCGGCCCACTCGCGGAACCGCTTGCTCTTACGGTATGTGAACGACGCTTGGCGGCACTCGGACCAGAAGACGTACTCCTCTCGGGTCATGTGTTTGGTACGCTCGTCGGCAGCAGCCAGACGCTGGAGGGTCGCGTAATTTTGTTCCTCCTCTTCCTCGTCCTCTTCGTCATCACGCTCCGGAATCTGCACGGAAAAAAAGCTGTGCACGTCCCACGCAAGTCCGACCTTGGCGCGCTTGTTCTTGGGCTTTGCGGCTACATCCTGCGGGCCAGCAACAACACCAGCCGCATCGTCAGCAGCGGCAAAGTCAGCTGCATCGGCACCGCCTTTGTCGTCGGAATCTTTGACGTTCTTACGGACATCTTTCCAGGACAGGAAAGTCCGGAGACGAGAGACTTTCGCTTTGTCGTGACGAATTAGGAAGATAAGATCATCGGTTGAGATGGAGCGAGATCCTCGACGAGTGGCCAGTTGGGTGCTGCGGCTTAGCTGCGTCATAATTAGCCAGAAGATTGAGATGCCTTGGATAAGAGAAACTAACAATTTCAAGGACTTGCTGACGAGTGATATCCTCAATCAGGGTAGTAGTGTCGATGGAAGGCTCGGCAGTTTCTCCAGAAACGAACATCATCTGAAAAATCATGTTAGTAATAGTCGACTTATCGTCATGCGAAGAATATGCGTCGGCTTCTTGGTTTTCTTCTTCTTCATCGGGCGAAGAGGGGAGAGTAGAAGACACTGGGCCATTATTCATGCCCTGGTCTTCATTCCCATCACTTATTTCGAAATTCTTGCGTCTCATTTTGCAGAATAGGGCATTCATTTCGGAACAGGGTCCAGGGTACATGTCTGCCCCGCATGGCATACCCTCGATCTGGGGTTCAACGGTGATTGGTTTCGCAAGCTTGTCATGAACATGACCATCGGCATCAGACTCTTCTAGATCGCGTAGAAGCTCTTCAAATGAAGGCCATTTTTGCTGCCGAGCAAGCCACAGATGTCCATCCTCGGACACTGAGAGAGGGCCTTGTTTGGGCAGTTCCGAACGTGCAATCTCGATGTCCTCAAGCGAGATGTGGGCGACACGAGGATCAGCTTTATTGCCAGCCATTTGAACCGAGTGAAGCAGAGTTATGGCAAAAAAATGGTGTAGAAGAGTGATGTCGTGGTGATGACGCGTAACAACAAAAGACAAGCGATGAGCGCCGAGAGCCCTACAATCGGCTCGAAAGCAAAATGCGGGCAAAGACGTCGAGGGAGCGTCGACTTTTTAGCTCCATAGAAAAAAAAATGAAACCCCTAACAGGAAGATGTGGGATGGGCGGAAGGTTGGTAGTTGGAATATGGTAGGCGACAGATGAGCAAACGCCTGCGCAGTTATATAACCCCCGCTTATTGATAAGGCAAGGTATGCGTTTTTTGAATGCATTCGTTCTGTTACCTGCCATATGCATAACGCAACTCACACCACACTCCCCATATCACGCAGCTCACGACCATGAAGAGTCCATCTTTGAACCCAACGTACATCAAGCACAAAGGCAATATTTAATATCAAGCGAAGGCGACACATGCTTTTCAAAAAATCTACCTCCTGAAATAGCCTCATTGAGGCTATAGTCGAGATATGCGCGCAATGCGCCGAAGACAACAGACCGAAGGAACCCCAACCTCGAAAGATGGGAAGAAAACCAAGAAACCGACAGCCGAGAAGTCGCCAAGTAGAAACACTCGTTAGGAAAGGGGAGCACTGACCTGCTGGATCTCTTGCCGATACTTGGGTTGGCGATCAGAACTCATGGCGCCGGCTTCTCGCTACTGCGGTGAGTGACTTGCGACGGAATCAAAGCTTCAGTGCCTCAAAGTGACCGTAGTGAATGGAACTTGGACAATTAGAATCCGGCAGTTAGAACGCGATGGCGTACGAAGGAATACCCCCCTGCGAGTGAAGCAGGAGACAGTGGGACCGCACGACTTGAAGTGAGGTGATCTAAGGGACGAAAGGAAGGTTAAGTTGGGGTCTCCATCTCGATAACGATACGCGATAGCCGGATCTCGGAGGTTCTTTTCCGCCGATGCTCCAGGCGGTGGTTGAATCTGCCGCGGGGCAGCGAATTATTTCTTGAAAACGAGGGGACTCAGATTGATTAGTTCACTCAATTGATCCATTTCGCTTCCCATCCTACATCATGTTGCACTTAGTAGGCCTCGGTCTTGCCGACGAGACTGATATCACCGTCCGTGGTCTGGAAATTGTCAAGCGTGCCGAGCGGGTTTACTTAGAGGCGTACACTGCCATTCTTCTAGTGGACAAGTCGAAGCTTGTAAGTGCTGTCTCAAGCTTTGAGGCTCAGTTGTGAATATTTGACAGCAACTAATTCAAATTGATTGGTTTTCAGGAAGCATTCTACGGCCGACCAGTCATCGAAGCAGACCGCGAACTAGTTGAAAGCGGCAGCGATGAGATCCTAGCTGATGCAGACAAAGTCGACATTGCATTCCTAGTCGTCGGCGATCCATTCGGGTAGGTCAACAAAACCCAGTATAGTGCATATATCTAACAGCCTCAGCGCAACAACCCACACCGATCTCGTCCTCCGCGCCCGCGAACTCAACATCCAAACCAACGTCGTTCCCAATGCCTCCATTATGTCCGGAATCGGCTGCACAGGTCTCCAGCTCTACAACTTCGGCCAAACAGTCAGCATGGTCTTTTTCCTGGACAACTGGCGTCCGGCTTCATTCTACGACCGTGTGGCCGAGAACGCACAGATCGGTCTGCACACTCTCGTGCTGCTCGACATCAAAGTGAAGGAGCAGTCGATGGAGAACCTGGCGCGTGGTCGTCGGATTTACGAGCCGCCACGTTATATGACTGTTGCACAGTGTGCGCAGCAAATGTTGGAGGTCGAGGAGGACCGCAAGGAGGGTATCTGTGCGCCTGATCGTCTTGCTATGGGAGCTGCGCGGGTCGGAGCGCCGGATCAGAAGCTTGTTGTTGGTACTTTGACGGAATTGGCCGAGGTGGAGATGGGAGCTCCGTTGCATAGTGTTGTGCTCCTCGGACGGAGGACGCATGATCTTGAGAGAGATTATATTCGGCAGTTTGCTGTTGATCAGGCTACTTTCGATGCCAGTTATGCGAAGTACTATGGAAAAAGTTCATGAGATACCCGTGGAATTACATGATTAAGATGAATTATTTTCGAATGCATAGTCAAGTTTGAGCTTTGAAATTTGAAGCAATTGAAGATCTATTAGGTATGATTTTGAGGTATAAGCAGTACAGGAGTTGGAGTCCCGTCCCTCTGGATCGGATACCAGATAGAAACCGGTCTCTATATTCTAATGATCACAGCAGTGTCATTAATCCTCCACCGCTCGCTTCAAACCGAAGATAGGTAGATGGCAGGAAAATATATGAAACATGAAAGCAGGAACGCCGCATGGACATTAGGCAAAATGGAACATAAATGCCGGGATGAACTGGCAATGCAAAAGGAGAAATGGTATCCAGACGAGGCAGAAATGACAAAAGACACATGCAGAATGCTTTGGCTTCGTGGAGATACCAACTGTTTCTGCCATGGCAAACAGCGATATCACCCCGATAGCCAAGGCTATATTCTAGAAAGCAGAAAAAAAACAAAAACCCACCGCACCGACACCGGATGACATGCAAAGTGTGAAGCAATGTACAGCTCAAGCGGAACAAAAAAATAATAAACGTATCACATCACTAATGTCCATGCTCCAGGACCTCGTCTTCCTCACCAGGGAGAATGATCTCATGGCCCGAGCCTTCGTACACGAAGATGGCAGCAACGCAGCCAAAGACAGACACCAAGGCAATCAGCCACCAGGCAAACCCGACCATACCAATATCCAGACCATATCCGTACCACGCACCCGAGAAGATGGGTCCAATGGTTCGGAAGGCCGAGGACACGGACTGGCCGATACCGTGGATCGTTCCGAGGACCGATGGGTGTGGGGAGCAGTTGTTCAGGAGGATGATGGAGGTTGGGAGGGTAAAGGTTCGGGCTGTGACTTGGCAGAAGAGCACAATGATGATCCAGATCCATACCCATGGGCCGTTGGCCTGACCGGGGGGTGGGGTAGAGGATGGGGCCAGGGCGATATAAGGCGCCAGAGCGTAGGCCAGTGGGAACAGGGAAAGGAAGTATTGGTAACTCTTAGCCGTACCCAATCGGCCGTTGATGGAGGGGTAGATGGTAAACTGGAGGAACATGCCGATCACACCGAGGATAGCGGTCGCGAAGCCAACGCTCTGGGGAAGCATACCCAGGCCACCCGTGAACATGAAGGGCAGGCTCTGGGCGGGGCTGGCTGGATCAGCCGGGTCATAGCGGGGAGTCGAGAGGAACAGCAACCATAGGTTGTTGAAAGCACCCATCTGGAAATCAAAGAAAGCCTGGGCACCGAGGGTGCACAGAACGTTCTTGGTCCAGATACGACGGAATGGCAAAACACGCTTAACACGGATAGGCTTGGACGCCTTCTCCTCAAGTTCGTAGCTCTCGGAGCGATCCAAAGCTCCAGCAAGCAGAGGGCCATTCTCCTCGTAGTCCCGGAAAGGCAGGCGGGTGTATAGAGGCGAAGAAGTACCAGCCACACGTCCGACAATGCGAGCAAAGATCTTCATGGCGAAAGAACCCAGACCCGGTTTGCCCTTGCAAGAAAGCAGGGTCTCTTCCAATCCATAGGCCACCAAGCATGCACAGACCGACAAGAAAATGAAGTTGGCAAACATGGGCAGAGAGTATGGGTAACGCTCCAGCCACTGAACACCAGTCTCACCTCCGAATGACGAGTTCGGGCCGAAAAGGCGGGGATAGCTCTTCACAGGGTCGGCCAACATACCACCCATAACTATGCAAGACATCAGTAAACTTTTTCTGTCTACCAGGTACAAGAAACTCACCAGGACCAAACAAGGACGCAATATTAAACCCAATGGGCAAAATCAAGAAAGCGCGCGAATGGAATCTCTTCTCCTTGACGTTCTCCGCAATCATAGTTCGGATAATTCCAACCGTGCCGTTGATGGCACCGCCAAACGAACGCCAGAACACAGCCTGCGCGAACGACGTCGAGAAGGCCACACCCAGACACGAGACAGCCGTACCAACCAGGCCTACTAGCAGCACGAACCTCCGACCACCCCATTCGGCATCCGCCACACGACCCCATGGGATCGCCGTCGCAAACTGGGCCGCAGTGAAAGCGCCCTGGAGGATACCGGCCTGAGTGGCAACGTCGGAGTCGGAGAGGTTCTCATCGAAGGACTTGAGCTGATAGAACATGTACGCCTGCAACGAGGCGATCTGCAAGAAGTCGAAAACACGGCACAGGCCTAGTAGCGCCAATTGACCTTTCCGGGGTAGTGACATCCAGGTAACTGGGGCGGGACGAGGTGGTTGTTCGGGCAGCATGGACTGCTGCATAGCCAGGAGCTGGCCCTGGCTCTGCGAGCGGCTGCGCACATGGTTCTTCTGAGCGTCCAAATCCATTGAGGTATTGCGGATCATGTCGGGATCATCGAGACTTGGAGCGTCGGGGGAGGAGGGGCTCTCGTCAACGCTGGCGAGGGAGAGCTGGGACTCGCGGCGACGTCGGGGAGGAGGAGCTTCGGAAGGTTCGCCGGTGCCCTGGGTTAAATGATGGTAGCCACTCGACCACGAAGTCGTACGCGCGTGGCGGGCATTACTCGGTTTATGGCTCTGGGACCTCGCAGGCATGACCCAAGAATGTATATGTAAGCCGGAACTAAGAGAGGAGCGCCGATGGAGACCGACGTCAGGTTGCGACACCCCTTGGTTTCGTGTAATTTTGGTTTTGAAAGGGTCTGGGGCGACTTATAATTGGTCCACCACAAGTGAGGAGAAAATCAATGGTAGAGAGGGAGTAGGAGGATTCTCTTGCTCAATTGTAGGAATGGATGAAGGAGAAAAGATCGTCTATGGTTGCCGTTTCGTATGCAGTTCGTTACTGGTTCCCCCTTTTGACCCGGTTGGTATCCAGTAAGGAAATTAAAGGAAAAAGGAATAAATCTAAATGAAGGAGATGATCGAATCTCTGAGTTTGCTCCATACAGTTTATCCCACGGGTGGGCCAGGGGTGAAGAGGATATCCATGGTCTATTACGTATGAACCCTGGTTGCATCTATTCTTCTGATGGTACTCCATGCTCCTCTCTATAGCAATCCATCTCCCACCTGATAGCTCAACTCGCTACATACATCATGTCAAATCGCGTGTGTTTTCTGTCTGTCGTATTCCATACTCTGTTCCGTACCGCAATACGGATCGTCATGACGGGGCTTGCGACGACCGATCCACTTATATTCCCGAGTCCACCGTTTCCTCCCTTACACTGGATGATGACTCGCCAGTCCAGGCCGTGCGTCTCCGGACAGGTCTTGGCAATCCCTCAAAAGAATCTGTAGTGGACGAGGCGGACCACGCCTCCACTTTTAGCGTTCTCGTTTAAGTTACTGCAAATTAATTCAGAAAAACACAGCCTTTTCGAAGAATCGGGTATAGTGTCCGTAACGGGGCTCCTACGTAATTCCCTGAGTACAAAGTTCGCGAAGGCTTAGCGCGGCCTCTAGAAGCTTTGGGGCTTGTGGACTTTACGCGGCTTGTAATTAATCCCCTTTTCTCACATCTAATCTGTGCCACAATGGATTCATCCGAAGTTCTATAAACATGATAGGTGGATAATAATAATAATACATGAATGGTGACGAAAATCAGAAGACACAAACGAAAGAAGAAAAAAAAAAAAAAAAAACAAGAAACCATTCAATGCATAGCAATAGCCCATACTCTACGTGGAGAAAACAAGTGTCTAAATCTCAACGGAGTAACTGATCGACTTTCATCCGTCGTCTCGAATGGACCAGCGGCACGACACTCCACGTTTCAGCTCTGTGACAATAGTATCATCTATACAATCTTATCTAACGGAGTCAGTAGTGATACTGTTGCATTCGGATCAGCTGAAGGATTCTGCGTGAAATTTTCCAACAGCCTGTAACAAAGAAAAAAATCAAGAACTAAAGACTTAAAACACAGGGATCTTTCCCTATTGATAGGCACTCAAAAAAACAGGGTTCTACAATTAATGCTCCCGCCTCGTACTACAGGCTCCTCTTTTTCCTTCCATGAAGTCTTCTTTAGCGACGCATTCGTTTTCGGGGTGGGGATTACGAGTTGGCCCTTTTTAGCGGAGCGGGATTCCATGTTCGTTCTTTGGGTTGACCCCATTGTAGGGGCAAAGAGGCGACGAAAGTCCGGAAGCGCCGCGAGGCCGCGTACGTCAGGACTTTCGTACTCCGTGTGGTCACGTATTGTAAAGGGAAAGTAAAATCAAAAAGCATCAACTGCCGACTCGGCTTTAAATTAGATTATATAAGAGCTCGGGGCATTGTATGGTATCTGTATTTCTGTAATTTTTACAGTCGATCTATGCTATTTTGTGCATAGCAGGGATCGTCGGGATGTATGTACGGGAAGGTGAAATCCTAGATGAAGAATGAGATGTAGAACAAAATGATAGGCCCAAGCAATGCAATGCAGGTATACAAGAGAGAGAAAATGAAAATGAAAGAGGGTTTACTCCGTTCGTTGTCGTCTGTGGTTTGGACTGCGATCCGCAAGTGGCAAGTAGTGACCTTCATCGCCTCCGGTCCACCGCTTCCAGTTCCACCAGGGGAGATCGTTGGTGTGACGAGGAGGGGCTTTTCGTTCAGCTATGCCGTTCAACGGCTCAGCCGATTCATCATCCAGCGGGTCCAGCCGCTGTGATTGATAGTAACGGAACCCGTAGTAGACTCCGCCGAGGAGAGGGAGTAATAAGAATACTACGCCAGTCCAGAGGTAGAGAGGATTGGAGGTCCAGCTCTTGTGGTAGACAGGGCCCGACACATGCGGGAAGCCCGATGGATATTGCCAGATCGCCCCGTCGTGCTCCGGGTCGACCCACGGCACAGTATTCACGCCCACCGGCGGGATGAACGGGCTAGCATGCTCTTCACCAGGGAATCCGTAACCGGGCGCATCCAAGCAAGTTTCGTCTTGGCAAAATTCGCGCAGCTCCGGCGACGGGACAAAGGTGTACTTGATTTCGGATCGGCCAAGGACTACACCGTTTTTGTCGATAGCCTCGGCGCGAGTCCATGGGTAGAAGCTAGTGTTGGTATACTCGGTCTCAAACCCGGTCTTCTCGATGTTATCCAAAAGAGTCCAGGGTCCAGTCATGTTTGAGGCTCCAAAGAATCGCCAGTCCTGAACACGCGTGGCGCCATTCCAACTGACATAGAACGTTGTCGGTGAGAACGGATCCGCAGTCCGAGAATATGTCCAGAGAGCAGGCGAATCAGTGGGGTTACCATCCCACTCGAACTTCATGGCACGGTAGTTCATGACCGGGTCGGCGGCAATAGTAGCCCAGAACACGATGTTCCCCTCCTCATCATGCTCCGATATATAGCGGTTGTTTCCCCATCCCATCATCACGTTCTTGTTCGGCAGTCGCTGGAGGTTACCCTGGCTGGAACTGATCAAATCGTGAATCAAAGGACGATAATCGCGAATCTGGAGGGCCGTGTTGTCGACGTGATCGATAAGAATGATCATTCCACCAGAGTAGGTATGCGTCCGGTTGTATCCGTTATATCCGTTGTTGTATAGTGAGACCACTGAGTGGGTGGCATTCTCGAAAAGCCAGCGCGCATCGTGCTGCTGAGAGAAGCTGAAGTTGATATTACGGAACGTCGGCTTTGCGCCGTGCAATCTCCAAATGACCGACCCATCCTTGCCGGAAATTTTATAAATGGCGCAAGTGTGTCGTGAAGAAATCAGGTAGTCGCCGTCGGTGTTCTTGTCGATCGAGTTGATATGGAAATAATCCCAGGGCTCATGCACGTTCAATCCCGTTCCGGAGGTATCTGTGTGGGCGGGATATGTGTAACTCATGGACGGATCAACGTGGTCGAGAGATCGCCATTCAAACAGCACCTTACTCGTCTCCACGTCCACCTCCTGGAACACACTCTCCATCAACCAACCCACGCCAGTCTTGATATTCCACGGAGTCATATCAAACTGGCGCTGCTGGTAGACGGTCATCAGGGCGCTTTTACCGTCGTTGATCGGCATGAATTCGTGCATGTCGCTTGATGCCATTCCGCCGCCGGGTTGGACGGATCGCGCGATGCGGTAGGTGTTATCCATGATTATGCCATGTCCGCGACAGTAGCCTTTCTGTTGATTTCCCTGGAAAAAACACAAGTGGTCGGCACCCTTATATTTGCAGACGTGGAATCCGTGAGCATTGCCCGGTCCTGATACACCCCAACCGCTCCATACTAGCTCCTAATCAATCGAAATCCAGGTCAGCGCTGCCGGACTATGCGTAATTGCGGGTGGGTTCTAAGCATACTCCTTTGTTGTCAAAGATATAGGGCCCCGGGTTCTGGGCCTCGTAGGGTGTAATGAAGATATAACCAGGAGCGAGCTTAGACTGATCGCTGTGCTCGACTTTGAAGATGGGAGGGTAGATATCGGGCCTCTGCGTCGCGGTAAGGTTAAATTGGTTCATCCAGTGGCTGAATAGCGTGATCGGCATCTCCAAGGTCTACATACCGATTTATAGAAAGACACTGGATCCTCTGCGATGGCGCCGAGGACATATAGCAGCAAGCCGAGAAGGACCGCGAGGGAGGGCGTCCTCACGGAGGAACAAATGGTGGCGACCATGGATCCTCCTTCACATCACTCCACGCAAATAAAAAAGATATGTGTACACGATGTGATACAAAAGACCATGCAAGGGGAGATATGAAGCATTTACGGAGGAATCCATCAGGAGAAGGATCGACGGGGGGAGGAAAAAAGGGTAAGGCGGTCCACCATCTGTCACGGCGGAGTAGGAATCGGTGGAGTGACGACGACCGGTGACGATTGGACGAACCACAGTGTTCTCGGCACCGATAAAGCCGCAGAGAGTGCTTATCTGCTCAAGGCGATTTGCCAAGAGAGCCAAGTTCTGTAGCTCAGAAGCTAGTGCGGGGATGTTCTCGTATATTGTCTTTGCTTTAGAATGCTGCATTACTCAGATAATCGAACAGGGTTGAGTTCGTCTACATGACCACATTTCCCAGTATTAAAATCTAAATCTTCTTTTTCCCCTTTACGTGTTCCAGAATCGGAGCTAGAGCGACCTGGCCCTGAGAGGCTTATTACCGTATGGTACGGGTAATTCCAATAGCCCCCCAGGCCACGTCATGCAACAAACTAGATCCCAGCGCTAACCACTGTACCACCACGTATATGTAACAAAAAAGTGACAATCACCGCCCTATTGCAAAGTATAATGCTACTGTCTGTATTCACGACGGAGTACTAAAAGTAGAACGAGAGCCTGCAGAATTGAAATGAATAACTCAATGCGCCACAGTTGAAGATTTCCACGTGTATGTGGCTGACTATCCGTCGACCCAGTTTTTCCAGTTTTCTTTTTTTTCCAGTTTTTTTGAGGCGTACGCCACACGCCGCATCCAGCTTGTTCGTACGCGCGGTCTGTTCCAGATTGCATACGCAGATGCACACAGAACCTCGGAGTTGGTATCACATGAGTTAGACGTCCTATTTTAACCGGATTTGTACAACCGGGTCTCCAGATGGTGGATGCAAACGGAACAGGGTCCAACGGAGTACTAGATGTAGCAACTGATTGTCACCCCAGAATTTTCAAAAATACTCATAGTTAAGATCAATAGCAAGTTGGATAAATGACGGCGTGGCACAAGAACAAAGCATAATGTACGGAGTATATACTGTAGAGCTTGAAATTCGTAAAGCTTCCAATTACTATCCTTGTTCAATGAATCAATGGCTGAACTGTCTTTTCCACTGTCTACGTAAACGTAGTACGACCCGAAAATAAAAAGAAATGCTCCAGCAGTTCGCCCGAAAAACCCTTAAAACTAATGTTTTGTACACATAGAATTGCCCTACGCGCTATGTTTCAATTTTCCACCCACGCAAGCCGAATGACGTTGCCTTTTCCGGCCAATAGACATCTATGCAGAATAGAAGGGTACCAGAATAGTAATTACCCCCTTTGAGAAGTGCCAAGCCGCTAGTCGGCCAAGCAATCTCCCTGGCATTCGGTGTCGGCGTTACTGTACGAGTACGAGTGGTTCTCAGTGGGTCCGTTTTCGTTCTGAGGGTACGCTTACGATTGCGCTGTTTGAGCCCCTGATCGACTCGGATAGAAAAATAAATAAAAATGAAACAGGCTCTACAGTACGACCCTGACGAGATCCAAGGGATTCAGGGTTTGGGTAGAGGGCTGAGGTTAAGCTTTGCGTTTCCATGATTTTGGTGGGGTTTGCATAAGGTGAGACCCATGAATCATGATTCATAGATCATAGGTCATATAACATTGAAAATGTGTACGTAGACGAATGCGGATGCAACTGGTTTTCTTGTTACATTCTAAAGATTTACTGCAAGAATTCACGGAGGGACGCCCCTTGCGTATGCACAATAACGTAGATGTCATTTTTGTAATCCGTTCCTCAGCCGAGGATTCTCCAATGTGGCTTAACCGATGCAAAATAACAAGAACCCTGCTAGGAATGAAAACAAGGGTTCCCCAATATGAATATGTACCAAAAAGAATTACCAACTGATTGCAATATGCAACCGCGACAGAAAAAGGGGAATATTATAGCCAATAAACAAGTGAGACCGTGGCCCTGAAACGGAAGATAATAAATGGACCACGAGGCGTACCCCTCTTTAATATGCGCCTGCGCATACTCAAGGGAGCACAAGAGAAGGTTGTCTAGCGCTCGTTTTGGGTTATTTACCGAACGAAGCGCTTCCAGGCCATGGTAGCGGCCAGACCAGTAGCGATGAGAGTACCACCAACAGTGACAGCCTGGAGAGCGGCGTTCATCATCTGGTGACGGTTACGAGTGCTGCAGCGCTTGTAGAAGTCGGCCATGTCGTTTCCACGGGGGAAGGGAGTATCAGGAACCTCCTCTCCGAGGAACTCAGCGAGAGGACCCCAGCCGTCGTTGATGTTGTACTCGAGGAGACGATCAGCGGGAACGAGAGCGCGGACCTCAGCGACGTGGTCGTTGTAGACCTGCTTGCCCTGGCCGGGGAAGTCTCCACGGAAGAAGGTCTCGAAGAACTTGTTCAGCATGGGGTAGTACATGCCGGCGGCCCAGCTGAAGTTCGAAACGAACTTGTGCTCGGGGTCACTGACACGCCAGAAGACGGTCTTCATGACGGAACTGTTTCCAATAATTCCGATTAGCCATTTTGTTGTTTGGTGCGGGTTTAGGTGGATTGAACATACGCGTGCCACGGGTCAACATCACGGGTGGTCAGGATAACCTTAGCATTGGGGTAGGCCTCAATGAGCTCCTTGGCGAAGGCACAGGCGGGCCAGTCACAGACGGCCTGGCAGTCACCCAAAAGCTGATCCCACTCCTTGCGACCGAATTCGCCAATACCGTAGTACTTAGCGTTCAGGGCATCGTGCCACATCAGGCAGTCAGGCGGGTTCTCAACTGAAGCGCACATCATGTGGTAGCACTTCCCGTAACCCAGACGCTCCAAGGCCTTGCGCATAGCTAGATCACAAACATGGTCAATTTGGTGTAATTGAGAAAACGACATGGGAAGCTCAACTCACAGGCAGTACCCGTGCGGCCAACACCGAGGGCCAGCACCTTCATAGGCACAGTGCGGTGGCACTTGCGACGATCAATGTTGGTATCATCGGTGAAGATATCAGTGATAGGCTGAGGAGCCAGGTTATCCGAGAGCATCAAAGACATGGTGATAGAGTATGAAGTTGAATATACAACTTGGAAAAAGCTCTGGAAAGAATGAAGATGTGAAAAGGAAAGGGGGAGATCGAAGTGGATAAATAAGAAATAAATAAAGAGGGGACCGACAATTCGAAAAAGTCTAGAATGGGGGATGGAGTAAGGTTGATATGGTGATAAGGGGAAAGGGAAAAAAAAGAAACCAAGACGGAATAAAATACGATGATCTCGAGATCGATAAGTTGCTAAGAGTGGGCATCTGTCAAGCAATGCAACGCCAATCAAATGCAGCGAACCACTCTTTCACAATTCCAAGGGCCATCAACCCCCGCGAGTGGCGATGTTTCCACTCTTCCTCTCCCTGTCAATCCCTTCCTTAATCTCGGTGGGCTGTGACCATTGCACCTTGGTTCCTGTTTGGTTATTTTTGGCTTCTGAATCAGTCCACGTAGACAGTCGACGTTTGCTCTGGTAATTTTCGCCTTCGACGAAAACCACGTACCGCTGAGGCGCGGATGGACAAGACGTCACAGGCTGACGCAGGGATGTCAGGGATTGTCAGGGGGTGGAGACGGTAATGGCTTGTTACACGGTGAAATCTCCGTACACGCCCGCCAAGACCGCCATCCACGTAAACTCGACAGGAGACAGTACGTCGCGAAGTGATCAACTGCAATTTTCCCGGGTCTTGGGGACGATCCGTGCGGGCTGTCAATGCTGATTGGTTGTAAAGCGGGGAAGGCAACGCGTCCCTGGGAAGTGGAGAATGCGCCTGAAACGGGAACTGCGTTAAAGTATGGAAAATTGCATTCCGTACAGGATCCTGCTCCGCTTTCTTCTAGAAGTTGTAAATCCATATCCAGGACTAGGAATTGTATCAAGGTCGTACGCCATAGGTTATCTGAGATAGACATAAAGTTCACGTTTCACGTTCCCGTCGCCCGTGGGTGAAAAAAAGATGCGCTGAACTCTGTACTGAGCCGTTCCTCCTCTGGGTCCAGGGGCACGAGACAATTGGATCCAATGTCGGGTTCCGTACAATAATAAAGTGGCGCGCCACTAGCTCCGCGGATTGATTGCGGTTGAACTCGTGGTCGAGACCGGGGCAAAAGGTGCCCACTTCGCCAAGAAAGAGGGAATAAATCACATTCCCATCGGTGATCAACAAGGGCCGCAACAGGGGTTTCGACGGTGATTTGACGGGGCTTCCTTCGAAGTCGGGGCGGTGCAAGGGGAAGGGATGGGTCCCAGTTCTCCCGAGCTGCAAAACTTACTTCCGTTCAAAACTGCTCACTGCACAGTTTGACCCGCCCAGACTGGTGATCGTCCCGTTTCTGAGTGATCGGTTCAGGGTCATCAAGAAGCGGAAGGTGATGTTCAGGGAGCGTTGCGGTGTGTATGTATTGTAAAAATTGTCGGTAGAGTTTGGGATCTGTCAAGAGGGGTTCCTAATAAGTAAAACCGGCTTGATAAGTTAAGGTTAGTTGGCCATGAATCTCATGTATAACATCCTCTGGTCTCATCATTTTAAGACGAAAGATGCTCTGTAGTTTTGTAGTTTTGTAGTTTTGTAGACCACTTGAAAGTGGAAAGTAACTCTTTTTGAGGCTTGAGGGGGTGAAAAAAAAGGAGACTCAGGGTCTGCAGGGTCATTCAGGGTCCTGCAGGGAGCATGGCGGATTATATGGGGGATGCCAAGACCAGGCCACCATGTTCGCCATCGATGAGCACGATCACCTCACGCGGGTCCAAGTCGGATAGGGAAGCCGACGAGGCTGATTTTAGCATTTCCAATCTAATCAAAGCTTAGTCGCGTGCTCTGAGTCAATTGGAACCCTCATCCCCGCCTGACAGGTACCGGCAATGATTTCGGCAGTTGGGTTGAAGCAGGCGGCAGCATTTAGGTGATGCCATTTTCAGGGTCCGATTCAGGGTCCAGGTCCGAGTGAGGACAAGAATACGATTCCCAGGTCTTGGCATTGGCTTCCAGATTGATTGCTGATTTCGACATCGCCCCTGAAAGGGGGTTTCTGGTGGAAACTGCCGAACTCAAGTAATTTGGCCATTGAATTGTTGTAAGACAACAAGATCAGTTTGATCCTTGGACTACACAGTGGTGTACATCAAAAATGATTGAAAAACGCATGCATGAGTAACAGCAGTCGATGATCAACAGCATCAGACTGGCTTGCTTTTTTCAATCATTTACATTTTTCTCAGTCACAACCCATAGACTCAACACTCAGTCCGAGGTCACATTCTAGTATAAGCCCTGCATATAGAGATGGGATCCGCAACGTTGATCATCTTGCGGCCCGGGTATCGTGGATCTTTGGCCTTATGGAATGGTAGATCCCAGCCATAGTTGGATCATTCGTCGATTTAGATTTGTATATCCATAAAAAATCAAGAATGTACATTTCAAAAGCCAGCCTGGAAACTCAGTATAACGGATCCAGATGGGCCTCTACATCACCATAGAGCACTTTCATTCAATCTACATCCTATCCGGGACACCCTCCCAGGGGCTTGTACCCCAGCAGGGGTTCATTGCGTTCATGTATCGTCATCATCTGGTACTTCGGGCTTTTATTTACCATTAATCACTTGGATAGACGAACGAATCCCGTTTCGGGATGATGAATTGATATATCACAAATGCCCAGGGTTTGAACCATCCCTCTTTAGGAACCTCTTGAGCTATGCAACCTCATTAAGCCTGGTCAAAATTGTGAGAATTGTTTCTTGAATCAAGCTAAAATGCATTCTACTGTCAGATCTTGGAGGTAACTGCTCTTGAGGGGATATAGTCCGGGAGGATGATGGTTGATGAGGGTTTCAGGAAAGCGAACACCGTGAGGTTGGAAAGGCTGAGTTCATAGGGCCATGAGGAACTCTTCCTCTTCTTCCTTTTCTTCTTCTTCTTATTCTTCTTATTCTTCTTCTTGCAATTCTTGGTGCAAATGGCCTCGAATGAACTATTGTCATTAGGTGACGGTAAAACAGTGGGAGGTAGAGGGGAAAGAAGTTACACGAGCTCAGAACTAGGCTCCAATAAGACCGTATATTAGTACCAGACAACTCGGATATCAGGCTAGACATAGCGTCGATTTTACAGAACCATGTATTCACAAACTCCACCATAGAATCAAAACTCCAAACTCCGCGTCCCATATGTATGCGCTGATGCATCCCAATCCCAGAATCAACCACATCCACTCGGGCCTCCTCACTCCAGTTTGTCCAAGTGCTCAAGTCGTGTAAGCACAACCTGTTTACTCGTCTCTTCAATCTCGCCGGCGAGAAAGACTTCGTCGAGGATAGCGTAGACCTATACCCGCATTAGTATACATACACCAATGCATCATCTTCATGCAATACTCCCAACGTACTTTGTAGAAATTGAACACTAGATCCAACTCACACACATTCCCGAAGAATTGATCCAGTACCTCGACGAAAAAGTGGATAGCCTCCAGGTATGCCAGCTCATTGTCGTTGGCGTCCACACAGACGCAGAAGAAGAGACCTGCGTATCGTCGGTAGACGACCTTGGTACTGCGACGGAATTCCACAAAGTTCGACTGGTATTTCTGATCTCGGGGTGCGACCAGACGGTGGACCTGTGTAGTATTAGTTGGTCACGGATCGAGCGCGGGAGGGGCAGATGGTATGGATGCGACGGACCTCGCCCTTGAGCTTCACTTTTTCTTCATCCTGCAATCCTGTATTAGCTTATGCTGTGTTAAGAGGAATGATTGCGATACTCACACTGTACGGAGCATACCATTTCGCCAGGCGCGTTTTGCCCCTATACCGGTGGTCAGTTTGAACCATCACGTTCCGTTCTCAGAGCATACTGACTGGCGATTCTGAACGAGGATAAATGAAAGCACCATCGTGAGTACCCGATCACCTTAGCATCGAGTCTTGTTGGCTTAAAAGGGGCACAGTTTGAGGAGGATCTTCGCGATTTCCGTTATCGTGAAGCTCCCCTCCGATATACTGCCAGTGCTCACCGCCAATGCTATCAGAGTACAGGAAATCGAAGGACGAAGTTGTACAATATGAGATATCATGATTCAAGTAGCTAATTTATACACTCAACAATTTCCAATCGGTCGCCAGCAATCACAAAGGCATATAGGTCGGGAAGGAAATATTTGCAACAATTTGAGGCTATCAACAAGCATAAGGCGTAAAACTCGTCAAACTCCGCACAACTTCAAGGCACAATGTACCGCATGAACGAAGAGTATTCAGAAAATCATTAATCGTAGGCAGAATGCCCAGGGGGTTCAGTTTTGCTTCAAGCAAGGGATCAAAAGATGATCCTTATGATGAACTCATCCGATTCCAAAGTCTTGTCAGTCGAGACTGCAGAAACCGATCGTTAGCAATTCAATATTTCAACAAAGAACGAAAAAAAAATTCTCCAAGTACACATACCGTATAACTGACCGGCGTACTCGGCTCAGTCACAGCCTCCGAGGGCGCCACCGATTTCTCATCGACATAGCTGTCGTCATCATAATACTCTTCTTCACTATCTTCCTCATCCTCAGACGGCGGATAATATCGATCCGGATCGCCATTGTAAACCATAAACCACCCGATCTTTTCCTCGGGCGCCAATCGATTGCGCAGTTCCTCCAGCGCCTCCGACTCGTCCTGCGATAAGCCCGATCCCTGCTCAACGCAGTCGGCAATATTCAAACCCGGACCTGCACTATCAGGGACCTCGGAACCGCCATCGGGAATAGTCAGGACCTTGGATGCGACGTAGGCATAATCCTGGCTTACGGTATTGCTGGTTTCGTCGTATGGGTCGTATTGTTCGATAAAGCGCAGTTCGGGCAGGCGCGCGATCAGATCGGGTTGCGTCTTTTTGAATGACTCGGAGAGTAGCTCCGACGTGAGTGGTTGCTGAATGTATTCGGCAGCAGCCTCTTCTAGGTTGTGAAGCACGATGTAGACCCGGATCCCTGTGAAGCCGGCGCGGGGCCAGCGGAATCCATGGATCATGTAGACGGGCATGGCTGGAGCTGACGGGAACGGACCGGAGAAGTTATCGAGGTTGGCAGAGGCGGTGGAATGGAATGAGGGAGCCTAACCAGAGGCTAGTAGGATTATTCGAGTCAGGATCGGAGGGCTGGGTTTTTCATGGTAGAAGTGCGGGTGAAAGCTCGTGTTGGTACCTGTGATGCATCGAATCGAGATCCAGGGTGGACCTTTACCCAAGTGGGAATGGTCCCGCCTTTTTTAGTTCAACGGCCCGCGCGAGTCTTGACATCTCGCCCTGACTTGCAGCCGTTGGTTTTGAATGATGCATTTGGGCCTAATTGTCTTTGGTTGGAATCAAATTGAGAGGGGGAATTATGCACGCCTGCTGCTAGTCGGTGGGTCCGGTAGGTAAAAGGATATAGACTGTTGATAGCCCCGATTTACACAGATTAAGTTTCTTCAGAGCCATGTGTGGGAATGGATCCATTCGGCATAAATGGGCCTGATTCACTAAATCCTATGATCCAAGCTAACTAGCGTTTCATCACGCATCTACAAGGGAACTTGCCTGGGGTCCAAACAGACAGAGTCCGATTGGAAATTGCCCCAGTTCATCACACCAAAGGTGGTACGGAATATAGATTAGAGGTCCTGGGCGAGGGCGATCGGGAGCATGCGATGCTGGAAAATCAATTCAAGCTGATTATCTCGGTAACCTAAGGCCTTCTCTTAAGGTCTGCAAACCGACGGGTAAGCTCGTCCAACTCGGGAATCCCATTATTGCTTTTGCTTGCCGCAGAATCCTGCTTGGCGGATTTCCCCTCTTTCTCAGCCCCAGGAACCTTGACTCGTGGGTTGGGATTGTCAGTCCTGGGAGCAGGAGGGGCCACGCTGACGGGACTGCGGCCCGTTGCCAGGCCCCGTGGAGGCGTAGCCTTGTTTAATTCACTGGGCTCGGAGGCTCGTCTAGCTTCAGCGAAGCTGGGTTCCGATGGATCTCCCTGTTGCTTACTTGGGGTCTGTGGCAGATCCCCATTGTCATCGTCGTCTTGGTCATCCACATATTCTGGTGGCGCATCACCGAGCTCCTCTTCGTCCGCTGGCCACGAAACTCCGTATGCTTTCGCAATCTCTCGCAGATAGCTCTCCACCAGCTCCGGTCCCGGGGGACGCACTCGCAATCCTTTCAAAAGTCGATCGGGCACTTTAGCTGAATCAATTTTGTTGTCTTGTGCCAGCGTCATGAATTCTTTGCCGTATCGTTCCCCAAGCATAGTCCGAAGCATGGTCAACTCGCGCAACTCATGGGGAAAGCGATGCCACGCATAGAAAATAACCACAGCGGCCTCATCCAACGCAGTATCCATATAAGCATTCTCTTCATCAGTCAACGCATCGTCGGAATTATTTGCGCTAGACGTGATCGCAGGGGTACCAGCCTCCTTCTTTTGCGATCCTGAAAACCAGCCGAATCCAAACCGAGACCCGGAGCTTTCTGTAGTCGCTCCTGCACCTGTTCCCGTTTGCGCCTGATTCTTTTTCCTGTACAGCTCCTTAGCGCGCAGCCTGGCACGAGTGCCCTGCTCTCCGAACGCGAGCTGGTCCAGCACATTGGCGCGCGCCAGTAACAACTCGCAGTAGAGCTCCACCATTTCCATCACCTCCACAGCAATGTCAGTCGAGATCACATTTTCGACTCGGATACGCGCTGATGGTTCGCGGCCTTCACTGAGAAGCTGGGAGAGTTCGCGACGCTGGACAACGGAGGACGCGGTATCTTTCTTCTGGAGAAGACGAAGGCGGGGGATGAGGAGGCGCAAATTAGATACCAGCCTAGTCTTTGATACCTCACTGTTAGCATTGTTTGGCTCCATGTTGTTCGATCGCAAGAATCTTCAGACTGCAGCCGTTGGCAGGTGGGTGATGATAACAGTGCGGGGTAGCTCTAGGCAGCCAGTCTCAACTTGAAGAAACTGGAGCATTGAGAGGGCATCGATAGACATGATAGACATTCGCGGAATTTGAGCACCCAAGACACTCACCGTTTGTGCTGAAGGAGGCATTTTGACGTTGAGGAGTGAATGGAGGGGAATGTCGTGAGGTGCTCAAGTGGAGTTGGGGCGAGCCGCTCCACTTCCGCGTCTACTCCGCTCCATCTCCGCTGTTTATCTACTGTCTTGCCAAAACGAACTGATCAACAATTGATCTTTCATGATTATGCAGTTTGACTGCAGTCAGCACCTTAATCTTCTAGGGTTCTCGTGACTATATGTGGACTATGTCACCTTATCATGTACATTCTGCATAACTTTATTGCCGTGAGGCCGCCTTGTTCCCTCGAACTATTGCACATTATTTGATCTCACATACTGTCTGAATAGTGCAAAGAGGCTGAGCTGACAGCCTCAACATTGGGAAGAGCAAGTTCAAGTTGCACATTATAGCTACTGGTGACATCTGACTCCCAAGGTCCTCAACCTTGGAAGCATTGTCCTAGGGTGTGCATCAACACCAGAAGGATATGATACAAGGAAGAAAATCTAGACAAGAGATCATACCAGAATATCGAGGCTTTCGGTACAATATCCAATGCTTTGAAATCCAATACAACACCGACTGGCGTCAGGTCAACCCCAATTGTTTCGCAACAAGAAAGTGGAAGGCACGGCCTCTCCAGATAAGGAAGGCGCGATTATCGAGTATGACCCCCCCCCCCCCCCCCCCCACCTTTTCCAATTCCATATCTTCTCTTCTTTGATTCTTCTTCCATCCGCTCCCCTTGCAAGCCGTATCTCTCGGGGCCCTACTTCTTTCACGATCGATCTATGTCTTACGCTAATCACTTCGCCACTATCTCTCAATTCTTTTCAGTATTTGAAGACAATCTCAAATTAGAGGATGGCACCATGGGCAACTTATTGGAAGAAAGAGTTGACCCATCTTTGGAGTAGGCCCGAATGTATCTAAATACCCCGGTGGAACCGTATTATCTTCTCTCATTCTCAGTGACAAAGTCATTATCTCCCAAAAGCAAGGTTCGAGAGTTCCCCCCGAAGTATTGATAATCCTTGTCAGCTAGCTTGGCTCTAGAGTAATAAGCTACCTCTCACGCACATTTCCTACAAAATGGACTTATTAACAAGCATCATGCTCATTTTCGGCTTGACGATATTCTATATTGTTTCATGTTTGAATATAGACAGCGATGGCTCCACTACCTGAATGGCTAGATGAGTCAACCCCAGTCCTCGGAAGACGCTGAACGAAATACTTGGAGTCGGATTAGATACGGAACCAACCTGATTGATTCAAAACTTGATAGATATAGATTGATTTAGGAACTTGATGGGAGTGGGTCGTATGCACAAAACCAACGTGCCCAGTGATTGGTTCAAAAAGGTGGATCTGATCGATTTAGGAACTTGACGGGAGTGGGGCCGCGATAGCGTACGGCTCAACGACTATAAATTAATTGAAACCCCTTCAGTTGCTTGATCCTTTGTCTAAATCTGTCTAAATACGAGGCTCGAACACAATGGCACCCTTAGAGGACGTTCACCCCTCAACCCAAGCGCTTCACGCCGATGATCGCCTGAACTTGGTCACCGACGTTGCACCGCCCATCCATTTATCCACCATTTTCAGATACCCGGAAGATCCCAACGAGCTAACCGTCTCCGAAGATCCGGTGGTATGTCATTCTAATTGCAAATACCATAGTACTACAGTGTATACTAATACCGTGAAAGGCCGAATTCGACGGAAAGAACTACGTCTATTCCCGTGAATTCGCACCAAATCAGACCCGCTTTGAGGCCGTCCTCTCGTCACTTACGAAGGGCAATGCAGTCAGCTATGCAACGGGTCTAGCGGCACTACACGCCGCACTGACACTCCTCAACCCACGCCGCATCTCAGTTGGTGAAGGCTACCACGGCAGTCATGAGGTCATTTCAGTCGTGTCCCGGTTATCCGGTCTCCAGAAACTCGGTCTTGATTGTCCAGCTGAAGACCTGAATGAAGGAGACGTGATTCTCCTCGAAACGCCCATTAACCCGCTCGGAACGGCATTCAGCATCGAAGAATATGCCAAGAAGGCACACTCGCGGGGTGCGTACTTGATTGTGGATAGTACTTTCGCACCGCCCGGTCTGCAGGATCCATTCTTGTGGGGTGCGGATATAATCATGCACTCGGGATCAAAGTATTTTGGCGGTCATAGCGATCTCCTTTGCGGTGTGCTTGTTACCAAGCGGGCAGACTGGACGAAACAGCTATTCGAGGACCGACTTGCTTTGGGAAATGTGCTCGGAAATATGGAGAGCTGGCTTGGAGTTCGGAGTCTGCGGACTCTCGAGGTTCGGGTTCAGCGCGCGAGCCAGAATTCCGCAAAGCTTATTTCGTGGCTTGATGCTGCTTTGAATGCTCCATCTCCTACAGCGGGTTCGGAAGCGGCGATCGTGCAGGCTGTGTTGCAGAAGATGTATCATGCCAGTCTTCAAAAGGAGTCTTGGTTGGAGAAGCAAATGCCCAATGGCTTTGGGCCCGTTTTCTCAATTGTTTTGCACAAGGAGGAATATGCCAAGCACTTACCGAGTAAGCTGCACTACTTCCAGCATGCAACGAGTCTCGGTGGTGTGGAGTCTTTGATTGAGTGGCGGGCGCTGTCTGATCCCAGGGTGGATCGGAAGCTGCTGCGGATCAGTATAGGATTGGAAAGCTGGGGAGATTTGAAAGAAGATTTGTTCCAGGCATTCAAATCACTGTGTAATTAAAGTTCGCTAATTGAAATAGCATAATTGGGTATAGAGCCTAAAATTAAATCCAAAGCCAGTCTCGACCTAGATTACCGATATTAAAAATCCACTGGGATCGAGCCGTTGGCGAATCTTGGTGCCAATATTCTTGTAGGGTTTTGGCTGCATTCACACCATTTAAACACCTGGTGAGAGTCCAGAACTTCTCGAGACAGGTCATGAGAAAGTCCCTTTGAGCTTGCCACTGACATTCCAACCCAGCTACAAAGACCGGCCAGAGAATGCATTTGAACAGGGCCGGATCATCCTTCAAAGAATCGACTACACCCAATAACTCCGAGACCAGGTCATCTTGGAAAGTCTCTTCCCCGGTTAGGGCATCAAGAATCCTCCCACCATAGAGAAGAGAACCGATTTTATATGCCTGTGATAGTAGGCAGATGTTTGCAGTGTCTTGAGGTGAGGACTCCTCGGACCATTGTAAGCTTGAGGCCCACGCATAACAATCAAAGCTCCGAATGAGATCCAGCAATGATATTATATCCCTCTGGTTGGACGCAATTGTGACGGGATCGAGTGGCATAGACCCTGCCATGCTATCTCGCTGCGCAGAGAGACGTTGAATGGCTGTTAATAGGTATTCTGGGCACCCAAGGAAAGACTTTTCAATGGTTTCCTCCACCTGTGGCTCTTCCAGGCTGAGCGAGCTGAACTGTGATAATAAGTTTGGCCGAAGGAACGCGGCACTCAGTGTTTCAATCCTATTCACGATTAGCTTTATTAGGTACCAGTCAAGAGTTACTCACAGATGGATCTGTGTAGTGATAAATCCCCGAATATCTTGCACAGTCCCCCCGGGTCCTTGATTGACTCCAGCTTGGCTTTCAGATGGTGGGTATGTAGAAGCGATCAGCTTTTTAGCTCCCTCGAGATGAAAGTTCCAGCCATCGCTACCGGACTCTATCAAATCCAGGAAAATCAAGAGGAAGATGCTGGCCACTGTCGTGTCGTGCTTGATATGTTGGTTGTCCCGCAACGAATTGGATAAAGCTTCCATGGCCTGATGTTTATAAGATAATGCATCCCGATTCGCGTTGACGAATCTGGGCTCTGTTGATTCTTCGGCTTGATTAAAGGATTGGCCGGTGTTGAAATGGTGCCGCGCTGCAAGTGCCAGAAGAGCCTTGAGAAGAGTCGGATCCTTCAGACCGAGTGCAATAAGACTTCTGAATGGGTTCTTGTCGCTATCATATACAATGAAGAGTTTGCAAATCCGGTCATTATCTGTGAGGGAAGTTAAAATTTCATGAACTTATTGCGAAGCAGAGACGCTTACAGTAATCGATATAATATCGGGAAAGTCGATCCAGGTGCAAAAATGATGGGTCTTGGAGATTGAATGACAGATTCGGTATAGAATCTGGTATAGAATCAAGGGTAAAATCTGTACAAGATCCGCAATAAGTATAGCTCATTAACGAAGTTATTCTAGGCCCGAGCTTCGTCAGCATCATACTTACTATTGAAGTCCAATTTCCCAGTCTGACCATGCCTGCACTGAACCATTGACTGCCTTATACTTATCAAAGCTGATTTCTTATCATTATTGGATGCATTGCCCGTGAATGAACGGCCTTGCATTTTCCCGCGAATAGCAACACCCTTGACCCACCGGAGGGGCCTTTTATCAAAACACTCCAAGCCAGCCTTTTGGCATTTTGCACAAGGCACACCAGACTGGTCACATTGAATGCGCCGATTGCGACAAGTGTAACATGGCTCGATATTCTGGTCCATTAGGTGTGGATTGGGAGTGGCAAGTCTCTTTTCTCGAGGCTCAGCGCAAGTGCTTGATTGCTGACTCAGCTGGGCCCGCCCCGCTCCCCGCGTTAGTATAGAAAACCACATCCTGATGGGGTGTGATACTCGATGTCCATTGCCGCTGGTTAGAAATACTCTTGTGGCTTCATTTAAAAGTAGTCTCCCATATCATCACGAGGAAAAGAAAGGAAAAAGAAGGAGAGTACGATTATATCATGAAATGAAGGAAGTAGGCATCACGTATATGAAAGGTAGGTAAATATTGTTAAGAGAAATTGGAATTAATACGGGAGATAAGGAATTGCTAGAGTCTTGAGGGTAAGCAGAGAGTAGAAAGAATTTTGGTAGAAGAGGAAGTGGGCAGGGGAGTGGGAATAGCTTCATGGCCAAAAGGAAGGGATGAAAACATGTAGGGGTTTGAATAGCATCATGGAGAAGAGGGGAGTCGATGGCCTTACTAAAATACCTGGAAGCCGGACACCAGAGTGCATATTTAGGAATAGATGTCAACCCTTTAGACATCGTGGCCTAATGACACGAGCACCGCATGAAACCTTCAGTTGGATTTGATCGCCAACGAAGGCGCGTAAGTCACCTTCGAGAGAGAGTGCCTGATTCGATCTGTAGCATGCCTATTCCAAACCTCAAGCTTCAATGCAGGAGGGATGTGAAATTTGATTCCATTTAGCGGCAACGGAGTACCTCAGGGGGTTATCATTTTTTCATACCGAGATTCTAAATTGAACCTGGCTTTCATACCAGCTTGACATGTAAATATGATTTCTATTGCATAATGTTTGATTTCAGACTCTCTTAGTGCATCTTATTAAGCCAGTATCTTCCAGGTTGGCTGATATGGAAGTGAAGCTATTCGTATTCGTATCCATAATCTACACTTGAGGGAGATTGGGCCTGAGTTTGAACAGGTCCAACATACGTCAATGCTTCTTGCAATGATAAACTTTCTTTTTAAGACACTTCTTCTATTAAGCTGGCAACAATCATTTGAGTAATCAATATTTCAGAGACAGCCACGAGTTGGAGAAATCCTGGGACTGGCTCTTACGGTCTTACCCCACATCATTCAAATTATATTTCCCCCCACGTTCACATTCGACCCACAACCCTTCTTCTCAACGTCACCATGGACCTGGCCCAGATATTCGAAACCAGTCCCTCGGGCGAGGTGATCAAGTGCATCGACACACACACCACCGGTGAACCAACCCGAATCATCTACTCGGGCTTCCCCCGCCTTCAAGGAACACTCTTAGAACAGCGCGACCAAGCCAAAGCACATCATGACAACATTCGCAAACGCATCATGCTCGAGCCCCGTGGCCACTACGATATGTACGGCGCGATCATCATCCCAGATACAGAGCTCGTCCAAAGCGGGGAGGCACACATTGGCACACTATTCACGCACAATGGTGGATTCTCCACCATGTGCGGACATGCCACCATCGCATTGGGTCGTTTCTTAGTCGATACCCATGACCTGGCGGTATTTCCAAAGCGGAATACATTGAAGGTCAACACTGAGACTAACGAGGTTGCGGTTAACATCCATGCGCCTTGTGGCTTAGTTCGTGTTACCGTACCCACTACACCCGACGGGCAGAAATCGGATCCGTCGCGCCCGGTTGCTTTTCTTTCTACGCCGGCTTATGCTGCTGCGATCGACCTGACGATTCCTATCTCTCGGGATGTTGCATGGCCAGAGCTGGGCGACCGGGAATCCATCAAGCTTGATATTTCCTACGGCGGGGCATTCTATGCGCTGGTTGATGCCCGCGAACTGGGTTTCACAGAGGGATTGAGTAAGATTGATCTTGCGTCTGTTGCGAGTGCTGTGAAGAAGCTCAAGGCCCATCTCGTGACCAATCCCGATGTTGTCACTGCGCTGCAACATCCGGAAGACGAGAGATTGTCTTTCCTTTACTCGATCATGCTTGTGGATCGTGACATCGGTTCTAGACCGGATGGTGTCGATGGAGCAGAGACGGGACTTTGTTTTTTTGCCGAGAACCAGATTGATCGATCGCCGACGGGTTCTTGTGTGACTGCTCGCATGGCGCTGGCAAATGCCAAGAAGGTGAGACCACGTGGGCAGAAGTGGGCCTACAACTCTCTTGTGTCGAATCGTTTCGATACAGGTGCTTTCATTGCTTCGATTGTGGAGGACAACATCTTGCTGGAGGGTGACCATGGAGTCTCCAGACAGTGTGTTGTGGTTCAGGTCGAAGGCAAGGCCTATTATACCGGAGCTATGACATTCATCATTGAAGAAGGCGACGTGACTACTGAGAGCGGATTCACGATGGATGATTGCGCCCAGAAAGGTCCATCAACGAAATAATATCATCGCATCAATAGATTTTTCTCCTTCAATGTCTCTTGGACTCATCGTAAAGATTGACACAGGTTATTTTATAGAAACACGCACGGTTCAGGAGGCGCTAAATAGGATCGGGAGCACGTGCGGGAATGTTAATTAGCCCCACGCAGCGTCGAGCACAACGGCACTAGAGAAGCGCAGTATCTCTGGTTCAGAGTATGAACTATCGAATACATGATGTGCACCCAATCGTTAATTTTACTCCGAGGGTTGACAATTAGTGTTTTTGACCTCAGGTGTACTTTTTCCGTGACCATAGCCTGGAGGACTAAACCACATTTTTGCCAGGGACAACCTCACATTACCTACGCTAAAATATGTTTAGGGACGGCTAGAAATGATGATAATGGAGAGAAGATCCCACTTCAATCTTAGGTCAGCATCACTGTCAATGTCTTTAGTCTAAACTACGAATACTTGTACACACCTTACCCAAGACCGTTAGCGTTGTTCACTCACAATCTCTACGAAGCCACAAATCCCACTATTGCCGACATCGGGGATCCAATCGAACCAGCCAACCAAAGCAGGCTCACGCCTGGGAATCAGGGGGAAGTAATCATACAAAGACCGAGCTATAATAGGGTATCCGAACCGGACCCCACCAATCTATGTAGAGGAGCGGGCAACGCAGACGTTTGGAGAGAAAACGCAGCTTCGGGCCATGATTGGGCAGTTCCAGATAAGCTCCACAGGCATTCAACGACGCTGGTTGGTCGGCTCGGTTTATGACGTCATGGGCACTGTACCCAAGCGACGCGATACCCGATTAGGATAGTTTGGATGTCTAGTTCTACTGTAGTTTGGATGAGAGAAAAAATGTTTCAGCTGTGCTATCTTTGGAGTGAGAGGAATGGAGGAAATTAGCCGGAGGGAAATAGTATATCTTGGGCGTTCGCTCTGGTGGAAAGATATCTTCATCATTCATTACTCTCGCATTCGTTTTATATCGGCTCCAGTTCTTGAACATCTACAGTATGTGTCGATTCAATACCAGCTCCAATTGGTACTTTGGCTAATACTTTACTCGCTTAGGTCATTCTCTATATTTCACTGTCTTTTATTTACGATTCCACTCTCTTACATCTCTACTACATACCATGGCTCCTATTCAAACGCAAACCCTCCACGCCCTCTCCACCTTCGCGAAGCGAGACACTTCCAACCACTACTCTCTCTATGTCCTCGCTATCATGGCCGGCTGTATTGTATTCTGTCTCATCGGATTCTCTGTCTACGGCATGTACAGCGGGTTGAAGCTTGAGGAACCAGCATTTGAAGTTCCCTACGAGCAGAGGAAATACATGCGTGAAGTCCACCAACGCAATGTGAACAGCATGGCCATTGTGGCAAAGCGACCTGATTTGATTGTTCCCGTCGAGGAACTGAACTATTGATTGAATGTACCAATGCATGCATACTGGAGCATATGGGGTCTGGACAATCGGCGTTTGGGATGGACTATTGAGATTTGGAACGAATGCATATCATGTGGCTTGAAAGTATATAAAGAAAATCTCCGAGATTAAGAATATTATTGTGAATCAAACCGAAGAATTATGGACCTTGTCTACGTCCTCATCCGGGATCTCACAGTACAGTACATGCAAAGATATAAACGTAAAGGTAAATGTAGATTGAAACCGATTTTCCTATGTCCAACCAAAAACCGTACACACCAAAAAGGGATATTCAAGAAGCGTAAAAACAGTGCTGAGCCAAGGTATATAAATCGTGAAAAGGCTGAAAGAAATGGCAACGTCGGAGGTCGTCATAAAAGCATCCAAGGATGGGAAGAATTGTAAAAAAAGGGGGTATGTAGAAAAGAATTAAGTAAAAAGGATGCAAAATGTAGCAAAGAATTGGAAAGGTGCATGTCTGGCATGGAAGATCTGCGGATGAGGTGCTTGAAGTTTTCGTAGAAAGGATATCTGACTATTCGAGACAGATTTAAAAGTTGATGGCGAAAGCGGCCACGGCACCAAAGACCAGGCTGATCATGGAGACAGCAGCGCTGGAGGCACCGTTGGAACCGGCCGAGGTGGAGGCGGCAGCAGCAGCACCGGTGGTAGATCCGGTGGAAGAGATCTCGGCAGCACCGGTGGGGTTGAACACTTGCGGGCGGTAGGTGTAGCTCATGCTAGGGCTAGACTTGGGCAGTCTAGTGCTGGAGCTCTGGTGAGTGGGGCGGGTGAGAGTAGATGTGGGGATCGAAGTGTGAGTAGAAGTGGAGGTCGAGGTAGTCGAGGGAGTAGAAGTCGAGACCGAAGTGCTAGTCGAGGTGGGGGTCTCGGTGGTGCTAGTGGAAGTCGGAGTAGGAGTGGGAGTAGAAGTGGAGGTGCTGCTGGAGATGCTGGAGCTGGTGCTTGAAGGAGCAACAGTGCTGGTGGAAACGGATACAGTCTCGCTCGAGCTGGAACCACTGCCCTCAATGTCGAAGACAACAATTCTGGCCTTGGAGCCGTTGGAAGCAGTAACAACACAGCCAGTCGCACCACCGGCACCAGTGAAGACATCGGGAGCGCTCATCTCGTTCACACCCATGGTGGAGGGGTCGATACGGCAAGGCAAGCCGTTGCAGTCGTCGCCATCACACTCGATCTCGATACCGAACTCAGGCTTGACGTCACGGAAGGGAGTGGTAGGTTCCAGGTAGATGGGGTTCCAGCCGATCTTCACATAAGTGTTACCCTCACCATCGGTGTTGGCACCGGCGGTGTAAGGAGACCAGTTACCCACGGGGTTGGCGCTGGTACCCCAGATACAGCCCTCCTCAACAGTAACACCAGGGGCGTTGATGTAGTACTGGGCAGCAGTAGCGCACCAGTAAGACATACCTGGAACAGCCAGAGTAGCCAGCTCCTCGACCAGAGTCGGGATCAGCATGGCCTCATTTCCAGGAAGCACAGTCTGGCAGAAGGACACGGCCTTGCCAGCCTTGTTGTGAGCCGAGACCACACCAGTTCCATCCTCACAGTAGGGCTTGCTGGGGAAGGGCTTTTGGATGTCACCGTTTTCGTCACAGTACAGACCGCCGTTCTGTCAGCTGTCAGCATGATCCCCCTTGCATATGACACATTCACAAGCGCAACTTACCATGGACATGGGGTAGGTGTAGGAGGTAGCCTCTGGATCCCACTGCATGGACACTTGACCAGCCGGGCAGGCGTAGGGGCAGTAGTTGCCGGGCTTACAGGGCTGATTGGGGCTCATGGCCCATCCGGCGTTCTCTTCATTGGGAGTAATCGAGACCAATCCCGCATCGGACGGGAACTGGCACTGTCCACTCTTCTTCTGAAGAGTAGTACTCTCCGGGACGGTACGGGCTTCGTGGTGGCGGGCATGGAGATGACCGTGGTGGGCGGCCTCCACGCTCGCAATGAGAGCGACGAGCGCGGCGGCTCGGGCGGGAGAAATGTCGAACTTCATATTTGCCAAAAAGAAAAGGTAAAGAGCGAATGGATAGAACAGAATCGAAACAAACGAATGACTGGGCAACGAAGGCCGGAATTGGTGGGACACAGATCTCGCAGAGTAGGTCTACAGAACAGAAAGGAAGAGGAAATGCGAGACACAAAAGGGCCTTCATGGCGCCCGGTTCGTACTGCGCCAGATCAGGGTGAGATGGGATCCACCCAGGGACCCTGAATGGCCCCTGAGCTAAACCTTCGACGATCTAACCCCAATCTGGGGCCCTCAGCGACCGGTTTCTTTGGGGTCCAAGGCTAACACTGCCCCTGATGCAAACTGTGCTAGTCATTTTAGCGTGCGCTAGCGTCAGGGGAAGGTCGAAATTGGGCCAATGAAGTGGGCGCTTCCCCGATGGTTCCTGCTTGGCGAGTGGAGAAAGACCAATAAGCCGCATGCAATGCGTTTGGAGTGGAGTGAGAACCGGTTCGATTTGCAAATGCTCGTGAATGGCGTTTAGGAAAAACAAAATCTGACCAAGTTGCTGTGAGATCGTATCAGTCAGCATCTTGGATATTGGATCACATCAACACCTGATAAGAAAAGCCCAAGCATAACTTCATGTTTCTTGCCGAGAACTCCGAGGCACATGCGCATTCGGCAATAACGCCGTCGGGTCAAGGTCAATCCCAATAAAACCCACCATCAGTATCCCTCAGTCTCATGATCTAGGCCCGCTGATCATGATAGACGATCTCCACAGACGGAAGGCTTCGGGCCAATGGGTCTCATTTTTCGGCCGGAGCGGGGTCCCCATGGCCTAAAGAGCAATAGAAGCAGACATTATTCGCGGAATTGTACATAATTTGGAGGATAGTCGGCTCAATCAATACGAAGCCAAGATGTTCACTATGGAGACTGCCGTCTTGTCCAAAGCTTGGTCTTGTATCTCCAGTTCACCTATAATGTTTCAAACATAAGCTGATCGTCGAGGATTTCTCACGTTCAAGCATGGTTCACAGGTCAGGGGCTTTCTCAGAAGACATTCGAGCAGATAGAAATAAACGAATGTCTTTCTGTTTTTGAAGAAGATGGACTCGATGGGACGTGCGGTAACTTAAAGGAGCAGAGCATCAGGCTCATTGCTCCACCAGGACAGCCCTATCGGCTAGATGTAAGGATGCTTCATCTTGAAGTGATAATTAGCGTTTTGGCAAATGTATCTCTGGCCTTTAGCGCTCAATGGAGGACAGTTATACTACGTATCTGGGCTTGAAATTTAGAGAAAATAAGCAAGGTGCCCGGGTGCTTCATTGTATAGAAGTGTGGCAATCGACGTGTGAATTGTGCACGTTCCCAAGTCCGATGTGCCCGTATGGAAATAAGCAAGTTATAGGCAGGTCATTATAGCCCGTTTACATCCGAGTGCATAGCCTCATACTCACAGCCAATCGAGGCCTTCCAGTCTAGGTTTAAAAGCTTATGTCCGCCCGAGCTGCAGCTTAGAAACGGCTGAACACTACCCAGAGACTCTTTTCTCCCATTTTCCCTTTGTCATCATGTATACCTCGTGAATATATCAGCTAACTTCGATGAGAGAAGTCAATTTCTTCTTTTCCGTCCTTGCATCTTTATCGCGTAAAGACCTGTTCTAACAGTTGCTAGGTATAGGTCGAAAAGCCGTTGCAGCACGGATGATCATCGGTGGAGAGGTCTTTTGACGTGCTGCAAGGGTTACTGATATCTCTGGCGTGGTCTGCATTTGACCCACTACTATTACTCCCATGTGGAGATAATGCAGCTAACCATACTTGACAGGTCTCATGAGCACGCGAGGCCACACCGCTGTACGCAGTTCAACCGACTATCGTTGAGTTGCGACGAGGCCGAAAGAATTGAAGACGAACGTACAATTCTCACGACGAGATAACATATGACCAGTCCTCCCAAGGACACAACGAGAAAAGGCACGGGCTGCAGTTATGTATCGTCTTCGCGAGCCTCTGGTCCGTGACTGATGCAGGGTAGAGTCAGTATTGCTCAACAAATTTGCATTCTACAAAATACCCCACTTTCCCTTACATCCCATCGACGATGTTGCCAGGACTTCTGCTGAACAATGGATGGAATGGTTCTGATCATAGCGAGCCAATTCTGTCGCTAACAAAGACCAGTCCCCCAAGGGTTCCATACCGTTAGCTCCCTTGACTGTTAATCTAAGTCGAGTAATCTTTTATTGGACAATAATAAGATAAGACAATCTACCTGTAAACCTTCACATAGAGCTACGATCTACTCGTCAAATATCCACCAGCTCGAGGAGGGACTCTAGATGGGTTTATCTTCGCATTGAACTGAACAGAAAATGCTCCTACTGAGAACCTCGAGCTAGAAAGAGATAGAGAGAGAGAGAGAAAGATTTGTGTGAATGTGTAGTTTTCCATCTAGAGCTTAGCCATGACTTTTGATTATTTCCAACAAACTTCCTGTATAAATCACACATCACCAGGCTGAGCCTGCAGCGTGGTCCACCCCTTAAAAGCCGCAGCATCGTCGCCATCTCTCCATCCCCACGCAATGCAATAATGTCTGGCAAGAAGCTGCCATTCCTCCATCTCATCCAGCATCTCAAGACGAGAAACCCTTTCCTTCTCCTTCTCATCCACCCACCGCTCCCAAAGAAACTCGATGTCAGCAACAGCCTGCCCGCTCACGAATCCCTGGTCGTGTAACCGAGTCCGCTGCGCCTTCAGTGTAGCATACTTATGCAAAGTTTGGAGCTGGATACCCCGAGTCGCCAAATTCGAGACCATCGTCCGACCGAAAGCATCATCTGGACGAATGGGCTCGTATAAAACCAATCCAAGGGGAGCGGTGGGGAAAAGTCGTGTGAAGAATGAGACGACCTCGGTGGCCTCGGTGGGTGAGAGGTATACAAGACAGCACTCGGATATCAACAGAGTCGGTAGTGTTGTGTCCACGCCGGGAAGGATCTCTTGGGTGCTTGATGAGAGGGTGCGTAGATCGAGAGGATGGATATGGTAGGCAGGCGAATGGAGGGAATCGCCCGCTTCTGACACGGTGATATCCTGACTGGACGACTCAATCCCCAGTGCTTTCTGTAACTGAGGTGTGGATCGGATCGCATGAATCTTCGCCGTGGTGTTAACGGCGAAATCGAGTTCGTGATAGATAAGATCGGACGGTTGCCGGGTAGTAAGGAGACGAAAGACTCGCGTGTCCGACCCGGCACCTAGAGAAATGATCTGTTTCTTTTGTGTGGTATCGAGAGAATATGGACCGAGGAATTGGGCGACGAGTTGATCGATTGCAGTGGTGCGAACGTAGGTTCCTAGGAATAGTCGCGTCAGTCTCTAGCGGTGTAAGTACAGCAGGGAAAACCACTCACCGCGATTGATGATCGGGAGTCTTCTTGTTGCATTCCCTGGGTCTGTCAAGGCTGTCGCATATGGATCGTCGAGATATCCCAGCTCGACGGCGCTGAGACGAGAAACACTGGCGTCATTGTCGGTGCCCTGCACGACGCGGTCTTTGGAAGTTATGCGCGGGCCATTATCGTCAACTCCACGGAGACCTCCACGACCTCGGCCTCGGCCTCGTCGGAGTGTGTTCAGGTTGGGGATTCGCGGTGCAGCCATGAGGGCGTGAGGGTCGTGGAGGAAGCTCGAGAAGCTTGGACGGTGGGGTTCGCGCCCCACGCGAATAGCGTCACCCAAACTGGTGGGGATGAACTTTGACACATTGAGATATAGCCTATAGGAAGATGCATCAGACTGAAATTGTGTTGCGTCTCATGAAATATATGAGTGAAGGCTAAAAGAGACCTTTTCACCTAAAATCTGCACCTACACTCTACACTTTTTACTTGATGCTTAAAACTCTACCTGTGCTCTACCAGGGCTCTGCACTCAACACTCGAGACTGTACACTCTGCACTCACACCCTAATCGACGCTTTAGTCTATGTTTACGGTGCTTTAAAGTGTCATTATTCAGTTTGAGCATTAAATGTTTGAATGAGAATGTCTGAATTTCCTTGACGATCCTTTCAAGGTCGACACCGCCAAGCTTTAGAAGTGCCCGTTTCTTAGCGCTAGTTCACTACGAGTGTACAGTGCTAGGCATTCAAATCCGTACCATATGGCATGTCATGATTCTTCATCCCACATCTATAATCTATGTTCACATTAAACATACACGAAATTGTTCCGGCACAATGGGCAAGTACTCTGGTTACTGCTCTTGAACCACCGGAACAGACAAACAGAGTGGAAAGTGTTTTTGCAGGTGGCGCACCGTTTGTTCGGCGTCTGCATGTCAGTGGAGATCACCGAGTAACAGATAGCACACTCGCTGTGTCCCTTCAGGGCACCTTGGACATTGCGTCGGAATGCCAGCAATCCATCGACAAGGTTGCCATTGGCGAACATGATGACACCCTGGATCGTAAGCAGCCAGCTCTTCCACTTCTTTTCGTCCACCAGCACGCGACTGCGGCCGACCACGGTGGCAGCATGAAGGGGATATGCAGGGGGGAGAGATATTGCAATGGACACTGGAGGTGATTCCTCGTCCACTAAAATGCTGGCAATGATCTCCGCTGTGCGTGGGGACATCTTGACAGAGAGGGCTCGCTCCTCGTTTGGATCCTGGGTGGCGACCCAGTCTGTGACGGCTTCAAGAGCGCCATCAACCACCAATGGTGAGATCTGGTGAGCCATTAGCTTAGTTTGTACCTGACATTCTAGATCTGTTCAACTCACGTGTTTCTCAGTCCAAGTTTCTACCGGCCCCTTGATCCGTTTTGGGGTATCAATCCACCAATTCTTGGTCATATTCGCCAAATTCCTCAAGCACAGATAGTACAAATGCACTAAAAGCCACTGGGTTTCTTTCTCGGCACTTTCCGAGCTATCAGGCTCGAAGGACTGGATCTCGAACTTGGATGCATCAACGATCTTGTTCTGTGATTTTTGAAGAAAGTTGAACATAAATTCCAGCAGAGGGGTCAGGATATTGTATTCCTTGATGTTTTCTGCGTAGTATTCTTGCACTGGAATCGACTGTTCATAATGTTAGATAGAAATTCAAAAGTTCCTACGGGAAACATACCGCGTTGGTAAAGTGATCGAAGACCACCTTCCAGCTCAGAAGGTATGATCTTATGCTGGTCCACATCTTGTCATCACCGTACGACTTCGATACCATTTCCATTGTTGGTGTCTCAAGCAGAAGGGATATCAGTTCGTCTGGAAGGCTGACTGCAGTTTTTGACAAGGCCACGTCAAAGGATACCTGCTCCTGAGCCTGGGGAATGTAGCGGTGGAGAATCGTGTATGCAGTACGCTGAACGGCACGACTGTGAGCAGTCAGAAGTTGGAACACACCGCTCACATCTTCGAGCTTATCAACGGCAATCCCACTGATCAAGCGGCGAAGGAGCTCAACTGCGACGTCTCTGGGCTGGTGGAATGTGGTTGACGCGTCTACTACATGTGAGCGGCCAGATTCATGAAAAACGTGGGCATGGTGGAAACCTACCGAACTGTCCAATGGTCGAGACCAACTCGTTGGAAAGGCCAATCTTTCGCTCTAACCAGGCATCTTGGAGGTCATCATTGCTCTCACCCTCGGCCATGGCTTTCAAACGCGCAAATAGCCGGAAAGAAGACACGAGCAGGGGAAGACCATCTTCCCCTCCGTTGGTGTTTGTGAAAGCAAGGCTTAGAGCCTCCATGATATCCTCCCAGTGTGAACCATAAATATCAGTAAGACCAGGGAGGATGAACGCCAAAGTCTGCAAGATCTCAGCTCTCAATCCAATTGATGTAACCTCCGATTGGAGACATTCAATCAGATTTTTGGCAAGGAAAACCAATCGCTGAGTGGGAATAGTCGAAACGACATCCTCTTCTCCAGATAGCAGAATATTAAGAAATGCGAGTTTTCGCAATCCTAATGAAATTAGCTTCAGGCAGACAAATATCCACATCGAAAGACTTACCTTGCAGGGATGAATCATCGGGCTTGAGCCCGGTAGAGTCGGCAACCAACTCATTGCAAATTCGGTTGCCAACAGGATTGCGTAGAATGGAGCTTCGTAAAGCAGCAAACCACGATGCTGAGCGAATGGGATTGGCAGTGCGTGCCTCCCTGCAAATTTTGGCAACATCATCGGGCGATTTGTATGTCTCAAAGCCATCCACAGAGGTCATCAATTTAACGAAAGCCTGACCCACGCGATAGTCCATGGCAGCATTTCCATTGAGCCCCTCGAGCTTGGTCTCCCAGAAAGATATCAACATTGAAGAGAGAGTAGTCTCTGGCGAAAATTTGAGGGGCGTCTTTGCATCGGCCCAGTCGCGGACTACTTTCCGTCCCTGAAACACTAGCTCCAAGTACTCTTCACGTTGATCTGCCAGTTCAAGACCCGAAATGCCATTGCAATTTTCAATGCTCAGATCATCATCGATCAGTTGGATGGCCAACGGAAGGAAGTAAAAGAGTGTCTCTAGGTCCGTATTCTCCAACTTCGTGGTAATATCGAAGGCCGACAATGCCTTGATGGTGAAAGCTGTCATGCGGAACGCAGCAGTACAACGATCTGAATCTCGGGAGATTCCAAGCCGCAGTGTCTTCAATGACTCTGTAATATCACGCTGGACAAGGTTGACAGCACCCAGCAGCGGACTGGTAATGGCTGTTGATGGTTTTGGTGGGAGCTGAAGGAATGGAGTCATTGCATCTTCCCAAGCACCGTAAGAAGGTAAAATATCATTCACAGTATAGTCGTCATTTATATCGACTTCGTGCATCAGCTCTTCTGCGATGGCAAAGAGAGATTCGGTACTAAACAATTATTTAGAACAAGCAGAATTCAATAAGAAAGAAAAGGGTCACTCACGACAAAGATTCCTCACTTGCATGGCTCAGGCCTTGACGCAGAATCTCAATTTTGGAAGCAGTACTCATATCACCAACAACGTTTTCTTTGAAAGACTTGATTAAGGATTCCGTCAGAGTATGAACTTCTTCTGAGGGTGACTCTGTTAGGTATAGCAATTTTCCTGTTAGCTTCGAGCCATTGGGCCCATTCTGGAAATCCTTGATAGCAGAAGGCGCGTGCTTCCCGAGATGAGAAAGACCGTGCAATACATCTAACGCTTTATCCTCTTGAGACAATGTATCGATGATTGTCAAGAATATCTGATCCATTAAGCCACTACGAGAGCTTTGGTTTTGAAGGACAGAAGTGATGATAGGCCAGTGAGAAGAGCTTCCTCTGCAAGCCTTATCCAGGGCTCGCATGACAAGCGAGGAGAGCTTATCTTTGTCGCCGACTTCATTGAAGTTGAGGTTGGAGAGAAGAGTCTGCAGGATATGTGCATTGGAGTGCTCAGGATCCAACTCCATGGTTCGTTCAACCACCTTTTCAAAGCTGGAGGCAAATCCATCCCACTCACGGCATGCCAAGATGATTGAAATGAGCCTGTCACCAGAAGGCGAGAACAAAAGCTCCGGTGCATCTGTCTGAACAAAGTTGAGGAGGTCCTGGGATTTCTTCGCAACACAGGGCATACTTCGCACACACTCTTCTACGACCCCAGCTGCTCCGTAAGGTTTACCATTGCGGGAACGAAGAACTTCCAGGCAGTTTTCAAGAAGGAATAAATTCGACTTCTCGAAGATCCTCTGGGCGCTTTGTTCGCTTTCCAAATCTGAGGCCCTTGAAAGAACTGCGGGCTCCAGTGCAAAAAGGCGTCGCGCTTCAGCGCACACAGCGTCCTGAGAGGCTCGGAAGTCATTCGACTTTTCGGGAGATGACAGCTTCACGGCTTCCAATAATTCGTTGGATAGCTTCGTCCATAGTGGCTCGAGTTGGTGACTTTGGTCGTGGCTAATGAGCGTAAGGAGATAATCGGCACAGATGTCTTGAGCGGTTGGTGAAGGAAGTGACCACTGAGCCATTTCAGAACTAGGACGCACATACTGTGCAACCAAGGGTGACAGTCTCGTTTCAACAAACTCGGGCCGTTGATCCTGGCTCATGAGAAGTCCAAGCCAGGCCCCAACACGAATATAGGATTTCCACCCGGTAGTGAGATTTTGCCGGGGTTCTTCTCTTGAATTCAACCCTCCTTGGATAGATTCCGTTAAAGCAGTTGCACTGGAAATGTTGATTGTCTCGTCCGTAGATGTTTTATCGGCTCCCGCAAGTACCTCACGTGGAATTAAACGCAGTAACTTATCCAGATTGGTCCAGAAAACTGCGAGGCCACCCTGTGAGCCTTGTTGAATGTATTGGCGCAATTTTTTTGATGCGGAGGTCTTTCCGGTATAATCATCTCTCCATACTTGCGGCCGGGAGGAGGTCAAGAGAAGAAGAGACTCAGATAGCTCGGAAGCAGAGCCGATCTGCGACATTGAGAGTGACTTCCCGATAATGGCTGAACTGAGGAGTTTCCAGTCAATCCAACCAGGCTCTCGAGAGATGGCTGATCGTAGAACAATATAGATAGACCGGCGGACAAATGGATCCTCATGGTTGCAAAAGCCCCACAGAGATTTGCTGCCAAGAAGGTTCTCAATTTCGACCAAATTTCTTTGCAAGTCATCATCTGGCGAGTTTCCTATCATTATCTAGGTCAGAATCATCCGTAACAAATGTTTCACGCACAAGTTTGAGTATACCTAGAATGCGGTTGAAAAGCATCAACGAGGCTCCCACAACGCGAGCATATTTTGCCTCGGCGTCATCCCGTTTGACTGTTCGCTCATCACTCAACGTCAAGGGCGTCTGGTGGAGGAGAACATCGTCGATAAACTCTATCGTGGAACTTTGATATATCTTCCAGACATTGTTCCTCTTCTCCTCTGTGGAGAAAACATTGGTAAAAGACTCCAATGCGGAGCGTTGAACTGGCCGGTCATTGTCATAAATACCAGCAAGCCATGCACCTATAACTCTGGGTAGGTGAGGTGCAATCCTCTTGCCAACCAGTGCAGAGATGGAGCCTTGCAAGGTATGAGCCAGCTGCCTAACCCGCCTTGAAAGATCAATTGAAGCTCGGGGATATATTTTGACCTGGAGAGATGTGTCAGTGATGCTTTGTAGATGTAATAAGGCCAGTTGTATAAGATACCCAGGCTTGTAGAAACCCATCATCCAACATTCCCTTTTTGCCTTCTATAGCTGAGATGTATTCTTTCAGCTCTTCCAAGGCCTTTGTTCGTGTGATATCATCTTTCTTCTGTAAATTCTTGAATGCAATCACCAGTTGCTGCTCTGATATGCGAGAAAGGTCCGGGGGCTCAGAAATGTAAGTAAGTGCAGACGGTTCCCGCCCATCACTACCAAAAGTCCCAGAAAATCCCCCCAAATGAACCAAAGGCTCCGGCAGCCGCACGACTGCTGGAAGCCTGCGATTTGAACTTTTTACTCATGTGGGGTATGAGGTCAGCGGGAATAGTGGGGGATTGATTCGGTGATGAATGAAATGGACCGGCTCGTCTCCGGAGAGGTCAAATGGGGCCTGGTCCAAGTCGTGATATCTGGAACAGTTCTCCTCTCGAAACTGTCTGTTCTTCAGTCGCAATGCGCGTTTGGCAAGAAAGAGCAACGAGCAATTTGATAATCGAACCCACCCCGGCCACCCGATAGGGAAGTCACGTGGGCTTGTGTCATTGCTGTCCCAAAGGGGAAAAGATCCAGGCTGACGAGAGCTTCTTTCTCTCTTCTTGCATTGCCTCTGCGCGTCAGGGAGATCAGCCATCATGAAGTTTTTCATAGAGTATGATAACATACAAATTCCGCGCTAGCCTCCCCGTTCTTTCACTGACTCTGCTTCCAAAATAGTGATCTTCCGGTGCTGTTCCCGTATCCGCGCATTTACCCGGAGCAATATGCCTACATGTGCGATCTCAAGAAGACCCTCGATGCCGGGGGTCACTGTGTACTGGAAATGCCCTCAGGTACCGGCAAGACGGTGTCTTTGCTCTCCTTGATTGTCGCCTACCAACAACATTACCCCGAACACAGAAAGCTCATTTATTGCTCGCGAACCATGTCCGAGATCGAGAAAGCATTGGCGGAACTCAAGGCTTTGATGAAACATCGCACACAGGAGCTTGGTTTTGAAGAGGAGTTCCGCGCCCTGGGACTAACCAGTCGAAAAAACCTTTGTCTTCATCCATCGGTCAAACGAGAGAAAAGCGGCACTGTGGTCGACGCGAGGTGTCGGAGCTTGACAGCGGGCTTTGTCAAAGAAAAGAAAGAACGTGGTGAGGAAGTGGATCTTTGCGTATACCATGAGGTTTGTTTTGCTGTCCCTGGACACTTCTACGCCGTCGCCTGACCTGTGCTAGAATCTCGATCTCCTCGAGCCGCATAATCTCGTTCCCCCGGGTGTTTTCACTCTTGATGGTCTCCTTCGATATGGAGAGGAGCACAAGCAGTGCCCATATTTTTCCGCTCGCCGAATGGTATGAGGTCCAAGTCCTACGCAGTGCCGTACTGTAATTCTAATACGACGACAGATGCCCTGGTGCAACGTCATCATCTACTCCTACCACTACCTCCTCGATCCGAAAATCGCTGAACGAGTCTCTCGAGAATTATCCAAAGACTGTATCGTGGTTTTTGACGAAGCCCATAACATCGATAACGTCTGTATCGAGTCTCTCAGTATTGATATCAGCGAGGATTCTCTCCGCAAAGCCACAAGAGGCGCAAGCAACTTGGAACGCAAGATTGAAGAAATGAAAAGCACGGATGCGGAGAAGCTCCAGAATGAATATTCTAAACTAGTGGAAGGGTTACAGCAAGCGGAACAAGCTCGAGAGGAAGATCAATTCATCTCGAATCCAGTTTTGCCGGATGACCTGTTGAAAGAAGCAGTACCTGGAAATATCCGCCGTGCCGAGCACTTTGTTTCCTTCTTGAAGAGATTCATCGAATATCTCAAGACCCGAATGAAAGTGACACATACTATCTCCGAAACGCCACCCTCCTTCCTAACCCACTTAAAAGACCTCACATATATTGAGCGCAAGCCTTTGAGATTTTGTGCAGAGCGACTAACATCGCTTGTGAGAACGCTGGAGCTTATGAACATCGAAGATTACCAGCCTCTTCAAGAAGTCGCAACTTTCGCGACTCTTGTTGCAACCTATGACAAAGGTTTTGTTCTCATTCTTGAACCATTCGAGTCCGAAGCAGCTACGGTACCAAATCCCATCCTCCACTTTACTTGCTTGGATGCCGCAATTGCTATAAAACCTGTTTTGGACCGGTTCTACTCTGTGGTCATCACGTCCGGAACTTTGTCACCGCTAGAGATGTACCCGAAGATGCTAGGCTTTAATGCCGTCATGCAAGAATCATACAGCATGACCCTAGCTCGACGTTCTTTCTTGCCTATGATTGTCACCCGAGGGTCAGATCAGGCCCAAGTCTCGTCATCTTTTGGTATTCGCAATGACCCCGGTGTAGTACGAAACTATGGAACTCTTCTCACAGAATTTGCTCGCATCACGCCAGACGGCATTGTGGTTTTCTTTCCCTCTTACCTTTACATGGAATCTATCATCAGCATGTGGCAAGGTATGGGTATTCTGGATCAAATCTGGAATTATAAATTGATTCTTGTCGAAACACCTGATGCGCAAGAGTCTTCTCTAGCTCTTGAAACCTACCGCACAGCATGTTGCAACGGACGCGGTGCCATCTTGCTCTGTGTCGCTCGAGGAAAGGTGTCGGAGGGCATCGATTTCGACCATCACTATGGTCGTGCTGTGCTGTGCATCGGTGTGCCGTTCCAGTACACAGAATCCCGCATCTTAAAGGCGCGTCTGGAGTTTTTGCGTGAGAATTATCGCATAAGAGAAAATGACTTCTTGTCTTTCGACGCCATGCGACACGCCGCCCAGTGTCTAGGTCGTGTTCTCCGTGGTAAAGATGACTACGGAGTCATGGTCCTAGCAGACCGCCGTTTCGAGCGTAAACGCCCTCAACTTCCGAAATGGATCAACCAGGCGATGCTGGATAGTGAGACAAATCTCAGTACGGATATGGCTGTTTCTAATGCGAAAAACTTCCTTCGCACTATGGCACAGCCTTTCAAGGCCAGGGATCAAGAAGGTATTTCTACCTGGAGCTTGACTGATATCGAGCGCCACGAAGCCAAGCGCAAGTCTGAAGAAGAGCGTATTATGCAGCAGCAGTTCGCGAACGGCCATAAGATGGACGGCATCGTGAAATCTACCGCGATGGAGGTTGTCGTAGATGAGTACGACGATGACATTGATGAAGATCTTATGATGCTCGATCCGAATTAGGCTCTTCTTTTCCATATCATTTCTTTTCTTTTATGGTACATAATCATGGTGTCCTGGGTTCGGCATGGACATTGAGGCGTTTGTGAATAGGACAAAAAGTCATAGCATGGAAGGTGTTTGGTCTGGACAAAATTGATATCTCTGGTTGCTAGCCTCGAGATCAAAGCAGAATCTAGAAAATCTATAATATTCTCTTCGATTCTCGCACCCTTTACATGAATAGCCTTTTAGAACAGAAGTAACTAGGTGAATAAGTTGAAAACTCTATTTAACTAGAAAATATGCTATATGAACAGGGACAGGCACTTTTGTGTTTCCGCTGAACAGAACTCCGGATCATCAACACGTCAAGATGGCACAAAATGACAAAAACAAGGCGCAGGATACAATATTTTGCGAAAATGAATATACAGATAATGAAACACGAGAATGAAGCACGCTCCAATGTTTTATCATCTATGCAACAGGAGCAAGGACATCAAAAGAACCGGTTCCAACGGTACCAGCGCGACCAACAACAATCCGGGCACTGGGACCCTTCAGGTTCTCAACATCTCTCTCAAGCACAGCGTCCTTGAGAGCGCCCACTGTAGTCTCGAAAGACATACGAGCAAAGGCCGAAGTGGAATCCTTGACCAGGCCGTTACGGCTGAAGGCCTTGAATCCACCAGACTGGGTCATCACATCACCAATCAAGTTCAAGTGACGGTTGTCAACGGAGATACTGTGACCCTTGAAAACGGCGTCCATTTCACGGACAATAGTGGCACGAGCCGCCTCAACACCGTAGTACTGGAGCATATCGTGAATGGAATTACAGTAGATGGAATGCGGCTTGATGATGTCCTGGTAATCGCGCATGGCGAGCAGGTTGACACCATCGGTGAGCACGGTTGCTGGCTCATCCTTCACTGCGTCGCCCTCAACGTAGACACAGTTTCCGAGGTTGGGAATAGACTGGATCACAGCGTGATGGGCGGCAGCCTCAACCAAGGGAAGAAGCAGAAGTTTGGGCGTCTCGATGTCGTATTGCAGCTGGATGGAGCACGATGCACCCTTCTTGGGGTCGAACTTGAACTTCGTAATCTCCTCAAACTTGCCCTTAACGTCATCCTCGCGAGTGGTGCTATCTTCGTCATCCGACTCCTCGTCGGAATCATCAGCGTCACGCATTTGGACATCACGCTTTGGTTGAGATGCCTCTTTCTGCTCATCCTCGTCTTCGTCATCCGAACTGTCCTGTCGCCTGATGATGTCTTGCTCATCATCATCCGGTCCTTCATACGACACCTGGTTGCTCCGGTTGTTGCTTCCGCGGGATCGCTTGGCATCGTCCTCGTCGTCCTCATTATCATCATCGGCAGGTTCGGCCTCACGATCAGGACCACTAGGGGCCTCCTGGATCCTACCGACCGAGACACCAATTTCGGGCTGAGCAGTCGAGGACTTAGTTCCAGTCTTATCCTCGTTACGCTTTTTCAGCTCAGCCTTGGTGAGCTTCACTAGGCGAGGAATGAACTTGCTCTGCAAGGCGTTCTGCACATCCTTGATCTCAATAGCATACTCCTTAGTGTACTCCTCGGCAGGGAAGAAGGTGACTTCAATGTCGTAAATCTTGGCCCTTGAGTAGCCAACACCGGCTCCAATTCGCTCCTTCACCTGAACCTTGTCAACAACCTCAGCAATGGTGAGCTTGCTTATAGCCTTGGCAAACTTCTCTGCGTGTTCCTGGGGAATTTCATCGTTGAGAAGAAGAGTCATGGTGGGTGTCATGATCGAAGCACTCGCGGTCATGACGATTTCACGAAGACGGGGAATACCCAAGGTGACGTTCTTTGCGGAGTGACCAGCCAAGTGGAAGGTGTTCAGAGTCATCTGTGTTGACGGCTCACCAACGGACTGACCAGCCATAATACCGACTGCCTCACCGGGATCGATAATAGACTTCATATACTTCATGTTCATCAAGGCATCAAATGCCTTCTTGGGTAGCTTCTTCTGGAAATCACCCACGAACTTGGCGACTCCCTCGAGATCCTTCTTCTTATCCTTGAACAGGTTGTCCGGATTCGCGTCAGTGTACTGTAAATCAAACAAGTCAGTATTAA